TGACTTCATAAAGAATAACAAGTTTATATTATGATTATGATCATTGAATTTATGTGTCAACTACACAGGAGCTTATTGCTAACTTACATTTAAAAACAAAACATATCTGTCTAAAGCGCAGATGATCAAGCAGCCACAGTAAACAATATTTAGTCACTGGCCGAGAAAAAACAAGTATAAATAACAAAAAAACAACAACAAACAAACTGTTGCATTGCTTAAAAAAATACAAATCCTGATTCAGGCTTTTACTTAATGTGTTCTTATTTAAAGTATTTTCAGTATTTGTTTTTGTAAATGTGATTTACTGTGTACCATTGAGTCTGTTTTGAATTTTTGCAAAGAACATTGGCAATAAGCAAAGGTTTGACCTGACCTGTTCTAGCTTTTAATACTAGAAGGAAAAGTCTTCACTTAGGGCCCTGGGCATGTAAAGTGGGTATCAGGCAAGTTTCCTTGGGGAGAGCATTCCACAGGTGTGGCACCACCACTGAGAAATTCCTCTCTCGTTGCCACCCTCAAAATCCCAGGAAGAGGGGGCACCCTGAGCAGGACCTCCAATGACCTGAGGTAGGCTCATAGACTCTCAACATTTTACAGGCATTTACCTGTTAAAGGAACCCAGAGATAGATGTAGAAAGCTGGTCAGCGGTCAGCACTATTGGACATCACACAAGTCTTTGTTCTTCCTGGTGTGCTTCTCAACCCATCAATCAGAAGTGACCTAACCCACATAATCCTGCTGTTGTGAATCACCTAGAAATGCCACAGCTGCCTGCTGGTAATCCCCATTAATTAACAGGACAGTCTTGTCTCTTCCTATTTAGGAGAACATCCCACTGGTGGATGTGTACACATTACTAGTTAGTCTGGCTCCAGTGTGGTCCCACTGTTGGTGTTTGGGACAAAGTACACACAGCGTTAGCCACAATCCACAGGTCGTCTGTAGCTTCTTGAGAGATACTCCTGTTTGGCTTGCTTTCCCTTCAAACAGCCTCCATCACTTAGGAAACAGAAGCAGCAATTAATCTGAGGGGTGCGCACTTCACCCAATCGCTGCAGACGACAGGTTCAGTGAACTGGAGTTTGGTGCAGGGAAACAAATCAGGTTAAGACAACCCTGCCCCCTCTCTGGTATGACCAGCAACATTAAAAAGTGACTTGAAATGCAGCATGTGGGGAGAATGTCACTGTGGTTTGAATCACTAATATGTACATAGCCTGATTCCAGCTTAAACCCAGAAAGTGGGTACAGGACTGGAGCCTAATTGTCCCAGAAGAACCTCTGAATTTAGCAGCCCTATCCATTTACAGCTGCTTGCTAGACTCCAGCTAATTATTGAACACCAAACATATACATTTATTGATGCTATGTCTTTTTCAAGGGGATGTACCCTCTCAGTTTTATCCTTATAACACCCCTGCGAGGTAGCTTGGCTAAGAGACAGAGACTGGCCCAAGGTCACCCAATGAGCTTCATGGCTGAGTGGGGATTTCAACCCAACATCTTTCAAATTATAAGCCAATATAAGCAAGAGCATTTTTGCTAAATTAGTATTTGAAAGATGGTGGAACTACCACTGAGCTTTTTGGCAGTGTAACCTGTATTATCTTCACTCTTCTTAACAGCAGCGAAAGTTTCCTTGGCCGTCAGCAGACATTGTGCTTTATGGAGTTCTCCCTGACCACAGGGCACATCGCTTTTGCTGTTGCTGTTGATGGCAAGGGAATTGTTTGCACTCAGCAGAAAATAAGAGAAGTGCAAGTGAGGCAGCCTATAATTTCCCCATGATGAGACAGGAGTTGTTGCTTCATTTCTATCAACCTTTTTGCGGAGCCGCTGACCCATTATTTTCCTGCTTCATCCTTCAGTAGTTTTGGAATTGGATAACTTTTTTTGCTATTGTAGTTTTTAAAGTGATATTTAGAATGGCAAGTAATTACATCTCTGACAGCCCAAGTCAGAGCTCAGGGGCTCAAGTCGGTGTCATTTAAAAAATGGAATTCTACCAATAATCCAGAGGCCAGTCTGTACTGCTTTGAGGTGGCTCAGGCCTGTCTCTTGCTCACGATGGATGTGAATGTTTTCCGAAGTAATGAATCTGCTTTGCGCAGATTGGTTAGCTGCTGTAGGGTGTGGCTTTCCAAAGGAGGACCTCTGTCTGGCACATGCAGCCTTGGGAGGGAAAAGAGCATGTAGACAACCTTCTTCATGCTCCATGGAAGTACATAGATAGGCCAGATGGCTAGACACCAGGAATTCAGAGCTGAAGAAGCGAGATTGGCAATGAGACATTGAATCAATCATCAAATGAACTTTGACTAAGGCTATGTAAACATTACCATTAATGGCTCCAGTGCACTCCCACGACTGGTCTTTGAAGCCATGTATGCATGTCTTTAGCCACAGTCCATATCTGTCCTGTTGTTTCTTGAGTAATACTACTGTTTGATGTGTTGTCTCTCAAACCAGATCCCATTCAATCTGAAAGCACAAGCTGCATTCATTCTGCAGTTAAGGTGAAGTGTGTACATTCAAGACAGCGGTTGTACATGTGCAGATGACAGCTTCATAGAATAGGAGTTCGGCGGGCAAGGAGTGGGGCTGCAGGCATGGGAAAACATAAATGTGTGCCAGATTAAGACAACCTCACCCCTTCTCTGGTGTGTACAGCAACATGCAAATGTGACTTGAAATGCACAGGAAATGCACAGGAGGCAGGAATAACCTTTTTGCATTTAAAGCCACTAATGAATACATATCCACATGTTTTTGAACACTTGAGCTGGGCTTTTGGCACCCAAATAACCTGTGGAGAGAAATAAACAAAAAGTAGAGCCATAGCTTAATGGTAGAGCATCTGCTTTACATGTGGAAGGTCCCAAGTTTGAAGCCCCCAACATATTTAGGTAGGACTGCCTGAAACCCTGGAGAGCGGCTGCCAGTCAGTGTCTGCAATACTGAGCTGGATGCTCCTTGAAGCATCACTAGCTTGTCTCAATGACAAAACATATGTACTTGACCAGGTCTTTACACATGCAGGTACCATACTTAACCAATTTGGCTGGGCCATTGTCTTAACAAAGAATTAAATAGTTAAAAGAGTTAAATTCTTAACAAAGAGTTTGACAGTTTCTTATATTTATTGTGAGCCACCCTGAGGTCACAGAATTGGGCAATTCTATTATTTTTAAGTAAATAGATAAATCTTTAAAAATGTTTGTAGGGGGAAAACATTCCATTTTTAATGAATAGAATAGGGGCTAAATTATCTGGAAAGTAAGCTAGAGAAATCCTTCCAATCAAACCCTGAGCCCCACTGCTGCAGCTTTGCATATCTTAATCCCTTCACCAAGATCTTCACTATCTTGCATTTCTATTCTATTCTGTTCTATTCCACCCTTCCTCCCAAAGGTGCCTAGGGTGCTAAACACAAAAAAGTTAAAACAATACAATTAAAAATGAAAACATGTGTTATAGGAATTCTAAGGTCTTATATATATATAAATTAAATGTACATAAATGTACAAGGTAAACACATACATAAGTATACAAGCCACGTGCCTTAAATAGTGCAGGAGAGCAATCCTGAAGCCATTTTGACTCTTTCAGTGACCTCAAATATTCCTCTGCAGTAAGGGAGGCCATTGGGAAAACCTTCCCATTGTCTTTTTGCTTGCAATTCCTGTCTTAAGGGCGTCTTAGTGTATGAATAGGGTGAGCCTGTGACCTGGATTCAGGAGCCAAAGTATTAACCATCACAAAAGGATGGCCAGATTGCCCAGGTAATGCAATCAGTGACCATTATCAGGTATCCTGGCAGACAGTGATGTGATGTATGTATGATGTTTTTTGGGGGGTGAATGGGTCTTGGGCTACAGGGTGGGCAATTTCAAGTGTCTTGCTTGCGCACCATTGTTCAGGGTTCTCCTCCCTCCTGCGTGTGGTGAGTTTGCAACAGTTCCTTTAATAAAGATCAAGCTTACTAGCTGTTTTGCTTCTCAGTATACTCCGGTTGGCCTCTGTTACTTTCTCCTACCATAGGGAACCTTAGAAGGACTCTATATGGGCTCCTGGAAACCAGGAAAGAGGAGCAGTTTTTCTTACAACACTCTTTAACTTGAAACATGGTGAAACTTGATCCTTTGGGCATATTCTCCTTATTTCAACTTTGATATTTGTTACACGAAATTTTACAGCCCAATTCCTCAAGGGACTTGAGTCCCTGATAGGTCAGAGAATAATGGATGGAGGCAGGAACCAGGAAAGCAAGGAATTTCTTTTATTTTTTCTGTTGCAACAGAGTTCCCTCTCCCCACTGCAATGTGAGGACCCAGAACAAAAGCGTGTAACAACTCTTACTTTAAAAACTGCCCAACCCCTTCGCCAAAGACCACCCAAAAGCATCATACGGTGGTGCCTCGCAAGACAAAATTAATCCGTTCCGCGAGTCTCTTCATCTTGCGGTTTTTTCGTCTTGCGAAGCACGGCTATTAGCGGCTTAGCGGCTATTAGCGGCTAAGCGGCTATTAACGGCTTAGCGGCTTTAAGAAAAAGGAAACAAACTCGCAAGAGCTTCGCAAGACGTGCAAGCCCATAGGGAAATTCGTCTTGCGGAACGACTCAAAAAACGCAAAACCCTTTCATCTAGCGAGTTTTTCGTCTTGCGAGGCATTCGTCTTGCGGGGCACCACTGTACACGCATTCTCCCCCAGAATTCATGAGAACTGTATTTTGTTGAGGCCGGTGCTGTGGAGTGCAACTGACGGGCCAACCACAGTTCCCAGGCTTTTCTTGGAGCGGGGACAAATGTACTCTAAATCTATGTTGTGTGATTGTGACCTAATGCACAACTACCCTCTGAACTGTTGATGAGTAAAAACAAGATACGTGCAAGACCGAGCAAGAGAAGCAGGACACCTCCCTCTCAGGAGCTGCTACAGTCCCTCCGCTCCACATCACATCCTCAGCTGCTCCCGCATCCCTTCATTTTCCCGACATGCCCCTCTCTCGAGAGGTTCAAATCAAACAACAGCAGCAAAAACAACTCCTCCGCCTGCGCCATCCTCCTCCTTTCCTTTTCCCTTTTAACCACTCCGAGTTCCCTCCCAAGCCTAGCAACAGGCGGACGCAATTCCTATTGGCTATCTGTTCTCAGACTTCGTTCTCTCATTGGCTAGCCCGAGCGAGAGAGGACGAGGCCCTGTTGTGCGTGGCTCCCCCCCTCCTCCTCGCTCGTACGTAAACGGGGAGAATGTGGCCGCCATTTTGTGTGCGAGTTTGCTTCAGCGGAAGCCGAGAGCGGCAGCGGCGGGAGGCGAAGAGAGGAGCGGAGCGGGCTGCGCTTTAGCGGTGAGACGAAAAGGGCTGCGGCTCCCGCGGCAGTCGGGAATGTGTTGGGCGGCCGAGGGGAGGCTCTGGGTGCGGCGGGTGGAGGGAACCTCTGTGTGGGTTCGCCGCCATGTTGTGTCTCCCCCATTTAGGATGGGTCTTTCTTCCCTAATTGGTGGTGGAAGTGATAAGAAATGGTAAGATTTTTAAGGTGGGGGGAGAGGAATCCGGGGTAGCTGGCGCCTAACTCTCTGTCCGTGTTTATGCGGAACTGAACCTCAGAGGGTTGTCTCCTCCTAAGCTCTACTCTTGAGTAGGCTTATTGAAATGGACCTACGTTAGCCGCATCCATTGATTTCAATGGGTCTTGTGAGTAAGAGCTCAAGCTCGTTTCTTCCTTCCCTTTTCTCTGGGCGGGGGAGAGACTCCGGTTTCCTTCACTCGCGTGAGATAAACAAGGCAGCAACAACAGGGCCCTTTAATACCAACTACTACAAAAACCCGCATCGGGTTGTTCCTGACCAGATCATACGCTGAGAGTAAGACTCGCTGAAATTGGTGGACTTGGGTTATAGACCGTGTCCCATTTATTTCTCGGCGGATCTGCTCCCGAGTGTGTACGTTGACCAGTACAGGCTCCCCCCACTCCTAATAACGTTGGGGGGCATTGTTTTCTTGTGGGAAAGGAGGAAATCGAAGCTCCCCCCCCCCCCCTTGGTGTTGGCGGCGGGAAGGGAAAGACTTTAGGCTTCGGTTTCCCCGGAGGATTGGTGGTTTCTTTTTCAGCAGTGAGGCTTTACGAATTCCCCTTTGTGTTTGTGTGTCGCGGTGGTAAGGCTTTACTTGGGAAACGAATTCCAGAAGTGATAAGTATATAGGAGGTGGGTAAAGTATCCTGCCTTGTTTTGAACCCAGGACCGATTTTTTCCCTGTAGTGGTAAAGGAGGTTAGATAAAGAAGCAGGGTTGGGGGGGAGGTCGCTATCAAAAACAATATGAAATAAAATTTGGTGAAGTTTGCAGTGTGCGCAGTTAGGAAAATATGTGATCCTGCTGAGGATTTTGTTTTTCTTCCTTTGGTCATGTGAGTGGGCAAAGAAAGTGGAACAAGTATGTATCCTTGATTTAAAGATCTCTCCAAGTAACACACGAAAGAAACTAGATAAAATGCAGCTTAAATCTGAAAACCAATCAGAAAACAAATATATATGAAACATTGTGATGGTGTTGTAGTGCTCCCTAAATAATTGAAATAAAGGGGTTTAAGATGCCACCAACTGCATACTGCATATCTGTGTGAGAGTATACTTGGCAACAGTGGATAGAGGATTTGCTTGAAGGAAGAGAAGTGCTGCCATGTAGTTTCTATTGGAAGGAGGGAAGAAACGTTTTGCATGCAAAGGATACCAGGTTTTATCCCTGGCATCTTAGAAAAATAATAATTAGGGAGCAGAGCAGTAGTTGGTGAGACGCCTCTTCTGGAGAGCCACTGCCAGTCAGAGTAGACAGCATAGGAGCCAACTCCAGGGGGCTCTGGCCTCCACAATAAAATATTTGGGGGGGCCTGGGCCCCCACAAAGTTCATGGGCATTCCCATTCAAATTGTGTGTGTGCACTGCATCATGTGATCGATTATGCAGGGGGTGGGGCTTATTTGGGCCCCCCACAATATTTTATTCAAGTTGGCGCCCCTGGTAGACAGTCCTGGACTAAATGGACTGGGTATAAGACAGTTTATGAATCTAACCCCCTTTCATATTGTCTTGAATGGGAGTACTGGCTTCTTGAATAAACTTTTCTGTTCAAAGATCTAGCTGTGCTTGCTTTTTAAAGAAATAAATAAATTCCGGAATCTTACTTTTCCTGAAAAAGGAGGATTCTGGTAGTCATAATCTCAGGAAAAGGATTATCTGTTTTAAATTTGACTGACTCCAGTTAACGACCGTAATGATTAAATTGTCGGATACTGAGCTTGTTTAAATAGAAACTGTTTAAATGAATTAGTTTCAGCACTTGTTGCTGAATATCTTAACTATAAACCATTGAACATTTGCACATAAGGGTTTGCTGCTAAAGTTTTTTTTCATTGACATGTTTCTGGTTAATGCAGCCTTCCTTAGCCTCGTGTCCTCTAGATGTTTTGATGGGAATTGTATTCAAAAACATTGGGATACAGCACATTTGAGAAGTCTGGGTTAATTTACTGTTGTAATGAGTGGGGAGTTAAAAGAGTACCTTTTGGAGTTAAAAATAAACACAGTGGACGCTCGGGTTGCAAATGTGATCCATGTGGGAGGCACGTTCACAACCCGCAGCACCATGTCTGTGCATGTGCGACTTAGCGCTTATGCACAAAGCGCGTTTTAGTGCTTCTGTGCATGCGGCGAAACCTGGAAGTAACCCGTTCTGGTACCTCCGGGCTCGGTGTGGTGCGCAGCCCGCAAATGCGCAACCTGAAGCGTCTGTAACCCGAGATATGACTGTAGATGGACAAAGGCTGTAGTCCTGTGCATACTTATTAGTAAGCTTCCTTGAGTACACTGGAACGTCTGAGTAAGCATGCATAGAACTGGGCTCTTCCAGATCCAGGCTGAAAATCTACAGAAATAAAGTGAGATCTAGCCCACAAATTCTTATGCCACAGTCTATTTTAGTCTGTGCTTTTGCTAATATGGCTGCTCCTCTGAAATTTGATACCCACACTGAAAGAAAAATAATTACTAACTAGATATTTTTTAAAATCAGATGCAACTGATGGTTTAGAACAGAGACAATGTTGATATTATTTTTAAGAGAATCAAAATTCTATTTGTTCTCCAAACTGTATTTCTGACTAGGAGCTACGGTATATCTTATTTGTTTTTTTTAAAAAAACCTTTATCTTTTCAGAGCTGGGACTTCTACCCTAGAAGCCCGTGTGCCGAGAATCCGATGTTGGGCTCGGCTTCGTGGCTGAAAACAGCAAATCGGCCCATGAGAACTACCATTCCTAGCCAAAGGAAGGGGTCCAGCAGGAGTCAGTATCTATTCCTTCAGGTCTGGCAGCAGGAAATAGAACAGGAGGTGGAGACTGTGGAATCTGAAGAGAGAACTGAAAGGTAGAGGACAAAACAGCATTGGAATATCACAAGTACTCCTAACCCTCTATAGTTAACATCTGGTCTTTGAACCACTTGAAACCTACTTATCAAGCTTCTTGAAGCCTTCAAATTATGTCTTTGTGAGGGACTAGGGGTTCCTCGGCGTATAATACAACCTTTAAAAAAGTTTGCAAATTAAACTTTTAAGTCATTATGACTTGTTACATGGTGTACCTTGAGGCTCTTAAACCTATGGTTAATGCTGTAGTTTTTTGTTTTTTTTAAATAGTAGTGGTATGAAAGGCCAGTAAAGTCATTTAGATTTTTGTCTTTTCAGTTTGAAAACACAAATCTAATAAATAATTTAATCTCTTTAAGACTATATCATTTAGAGTGTGCTTTGTATCTTCAATAAACATTATCTGGCTTTCTATTGACAATTGCATTTGCTTTCTTCTCTGCCTTGCCCTAGGTGACACTTAAGTTGAAGATGGGGGGTGGAGAAAGGTTCAACATTCCATCTACCCAGCCCAGAAATACTTCGAAGAACCACCAACAACTGAACAACAGGAAAAAAAGCAAAGATCAGAATTCGCAGATAAAGAAAATCCACAAAAAAGAGAGGGGACATGGATGCAGCCCATCATCCGTAGCATGGCAGGCCATGCAGAATGGGGGGAAGAATACAATGCACTTCCCAACTAACCAGACTTGGAGTCCAGCTTTATCCCACTCCCTCTTCATGCCTCAAACCAATGAAAATTATGCTGGAGCAAAATTCAGTGAGCCACCATCGCCCAGTGTTCTTCCTAAACCACCAAGCCACTGGGTAACTGTTTCACTTGACCCTGCTGATAAAGAAATCATGACTTTTCAACTTAAGACCTTGCTTAAAGTCCAGGCTTGAGATACAATCTATGAATACATTGGGATAAAAGATACATGTTATCATTTCAAATTCCATAAGGTTGGTCTGCATTGGGTTCCCAAATGCAAACCAAGGCACATCTTATGGAATTAATGAGCTGCGTAATAGAAGTTGGGTCAGTTTTTTATGTCATGCGGGGAATCCCCACTTGGAAACACCCGTTTTGGGGTTTTGTTCACTGGTTAACACACACCTATTTGGGGGTTCTGTGCACTTTTATCAACTTCTGTGCTAATGATGCACCATTGTAATCAGTATGTAGTCTGAACCAACTCCCGGTGTGGTCCTGGAATTACAAATACTACCAGACCCTTAATAAATATTTCAGTTGCCTTCCCTTTTGGAACTGCTTGATGGAGCATGTATTTGGGGGAATTAAAATTTAACACCAGCTGACCAAATTTACTACCACTGCAATGCTAAGTAATTGCAAAATATCATTGATTTTCCCCACATACTGTGAAATGTTAGTAACTTTTTGCCTAGAGTTTCTGATTAAAAAAACAAACACCTAAAATTGTTTTAAGAAAGCCATTTAGATTGCGATGGATTTTATTAGTTTACGAGACCTGTATCATTTGAACTGGTGGTTTGGGCGGGTAGGCATCCATCCAAAACCCTGTGACCAAAATGTAAACGCTTAAATTTGGAAATCTCATTCTGTATAGAACTTGTTTAATAAGAATGAAAACATGGGCATGCACTTGATCTCTAGCTTTTTATACAACCATAGAAATGTATTGTATTGAGCACAGTCTATGTGTGCCAGGTCAAGAACATTTTTGCATTGCCGGGTGACTGCCAAAAGTTTTCAAAGTGTTTTTTTTTGTTCACAGAATTTCACTGAGCTGTGTGTTTGAAACACATTCTGTATGTTTTGTATCTTTTGCTGAAACAGAACTGTTGAGGCCAGTCCGAAATTGGATGATATGAACTTGTTTAAATGAACTTAGCAAGTGTAAAACATCCTTTATCTAGGGAAAAAAGAGCCATGTAAATAAATGTAAAACTTTGTAGCATATGTAAATTTATGCTGGGCTTTCCTGCCAAGATGAAATATTTTTAGTACAAAACTGCTGAATGTAAGAAGACCATGCTAAACACATGGCATGATTTTTTTTAAATAAAAAAAAAGTAAAAAAAAAACCTTAAAAGCACATGTCTGTGCCATTGCACTCAAGTATCAGTGAGGGTATATGCCCCCATTTTTTGGCTTTGGTTGTTAAGTTGAATTTTAAAGTAACCTTGGTACAAAGAGAAGCTGCTTTTTAAAGGTAAAACAAGCATTTTTAAAAAAAGTTCAGGGTGCAATGGAGCTGAATTGTGTCCTTGGGCAGCAATTCTAGGCACACTTAACTTGAAAGCAAGCTTGATTACATCTGAACTACTCAAGTGTGTTTAGGATTGGGCTGTTGAGGGAAGGCTGCATTGTAGCCAGGAAATGCTTTCATTTTGAATGTACTGAGTAAATAGAGACAAACCATTATCAGAAATTTAAATACCCATAATGGTAGTAAGTGTAAAATAAAGATCTGCCAAAACGCCATCTTTTATTTGTGACAGTCTAATCTTAAGTTGTGACTCAGGTTGGATATTTTATTTGGTTTAAGAGTATGCATTTGAACTCATTACCTTTCCTAGCAGTGTTGCTTGATGCAATTAAGGGTTGTATACCGTGTTAGTCCCATTTGAGTAGATCCATTGGAATTAATGGGCAAGACTACATCAGGTCAGTTAATTGCAGTGGATCTGCTATGTAGAACTTAGTTGAACTACAGGCCTGAGAGAGCTATCTCATGACACACTTGAAAACCAATTTTCAATTTCTGCCAACATCCAAGAATCCATAGAATTGGATAGAATTTATCAAATTGTATGTGGTGCATGACTTGGTAGCAACGGAAATCTTAAATTCCTTCCACGATGAATATCTGGTGGTGATACCAAACGTGGATTTCCACCAGTAGTTACTAATAAACATGTTTGTCTCTGCAGCACTTGACAATACAAAAGTGCATGTTTTATCTATTTGTACATTCAAAATGTTTGCAACCGTGAAAAAAATTTCCATATTCCCAAATGAAATGTATTGGGCATCTTGAAAAAACAGAAGTATTGTTTCCCCAAATTGTCATATGTTGAAATCATTGTTATAGCCCAAATGTAATTCTGATCTAAATTTCATGTTTGAAGTACTGCTTGAATTTGAATTAGAAACAAAATTTAAATAAAAAACCATAATGTTTTCTCTCCCCTAATAATGTGTTGGCTTATTACTTTTACACAAACTTTCCCTTTTCCGGGGTGTGGGTGTTCTACACACTTGAAATGTACTGTAAGCTGCAAGATTAAATCACTTGGTCACACTGTTACTTAATTTGCTTTATCTTAGAATTATGGATTTGGGTTTGTAAATTGAATATGCCTTAACTCTTCTCAATCTGAGTTTATTAAAGAGTGAAAGACTAGACCTTATGCATATGTTGGTAAAGGATGCATTGGAAAGAGAGAATGGGAGAAAGACAACAAACAAAGGCTATGGGAGCATAGTCTGAGTTTTCTGTTGTCTTTCTCCCATTATTCCTCTGCAACTGGAGCAAAGAAACTATTTAGACAGGATTTGGTGTGCTTAAACAAAAGAAGCAGTGCACAACTTCAGAGTGCCCTTTGCCATCTCTGGTTTGTCAGGTCTGCATGGTTTGGATGACAAAATGCAACAAGGACTCATAGCTGCTCACTAAATCAAATGTGCATCCCAGGGACCTCAACAAACTTGCAAATCAACCAAATCTAAAGTGATTGTTACGGCCAAATAGGAAGTTGAAACACTTGTCTGCCAGAAGACTAGTGGTTATTTAGCTAACAGTGTAGACACATGGGGAATTTGGAAGGGTGAGCAATACTGGCTTTTAGAATTAGAATGTATTAACTTCATTTGAAAAGGAATAATGAAAGAAATGTGTGGTATGTAACCAGTGGAAAATGATAGAAATTCATAGGACTGTATCTGTTTTAGGATACCTGACCCTCCAAAATCATCCCTATACCCAACAACCCTATACCCAACAACCTCTCTTACTTGCATCATGGTATCATGTAGCAGTTGAGGGTTTCCCTGCTCCCTGTACCCACAAATGCAGCACTGGAAAAGCACACAACCCTGTTGTAGTAGCCAACCATTCTTTAATTTTCCAGGAAGTTTTGTCACATAGTAGCTCCAGTGCACATCTGAACTAAGGTATGGCATGGATGTAAAGATAGCATCTCTAGTGTAATACATATGTGCACTGAATATAAATGCAGAGTGAGCCTTTAAGACTATGAATATGGAGGTTTGTGTGGGATGCATTCGGCATGATTGTCTCAAAGGACTGCCTGTCATTGCATCAAGGATACTTTGCAGAAAGTGTAGTCAGAGAAGAAAGTTTGGGTCAAGAAAACTCTTTTCTTAGAAAAGGAATCCAGCAGCTTTATGTGCCACAATGGTGACTATCTTAGGGTCAGTTATTGCAACAGGACGATGAATGACTTCATATAACCTAGCACTGTGCTAGGAGCTGTTTAGGAACCAGGAGTTCTACAGTGAGCAGTACAATCTGAAGGCTTATTTTAGCTACTTGATTTGACCAATATTTTGTTTTTAAACTGGTCAAATGCAACCCTATACAAATACCTACACCAAACGATCCCAACAAAGAATTATCTTATTTTGTTGACCAACCTTCCAATCATAGTTGGAAATACATCATTGGTATGTCTTGAGCAATACAACTTAGTACCCATTTTTACTCAATACTGATATAAAATTTTATCCCTCAGCCACAAACCGATACATTTTAAACAGTGTTTGGAACAGGTTAAGATTACAATGCAGAATCACTGGATCTCTTTTATTACAGCATGTTTGCTAAATTTACAGCAGATAATAAGCTGGGTCTTCCTTGATCAAAACATTGATGTTTTAAAGTAGTACACAATATTTTAAAAAGAACATATAAAAATACCCTTTTAGAAGCCTCTATAAGAAAGGAAATACAAAGTTTATTTCCACAACTTTCATCTGACCAGAGCTGCACAGTAACGCTACCATTTTACACTTTGTTTTAAACTATACATCAGGGGAAAGTCTACAAAATTAAAGGAACGCAGATATAAATGATTGCATAGCAGAACGTTAACTTTTAACATTAAATGAAAGTTAGAAATACTATCAAATATACAAAGGTTCTAGAATCACCTCTTAAACACATTCCACAGCCAGAATTTTAAAAGCCAGCTTTATTTAGAGTGGCCGGTTAGAACTAAAATTGAAACAAAACAATTCATCAACATTCAATTATCCTACCAAGCATAAGTGGAGGGTCTTTAAGTGTTTGATACTGGCTTTCACATTTGAATTAAAAAGCTATGGTTTGTAATACAAGAGAGCTCTCTGCAGAGAATACTTTGAGATTATGCCATGGCAACTTTTCATATTCAGTTCTCATACTGTATTACAACAAACCAAAAGTAGGATGCAGCTCTTCTTCATAGGGATGAAGAAGCTCACATTATGATAAACTACTGGAACTGGATATGCTACATTGCAAGTGGAGCACAATTTATAATCACCTTCTGGGTAAACAGACTAGTTTAACCTACTATGATGTAGGTTCTGACATGTAAACTCAAAACTGTAAATTATAATTTTTAAAGATAGGAGACTAGAAATTGGTTCTTATGGATACACAGGCTACATATGAAGTCCTTGGCAAAAAATATTCATTCTTACATATTGTACACATTAATCTGAGATGTTTTCTTTGCAGTTTTACAGCAAGTAACCCTATGCAATTTAGAGGTCAACTGTTCACTAGATAACAATACACTGGATATAAATGTATACACATTCACCTAATTATGTAACTAAATATTTTAGGTGTCAATATAGTAGCGGGCAAAAAGTACCTGGAACCTTGACAAATTCCACAACAGTCTCATGGCTGTTTTATCTCCTTTTCACTATGCTACAAGAACCATCCCTTCAGATGTTATCAATGAGAATCTTAATACTATTTTTCACAATGCCTTAGGAACGAGCCACCTTGGCACAAGTGGGGAAGAAAAATGCAAATCCCCTCCCTCTCAAATGTCAAAGTACTAATTTCTGATTTCACAGCAGTTACCAGTGCATCACGACTGCGCAGTTTTCCAACTGTACTGCAGGGATTATTGGACAATTTAAATATACATGAAACAGTTATTGTTTGTGGGTGAGTTCATTAGGACAAGCTGTAAACTACTGTCATAATCAATGTGCCATTGATATTTGAAGCATAAAAATGCAAGTCTTTTACAAAAATATACATAGAAACACCACAAGAACCTCAGTAGCTGCCCATGACATTTAACAAAGTGGACTCTTTTGTAGAAGATTCTCAATATTGTGTTTTAATAGTATTAATTGTCTGCTAACAGGATAACTGACGAAAGTTATTTTATGCAATGTTGCAACATCATAACTCAACTGTGTAACTGGATGATACATGCCTAAAAAACAAGGTACATTGTTAGTGGCCACTGGACTTGGGACTAGCCCATGACCTGGATCTGGATTTTGATCTAGATCTAGAATGCGATCTCGACTGAGATTTGGATCTAGCTGGTTCTTTTTTCCTTGATTCTTTTTCATATCTTGAGCTGGATTTATATTGTGTTTTAGAATCCGTTTTAGAGGTGCCTCTAGATTTAGTGCGAGATGCAGATCTAGAACGTGATTTAGCCTTCATTTCTTTTTTGGGTGATTTAGATCGTGATCTTGAATTGGACTTTGACCTTGAAAAAGATCTGTTACGGTGTCTGAACCTATCAGAAAGAGGAAGATAATACATTTGAATATGGACAAGTTGCTAGGAGTTGGGTATCTCACATCAAAATAGCTTACTCTTGCAGGCACAGACTAGTCTGATTTTGAATTTGTTATATAAAAGAATGTTTACCTATCATTATCTGAACGACTTCTGCTACGTCGACGTCTTCCAGCAGGTCTACTGCTAAAAAGGTACATCAGAAAAAGTAAACAGTGGCATATACCTTTAAAATTATTCACACACACCCAACTACGTTAAGTTTCTTGAGAGTTGCATTTGTTTTTCATTTTTCTTCAGTGATGCACAGACTTTTGGATGGTCCATGCAAGGTACAACAACTTCCATGCATGTTATTACAAAGGTGACTTGATATCTAGAAGTGTCAAACAGTCAATATGATCTCTCTTCTCCATTACATGGCAGCATAGGTCAATCCAAGTACAACACTTACTTTCTAGGACTATAAGATCTGCGATAGCTGTAGTCAAAAGAGCGGCTTCTTGACCTCCTCCTTTCGTAACTGCGGCTTCTAGAACGTCTGTATCTGTCATAGTCATCGTAACGGGAAGAGCTGTATACATTTCTTCCTTCCTTGGCTTTCATTTGGTTTGGTGCTACAGAAGAACAGAACAGCAATTTTTTAATGTTACAATAAAAATTCTCAGCTGATGTTTGTAAATGCAATACATGTTAATCATTAAGTAACAGACCCCTGAAATGACTTCCCACCATCTTCATCTCTGAAATGGAACAATTTAAAAAACATACTGTCCGATCATTTCAGTTTATTTTAAGATATATGGGGGGCCAAATGTTTCCCATCCATAATCAACAGCAAAACCCTTCTATAGTACTCAATTACAGTAAGTTATTGTATGCACACTCAAATACATGATTATATGAATACATTTTCTAGCTGAAATACACATGCACCGTGCAGAAATTATCAGAAACATATGCAAATCAACTCTGCATCCTTTATTCGGCATCCAGCATTCTAGTTTATTATCTGCACTCTTCTTGACAAATGAGGAAGAGTTGGACTATCAGGACTTGGGCAGATACTAAGTTCTATTAACTTCAATAGGTCTACTTTTGAGTATTACTGATATTGGATCCAACCCACTAGCTTTGCTTCCAGGATTTTCTCCTTGCCTCCAATCATACACGTTAGAACCTTAAAAATGGCAAGTAGCACTCACTCCATCAGCTGTTGTGATAGACCAACTCCATCTGGCCTCCTCTCCCTGGGAACAGACATTCCATCAGACTGTCTCAGTGGGATGGATAGGAAGCAGGGTTTATTCCATCCATTTTGCTGAATGCCTAGCTCAATCAGGCTTTCCATAATATTTAATAATAATAATAATTTAATTAATAATTTAATTTGTATGCTGCCCATCTGACTCAGTTGCTCTAGCCACGCTGGCTGGCACCCAACAGAGTATTAAAAACACAATAAAACATCAAACATTAAAAACTTCCCTAAACAGAACCCTGAACTGTGCCATCTAGTCATTAACAACTGTTTAGGAATAGGTGCCTAAACAGTGCCTCTTCTGCTTCCCTCCATGTCCCTTTCCCTTTGTGTCATTTTTATTTATTTAGTGTAAGCTTGTGGGTCTTATTTATGTATTTCATAAAGTTTATATACCGCTTGTAGAAAACCCCCTCAAAGTGGTCTTGTTTGTCTGACCACACATTTAATACATAGCCCTGAGTATTTGGCTTTACGTTTTACACTACACAGTTGTTAAGACAGTATACATACTTTTACGATCTCCTTGAGCAAACTGGATTTCTATTTGGCGGCCACAAATCCACTTCCGGTCCAAATTATGAAGGGCATCTTCAGCATCACGGACATCTTCAAATGTGCTAGATGTTAAGGTACTTGGGAATTTGATGTATTTACAGCTACACAGTTAGCAAGCTTTGTCTTTCCCATAATGTCATCACACACCCTTGTTTACCAACTTGTCCTCATTTTTTGGCATGTTCTATGGCATAACAAAAATTAGCTGACATTAACAATATCTATTTGAGACGAAAGACAAATTTCAGTTTAAAATAATCGTTCTATAGTTGTCTATATGGGTATTTCAAATATAGCTTCTCTGAAAATCTGTTTTGCTTCCCTCAGCAGAGACTCATTAGAAGACATCAAAATGTTGCTTTTTGCTGATGAAACTAGTACTAGATGTTTCCTAGATTCTTATACAGTGGAACCTCAGGTTGCAAACGTGATCCGTGTGGGAGGCACATCTGCAACCCGCAGCGCCGTGTCTGCGTGTGTTGCGATTTGGGGCTTCTGTGCATGCGCCAAAAGTAACCAGTTCCCGGTACTTCCGGGTTCAGCGCAGTGCACAACCCAAAATCGCATAACCTGAAGCGTCTGTAACCTGAGGTACCACTGTACTAAGGTTTTAAAGTATGAAATTATATCAAATTTTATTATATAATGTAATAACCCATATCCTGCATACCTCTAAGTAGCCTAAACAGGTTGTCCCTATATGTTCATGTACCAAATCCTAAGCCAAATTTCACCCTATTACAGGTATATTCATCTCAAATAATGAGTGATTGCATTTCACTGAGAACCATAATTTCAGAAGATACTACCAAAGTTAAGCAAATTATTACAGGGCCCAAAGCTAGACTAAACCAGAAAAATTGATTGGTTAATCACTTACACAAGCAGCCAGAGGACAGCTCTTATTCTGTAGGATACATCAGGTTTGGCTCCTTTTATCTTGGCCACCAGTCAACTTCATCTTGACCTTTAACTCTTTAAGTGCTTGTCAGAAGGACTTGTCATGAGATGCTTGGTCAAAAGTGACAGATGGCTTTATCTTTATACTTTGAAAAACAACCTTTTCCCCCATTTGCAGATAAAGCGAAGCTTTGTCTCCCATTATGGCTTGTCCTTCTTCCAGCTTTTTCTTTATCTTTTCTTTTCCCAAACTTTCCCTTCTCTTCAAGCCTGATCCTTAAGAGGTCTTTGGCTTGTCTACTTGCCTTAATTCTTGAACTCTACTCTAAAGGTTCTTTCATGCTTTCTCTTTGGGGTCGCCATTACTGTACAGCTTTACACTCTGAGGCAACAACAGAGGACAGTAAATTAGGGGACAATAATCAGAGCAAAACTTTTCACCTCATTTTTATACAAATCTGCTTTTGATCAAATTATTCCAGTTTCCACGAAGTTAAACAATAAAATATCAGCCACATTTTGCTAAGCACAAGAACAAGTTTAACAATGCCAGTAATATAAAACTGCAGCGATACACTTGGAGGCAGCAGCAAAGGCCATTTCAATGTTAAAAGCACAAATCTGTATATGAAGCTTGCAATAACAAAGCACATTTTACTTGATGCAATTTAAATTTTAACTTATAGAAATTTTGTAAGATAGTCATCTGTGAGGGAAATGGAGCACACTACAATGACATTATATACAACACAGAAGAAAACAGCTTTTTCATTTAGGGTTGTTACCTCATACACAAACGTGAATTTCAAACTTCAACACCCCTCACTAATCAGCCATCTGAAGAAAGGATATTGAACATAAGCGAATCCTCTTGGACGGCGAGTGTAGAAATCCAGAGGTACATACACATCTACTATCGGACCGTAACGACCAAATTCACGACGTAGATCTTCAGACCTGAAACAGAACACTGACCATTTGAATGTCTTTACTAATTATAATCAAAGCAAGCTGAGAAAAAACAAGCTACACAAACACATACTTAAGAGACAATTGCCAAGCCACTATTTGAAATTAAGGTTGTATCCAATGCTGTGCTTGCAGAGTTCTGCACGTGTCCCCAAAATCTGCTTTGGAGAGGAGTTCTGTTGTGCAAGTGGAACACTAATGTTGGATACAACCCTAAGGGATCTATCCAACTAAGTTAGGCTCAGAGCCACTGAAATTGATAGACCTATTTTAGCTTATGTCCACTGTCCAATAATATCAATGGCTTAACTTTAAGTGGGATTCATGTTGGATCCCTAAGGCTACAATTCCATGCTAACTCAACAGGGAATATAACCCACTGAACATAGTAGAACCTACTTTAATGTGGGACTGAAGACCATTTCCTTAGCATTTTGTGGTAACAGTCCATTCCCAAATACAAGTATATCAAATCATTATTAAAGTGTATCAATTAGATGAAAATATTTTCAAGCTTTTTTTTTATTTAAAAAGATCTATGCTAGTGTCCCTCAAGACTTTTAGGAATTATTACAGAATAATAGCGGATAAAAAAGCAAAGGAGCACATCCACCATCGCCAGGAGCTATGAACTGCTAACTGTAAAATACTTTAGAGTTGTGTTAAGGCCTACTGAAACAATGTACTTTAAATAAAAAGGTACTATTTAAATGCTAATATCTAATATAAAATTTTCCTAATGACACGCATTCTCCTTTTCTTTGATATTGCAACCTGGAAACATTTTTTTTAAAGAAAAGAAAGGGGACTGAATTAATAGAAAAAGTTCGACCGCTCTTGATTGAATACTCTATATTTCAAGTAATTTCTAGAGGCTTGCTAACCAGTTTAACCATAGGTGGAGGGAGAGACACCTGGCATAACAGACCTAGTAAAATATAAAGGAACTAGATACTGAAGGAAACTGAAACTGAAAACCTAAAAATTGTAGATTTGGATTAGGGAAGTAATTAAAAACATAACAGCCCACTAGATCAGGCCAACTGCCCGCCTAGTCTGGCAATTAGTACTCAAGGACCAACCAGATGCTTGTAGAAAACTTGCAAGCAGGATTTAACCACAAAGTACTCTCCCTTCCTTATTTTCCAGCAATGGGTATTCAGAAGGATACTTCCTCAGAGACAGAGTATAGCCATCGCAGCTGGTTGAAAATATAGGCAAAACCATCTAATGAGGATAAATTCCAAACAGAAATTAGACGGTGCCATGAATAGAAAAAAAAGGTAGACAGACGAGACTCAGGTGGGGATGAAACAATATAAAGAGGGAAAATGAAAGACGAAAAGAGGGCAAGAGAAGAAAAAGGACAAGAAGCGCGCGCGGGGGGGGGAGAGTGGGGAGGGGAAAAGGAAAAAAGAAGTTTTTGAAAATAAACGCTGCTGCGATAGGGTTTTCAACATTAATTTGTAAGCTACTCGGGGGACTGTTCCAGCTGAAGAGCGGAGCCTAAATGCCTATTTTCTTATTGTGTTTTGCCAAGTCACGTTTGGCTCCAAACGGGAAAGCTTGAGAACAACACACAGAAGAAGTTCAGCGGCGCTTACTCCTAGGGAACCCGCGTGCTGAGGCCTCAGAACGACATTGGCGGTTAAGCGCCACGGAACAAACGCGCTGAAGTGGGACGTGCATGGTGTGCAGAGGCCCTACGAAGACTACACAAGAAGCGGGAAGAGAAGACAAATGGCGGGAAGGCGGCTCGCGAAGACCTCCGCCGCGAGCTCCCCCACCCCCGGCTTAAACTGAGGCCTGGCGCATTCTGCATAATGCCTATGCGGGTCGGGAAGAATCAAGAGAGCTAATGGCGGCGGGGGGGGGGGGCTCCTCTCTCTCTCTCTCTTTCTCCGCGCCTCGGCCAGCAGGCCCAGCCAGGCGGCTGCCATGCCCTCTCCACCCCCCGCCTCACTTACACACACCTGGTGTCGTCGGCCACGTTCCGCACGAAGAGCGAGGTGTTGGGAGGCCGCAGGTAGCGAGACATGGCTCGTCCGGAGGCGGCTGGCTCGAAGGGAGAGCGAGGCAGAACGCGAAGGGAGGTCGGCGAAGCGACCCTCCTGACGAAAGAGACACAAGCAGAAAGCGCCTCAGGCCAACCGCCTTGTGCTGACCTCTCGCGAGAGTAGAGCCGCGCGGGGCGGCAAGACTGGCGCTCGCTCACAATAGGAGCGGAGGGAGTGCGAGCGCGCAGGCGCCGGAGAACTTTCGCCGGCCGTCTGCCCTAGCGGGGTCGTATGCGCAGGCGCCGAAGTTTCTCCAGTTCCCCTCCCAGCTCCACCCATTTCCTTCTCTGAGGCCTCGTCATTTCTTTTTCAAGCGAGTGCTCGCGGAGTGCGCATGCGTATCTGTTGAAGTGGTCGCAAGTCTGTGGAAGCGAGGGGCTCATTTCCCCGCGTTTAAGGCGCGCGCTGTGTTGCTCTCTTCAGGGGTCGGCGTGAGAAGGTTGCTATTCGCCGTTGGCCAGGCTTTTATTCATCTGGGCACTACCTTGCAGGACACAGAACCTTTCAAGGATATATTTCTACGAAAAAAATATTTTCGTAATCTTTTGTAAACCTTTATTAGGTTGCATTTTATAAAAGGTGACCTTTAGAGGTTCACTCTTCACATAATGCTCATAAGCCCTCTGCCTGGGCCCAGCGGGGGGGGGCAGATGCCTCCTTAAATAAATAAAAATAAATACAAATCCCCTGCCCCTCCCAACAAAAGTCTGCCCCCCCCCCACAAAAATCCTGGGTATGCCCATGGCCCTCTGGTTTCATTACATTGGTACAAACTAACTTGGATCCCCTGTATGGGAAATACACACTGTTCAGAGACACTGTGCCTGTGGTTTCACTCACTGAATAAAAAAATAAAATAATAAATCAGGAAATTTCCCTCATTGGTAAAGTGAAGGCATTTTCTCTTGGAGCAATACTCTGCATATCCTGAGAAGCACTTTGCCTGCCTGTAACCACTTTTGATTCTTTCACGCGTAAAGCACTGTCCAGTAAGGCCTGCAGCCTGAGGGGTGATTCATGCAATGATATCTTGGGACAGTGTTTCTGAGGCTTGCCAGTGGAAATAGAAAGATGGTGGAGAAAACTACAAGCAAGGTACTCAGTGCTGAGGCCAATGCAATGATTAGTGATTCTATGGCTACAATCACTTTGTAGTAGATACATAAAAGTGTTGCTAGTACATCACATAAAAGTATTGTGCCAAAGGTATACAGGTAATGAGTCGAGTGAATAAAGCACTTTGCAGTAGAAGCCTAGCTAATGTTTGGCTTGTGCATATTTAAAAAAACCTTCAACCAGATGGAGTCATCACAAGTCTCCACATGCCCTTATGCTTCTGAAATATGATGCTGCCAGCTACAATGTGCTTGTTTTTCAAGCCTCTTTAACATCCTGCTCTTGCTGCTAATTATGTTTGGAATGCAGTGCCTTAAAAAATACATTTTCGCTTAAAGTTTTTTTATGATGCAAGTTCCAGAACACAAAACAATCCAATAGGATAACAGTATACTTCCCAAAAAAGTGCAGCAGTTTTCAAACCGTGTTTTAGAGGAATCTTAGCATTCCTTTTGTTTCTCTGACAATATACACAACTTACATTTAAAGCGCATACCCCCTGGCAAAGAGTCATGGCAACTAGTTCATTCCTCACAGAGCTATGATTCCCAGCACCCTGGGAATTTGGAAGGGCTGTAGATCAGTTGTAGTGTATCTGCTTTGCATGCAGAAGGTCCCAGATTCAATCCTCAGCATCTCCAGGTGGGGTAGGAGAGACTCCTGCCTGAAACCCTGGAGAGCTGCTGCCAGTCAGTGTAGATAATATTGAGCTAGATGGATCAATGGTTAGGTCAGCGGGAGGCAGCTTCCTACATATCCTTAACAAGTTTCCAGGTTTCTTTGAAAATGTGCTTTAAATGTATGGTGTGTATATGCACCATACATATAAGGAAGCTTAGGATTGGTTATAGCTTCAATTTCTTTAAATACTTGTTTCTGCTCTTATTTCAGTCTACCAAAGTGAGTGGCAAAAGCACGTCCAGTTCTGAACTTCAGATGGCAGCACAACCTATGGTACTTTTGTTTTTTCAGTTTTATCTGGGGTGCATTTTTCTACACTGGATGCCATGCCTGTACATGTGTTTGCCCTTTTTACAAGACTGGTGCTGCTTTATGGAGGAATTTAAGCCAAGCTGCAGCAGAGCTGTGCATTCGACCCACGGAGAGAACTTTGCTCCGCATTCCTGGGACTGACCTTGTTCCCTGCAGATACAGTAATCAGTGGCTGACTGTACTTTGCTGTCTGCAGCTCAGGGTTGCTGATGAACTCCAAGCGTGCTAGTCTGCTAGCCCATTGCCCTTAGTAAGTATGTGTTCCTTTCACAGCTCTTCCTCCCCGCCCCACCGCTAGCTGTTCAGCACAGCTTCATCAGTGTCAGATTCAATTCTGTTTGTGTACACACCAGGGGGCTTTCAGGGATGTCTACCCTGTGCAAAATGAACCTTGGCTAGTAATGAATTAGCAATGGCTAACCCAATTGGTATGAGCGGGTTTTCACAGGGAAAGCTCTGGGCAAAGGAGAGCGCTCAGAACTTTAAGGCATGGAACTCAGTTGGTTAGTGTGTGGTGCTAAGAACTCCAAGGTTGCAGGTTCGATCCCTGTAAGGGACATTTGCATAGTCCTGCAATACAGGAGGTTGGACTAGGATGATCCTAGGGTCCCTTCAAACTATGATATATGACACGTGCCTGTAAAGAGCAGGGCAAAAAGTAAGTGTGGATAAGCCCTTTGTCTAGTCTTTAATGTGCATTAATTCTAATTTGTTTATGGGGCAGTTCTATCAGCATTCTTCTTGAATTGCTTGCAGGTTGTTTACATGTCTTCCCATTCGTCATTCATTCCACATCTTTCAGTGTATGCCCCTGTCACTCTTCAAACTGCAATAAGTTATTAAAAGAAAAATGTGGATTTGTTGCACTAGGGGAAGAGAATTGTTTAAATGCATAAACCCCAGGTTCCAGTTTGTGCTGGAATCACTCACATAAAATACTGACCATCTGGAAGAACCCTAGGTCTCGTGTTCGTCATTTCCAGTAATGTTCCAATTCTGCCTGGTGTTTCCATTTAACATTGTTGCTTTAAAGTAGCAAATACCCCAAGTTAAAAAGTTCTCCAAACAGTTTGTGGTAAGTGCTGAAAGACCGTCCTTGAATGCTTAACAGGCAGGCCTGTCCCATGCTTGTTCCCACTATATTCTGCTCAGTGTTCCAAATAACTATTGTGATTAATAGTTATCAACAGCCCTTGGGGTCATAGAAGCATAGAGTTGGAAGGGACCCTGAGGATCATGTAGTCCAACCCCTGCAATGCAGGAATATGCAACTGTCCCATATCTGCCATCCATCAATTGGTCTAATCCTTAATTATTACTTTTTAATGTCCCCTCAAAGCTATTGACTATCACAACTTTGCAAAGGAGTGTTTTCCTCTATTGGTTCTGAATCTACTGCCAGTTAATTGCACTAGGTGAATCCGAGCTCTATTACTGGGGGCCTCAGTACATGTCTGGACTCCAGTCAGAATGGGATTCTCAACTAAGAAGCTCATAATTGTGGAAAGAGGGGAAATGGAGTGTCCCCCAGTGCAGCACAAAACACTGAAGTCAAAAGCCTGCTAAGGAAAACATGGATCTTTTCCTCATGGGACAGCAAGTATTTTACATGTGCGTTGTGCGATGCCACCAATCAGCTTTCTTGCTAACACTCTTGTTGAATTCTCAAAGCTTTATTTGTTGTTGCACATTTTGGCCAATAGGAATAACGTAGCATTGATGAAAATCACATTTTGCTTAAGGTAATTTATGCTGTTGACGGCAAAGCATGATCTTCCAAGTACTGCTTTTCCAAGTAGATATGGCCTCTGCGTATGTGTGTCTTCTTCTTAAGGGAAGATGGCAGCCAGCAGTGCTCCACCAGCTGTCACTGCAGCTGTGGTAGCAGTGGACAGCCCAGCAGCACCTAGAAGATGATCAAGACACACAGTTATTGTGATGAAGATCTCAAGGTGCGGAGACTGGCTCTGCCAATCATGTGGTTCTTGTCCTGAGAGCAGCAGACATACCGACTGACTGAAGCGCAGCAACAGCGCTCCCAGCTGCTACTCCTCCACCATTGGCGATGGCTGCTGCCGACATCATTTTTGCAGCCAGAGAGCCAGCTGCAATTCCAGCTCCAGTGAAGCCTGCTGCTCCCAGTGCTACTGGTACAGCAATCGTGGCCACTGCTGCAAGAACACAGAATAAGTTATGTTACATGATAGAAGTAGGGGAACTGACTACGATAAATCATCATCATCATCAAACCTTTTATTGGCATCACATACAAACATCCAAAACAAATCAATACAGAATTACCACTTCCCCAGTGGCACAAAACATTTGCTAAAAGAAAGGAGGCAGAGCAGACTGTCATCACATCTCTAGGTCTCCAGGGAGATCTGACATCTGCAGTGTATTTCAATGGCAAAAAACCAAATAGCTATATTTAGCCACTAACTTGGTGAGCTCCTGATCATTCCCCAGTAAATGAAAATGTATGACCTCCAACTCTGGTTTCCATTTGGGGATACAGAGATGAAAGTTGAAAATAAAGAGGGAAACATGTTTTCTCTGCTGCTGCTGTTAGTTCTTGTCGTTCAGTATCCCACAACCTAGTTTTTAATATAGCCTTGGCAGATGGTAGGGACATCGATCGCAAAAGTTCCACTGACAGCCTGAGTTGCAGTACCTTCTTGTTAAACTGTTGTAGCTCTGGGGAAAGAAAGGGATCTAACAAAACATCGCTGAGGAGAGGATCTTTATCTGATGTAAGGCAGATGTTTAACCAGGATAGAAGAAATCTCGCCCAGGCGACAGCCTCTACCTTGTGTTGACCTCCCTCTAGACACAAGGCTCCATAGGGTGCACAGCGTGGGACTACTACGATATGTAGATATTTGCTTAATGCAGAAAGGGCATCCAAAGTTTGTTAAATTTAATGCTGTTGGCTATCCCTTCAGTTATTCTGTTTTGATATGCCAGATGTTCTGTCAAAGCCATTTCACAGATCTCATCAAGCCAGACTTTCATTGTGAACTCCACCATTTCCAATGACTTGCAAGCTTCATTCATGCTGCTGCAAGCAAAATAATCACCAAAATTTGCCCAACTGGAAATCCAGATTACTTACCCAAGCCGGCTGCACCTCCCAAAGCTGCAATTACTGAAAGAGAGACTTGTTTTAATAAGATATAATGGATCTCAAGTACATATACAGTCATACCTCGGATTACGAACGCTGCAGGTTGCGCGTTTTCGGGTTGCAGACCGCGCAGAACCCAGAAGTACCGGAACAGGTTACTTCCGGGTTTTGGCACTCATGCATGCGCAGAAGCACAAAATGACATCACGCGCATGTGCAGAAGCTCTGGATTGCATCATGCGCGTGCGCAGACGCGGCACTTCAGGCTATGAACACTGCGGGTTGCGAACGTGCCTCCCGCACGGATCACGTTCGCAACTGGAGGTATGACTGTAAAATGCAAAAAAGCATCAGGTGAGCTACAACTATGATGGGCATATTTGTCAGTTTCATTTACTTTCTGTTCCTCATGTTTTCCAATCTCAGGTTCCGTTCACATTTCCATATCAGCTTGATTTAAAAACAAACGCACACAAATTCTCATGAAAATTTCCTCACCATTTTAATGCTGATTTCTCAGAGTTGTACAAGATTTTAAAATACATCATTAGCATTTCGAGGTAGCTTGCCTGGAAACATTATTTCAGTTTTCTGATGACTTTTTATCGTTTTCTTCTCTGTGTGGTGTCTTTTTAAAAAAGAATTGCTTAGCAATGCTAATGATTCAGCGGCATAATGATTTAGCCCTAAATTTAACAAAGTCAAGACAACTTGTATTACAACAAGGTGCTGGACCCAGGTAAATGTCTATTCATGCCCACAAGAGACCTCCAGTTTCAGGAACAGGGAAATTCTAGTTGAGGTGTGAGACAACACACACATTTAACCAAGTACGGCTTACTGGTGTGGATAGGAAACATCAAGATAGATTTGGGAAGCATGAAATCAAAAGCACTTATATGCGGATGAAGGCGCACAAATACACACTCAGAAACAGTAGCCTGTGTATGTACATGTTAGTGCCATACTCTGGACGCAGTCCAATAGTGAAGTGTGCTTCTAATTTTAACCTAGGCTAAGTGGGGGCAGAGGTGAGGAGAACCCCATGTCCCCGACTGAGAAGAGTTTGAGAAGACTGGAAGGTGACAAGTTACCCAATCCCCAAGAAAGTAAATAGGCTCTCTTACCTGGAACGCCCACCATGTTGGCTTTAAGAGACCTGAAGAGAGATGCCAGAAACTCAGTTAGGCTAATGCAGTGTACAATTGTGTGTTAAACTATGGAACTCGATCCCACAGGAGGCAGTGATGGCCACCAATTTGGGTGAATTTAAAAAAGGACGGGACAAATTCATGGAGGATAAGGCTATCAATGTCTGCTAGCCATGATGGCAGCAATGCTTCTGAATAGCAGTTGTCTGAAACCACAGGAGGGGAGAGGGTGCTCTAGTGCTTGAGGGTTTTCCAGATGCATTTGGATGGCCACTGTGATAACTGGACACTATCTATTTAGGATACAGTGGTACCTTGGTTTACGAACTTAATCTGCTCTGGAAGTCCGTCCTTAAACCAAGGCATGCTTTCCCATAGCAGCAGGGGACTCAATTTACAAATGGAACACACTCAACAGGAAGCGGAACATATTTTTATTCCAAGGCAAAGTTCACAAACCAAAACACCTACTTCCGGGTTTGCAGCGTTCTTAATCTAAGTTGTTCATAAACTAAGCTGTTCTTTGACCAAGGTACCACTGTAATTCTATACATCTGACAAAGTGGACTCTGGTGGTTTAACTACCAATCCCTCTTCCCAGTTAAGTCAGGGTATTGTAGTTTTTTAAGAGAGTTAATTAAGAACTCTCAGCACCAAGGCCGGCTCAAGACATTTTGGTGCCTGAGATGAATCAGAAAATGGTGTTGTCCCCTCAGGAATCCTGGAAATTGTAGTTTGTCAGGCTACAAACTGACAAAGTGCTGGGAAAAGGGTTCCCAACTCTGTCATCTGTCTGGCAGGAAAATATTAAGAAGAATTCCTACATGCCAGGTTGCTGCTAAAAGGTATAGAAGGACCGGCAAGAATGGTAGCAATCCCAACGCACAATATGGGATAGTCCAAAGTTTGAAAATAGGCATATACCCTGTGAAAGACAGGTGTACTCTTTTAAAGCCTTCTCAGACATGTAATTTTATTATGTACATTGGTTTTTAAAATCTGTTGCTTTTATCTCCATTTTATCTCCATCTGTTTGAAAGCAATATTGTCTTTATTGCTATATAAAGTCATTATTGCTATATGACTATTTCATACAATTTTATGTATACAGTTTAGAGGGATTCTTTTTTTGAAGTGCCAAAAAAGCATTGTTAAATGAGTAATAATAATACTAAATAAGTAGTGCCTAAAATCTCAGCATTCCCTTTGTAGAACATGTAACCCCATGACAAAGCAGAGCTAGAAAGGATTCATCTTTCTTTCTTCTGGGGGGGGGTGTATGAGGGATGTGTTTATGCGTGCAGCACCTCCATTTTCAGAGGCAAATATACCAGCAGCTGCAAAAATGCAGCTGCCCCAAAGAATAAATGCTGAGAAACAGCATAAAGCCAAGATTTGATTTTTAAATGCAAATAAATAACCATGAGTATGAATCAAGGAGAAATAAAAGTGCTTGACAGCAGCACTGGACACCCACAAGCTCAGGAGGAGGATAAGAATATTGCTTTTATTTGTGGTGTCTAGGATTGTCTGTAACAGCTGTGTGGCAGACAGAAATGCCAGAAGGCCAACTCTCCCCATCAAGGCATCCTCATGCTGGGAAAAGCTGCACCCTGGTTTTTGTTTTTCACCCAGAAACAGATAACCTAAATATGAAAGCATGAGAAGTCACCTTCCTTGCCTTTTTATCAGGAGACATAACACTGCAAACAGTGTTAGAAACTGAGATATGAAAGCTAGGAGCTACATAAATGGAATCTTAAACCTTTGTTATGGGCCCCGCAACAGAATGTCTAGGCGTGTTTTTTTATAACGATACAAAGCTGAAAATGAATGAACCGCAGCTAAAATCTTATTTTCATTTTTCACATGGTCTAGTCCTCATCTGAAGACTGCAAAAAACGCAAAGCCATGCTTCCTTTACCCACCTTGCTAATATTCTTATGAGGGTCCCTTCGCCCGTCTTCAGAGAGTGGCTGGAAGTGGGGAGGCAGAAAAAGGTCCTCCTTTCCTTCCAGCAGTGGCAGTTCTGCACCCAGAGCTCAGAAGCTGCTTGAAAAAAATTCCCTGATGCAAAACATGCCAAAACAATGGGGAGTTTCGAGCGCTGGCTGCAAACGGAAGAGAGGAGCCTCCATTTCAGTTTGGATTGCGTCAGAATGACGGGATTAAAGTCTAAATCAGGGATGGCGCAGCCAGGCCCAAAGCCCTGCTCCCCACACCACCCATCTCTCTTTGTTTGCCGCTCGCTTGTTCTGCACAGGTAGCAGCTCCCAGCCAGTGGATGAGGATTTCTTCTCTGTCTTCTCCCCGCTCCTGCTGCCCCCAATGAGCTTGCCGCTCACTCTGCACAGCATCAGCATCTCCTCAGCTGGTGTCTTGGCAACAGAAAGCAAAGGCCTGAGGACCCCTATGCTGGCCCTGCAGTCCCCTGCAAGGCAGCACCTAATGTTTCCATATAGCTTTAATTGGTTCCAAAAATTTAACAAGTGGCTGCTGGTTGTCCAAAGGGTCTCCTTGCTTCAATCCATCCTATAAGTGTTGTATAACGCTAATACATCGCTAACCAGATAAACAAGTTACCTCTTACCAGATTTTCCTTTCTGAAATGAAAATGTTTTTGTTAAAAAATGGCATTCAGTATTTACATTGCAAGCATCCTATTAACAATACTTTTACAGCTAGATCTTTTATTCTGAAAACATCCTTAAAGTTGTCTAACAGCAAAAACGGGGCCAGTGTTATTCTTTAATTCCTTTTACGCTATCCTGCCGAAAACACTGCATATCTGTACATATCGACCAAACATGCTTAACATCTACTAAATTCTTGGAAAATAGACATTGGGGTGGTCTTGCATATGAAGAGAAGTCAGCTCCCCAAAACAGAAACATCTCTATGCTCAATTGCTGAGCTGGGGAAGGAACTGATCGAGCCACCAATTTCCCTTGATTGTTTTGGTTACCGCTGCTAGAAGCTGTTACTTACCCACGCCTCTCCTCGGAAATCTGCAGCTACTTCCACCACGTTCTCTATATTGGGGAAGAGGCTAGTGATTGACAGTATCCTCCGCCAATGGAAACAGCACCTAGACTCTCGTTCGATGCTGACCCCCCCCCCCCCAGTTTTAAAGTGATTCTCAGAGACCAGCCCACAAAACCTGTAGGTTTCTATTTCCCCGTCTTCTGAGGAGGAAGGGAGGAAACCAAAGTGGCATTGATACCGCGTGGCTTGTAATTTAATGATTCAGTTTTCCCTTTTGTAGCTTGCCTAGGAGCAAGAAGAGATAGACTGAGCTACGTCTCTATGGGAATATTCACAAATTAAGCATTTTCATCAGGAACCATGAGAACGTGAAAACCATGAAACAAGGACTGAGTCTATGAAGTGTTTTGAGCATATACTGGTAATGAACCCTATTAAAACACTTCTCCCCACCATTTTTTAAAAAAGGACAATCCAGTAACTAATTGTAGCTGTAAAATTTCAGGAGATGAATGGAACTATGTAGGGGAGGAATGAAATGATAAAGCTGAGTCATGATGAAATTTCAGTACTTGTATCAGAAAGGATTCAAAATTCTTCGGACAAATCCTGGGGGTGTGAAAGAGGAAAAATGTGGCAGTGAAGGGCTGGGATGGCTCTTTGTAATTATGATAGAAGGTAATGGAAGCAATTATTACTGTGATTCTGGAAGAAAACTGAAGCCCAGGCAACACCAAGTAAAAATAAATCATTCTGCATCTGCAGTCAGCATGGGTGTTACTAGCACATTTTTGGGGTTGGGTGAGACTTTGTCACCCCAAAGTGGTGACATTTTGGTGAGTGATATTTTTCACCATTAACTTTCAGGAGGAGTTTTAAAATATTCCTGCATACCCATACATTTGATGCACAGGTAGGCAAACTCCAGCCCAATTGCCTTCTCAATCCGGCCGTGGATGGTCTGGGAACAAGCGTGCTTTTACATGAGTAGAATATGTTCTTTTACTTAAAATGCATATCTGGGTTATTTGTGGGGCATAGGAATTTGTTCACCCCCCCAATATAGTCCAGCCCCCCACAGGGTCTGAGGGACAGTAGACCGGCCCCCTACTGAAAAAGTTTGCTGACCCAATTGATGGCTGAAAGATACTACTCCCAGTAAACTAGACATTACTAGCTTGCAGAGCATTTCTTAAGTTTTTGGATGTTTTTAATGTTTTCATTTTATTTACAACTGTGTTGCGGACAAAAGGTCCAATGGTGGGGTGACCTGAGCCATTAATCACACCAGGATTGAGAAGGAAAGATTTAATCAGACAGCAGGAAGAAAGTATGGGGAAATTGAGTACCAAATCCTATACGTACACCATTTGTGGCATGCTCACACAATTTATACAGTTAACTCTATATGCAGTAATACTTACGACGATTCAATTGGCTATCAGCATCGGCATATGCAATCCCCTTAGCAACCTACTTTTTTTTTTGGTCTTGCACAGCCAGCAGCGTGGTGTTGTTGTTGTTGTTTAGTCGTTTAGTCATGTCCGACTCTTCGTGACCCCATGGACCAGAGCACGCCAGGCACTTCTGTCTTCCACTGCCTCCCGCAGTTTGGTCGATTTCATGCTGGTAGCTTTGAGAACACTATCCAACCATCTCGTCCTCTGTCGTCGCCTTCTCCTTGTGCCCTCCATCTTTCCCAAAATCAGGGTCTTTTCCAGGGAGTCTTCTCTTCTCATGAGGTGGCCAAAGTATTGGAGCCTCAGCTTCACGATCTGTCCTTCCAGTGAGCACTCAGGGCTGATTTCCTTAAGAATGGAGAGGTTTGATCTTCTTGCAGTCCATGGGACTCTCAAGAGTCTCCTCCAGCACCATAATTCAAAAGCATAAATTCTTCAGCGATCAGCCTTCTTTATGGTCCAGCTCTCACTTCCATACATCACTACTGGGAAAACTATAGCTTTAACTATATGGACCTTGGCTGGCAAGGTGATGTCTATGCTTGTTCTCTTGACAGAACTCTATTAGCCTTTGCCCTGCTTCGTTTTGATCTCCAAGGCCAAACTTGCCAGTTGTTCCTTTTATCCCCTACTTTAGGATTCCAATTCCCTATAATGAGAAGAACATCCTTCTTTGGTGTCATTTCTAGAAGATGTTGTAAGTCTTCATAGAATTGGTCAATTTCAGTATCAGAAGTAAAAAAAGTGGATTCATTGCACTAGGGCAGGGATGTCAAACTCCCAAGAGACTGTGATCTACTTACAGAAGAAAAAACTGACAGTGATCTACCCCTTTTAGAGGGGTTCAGGTTAAAGTTGTTGAACTTTTTTTTAGGGAGGAAAGCCAAACTTTGACTTTAGGGGGGAAAGATAAAAGTCGCTTACCAAAAGAACGCTCAGGAACATGACGAAAACTGTCTTCCGTACTAGCGATTGTGCACAAATGGAGGACGGGGCAAGGGGGCGGGACCGGATGCTCTTTTGCCCCCGCAAAGGAAAAAGAGCCCAATTTCACATCCCTGCACGAGGGGAAGTGTTGTTTAATCCACTTAAATACATAGACCTTACGTTGCACATTGTGCTGTAATCACACATAAAATACTGACCACCTGGAAGAACCCTAGCTCTCCTGTTTATCAGTCCCAGTGGTGTTCCAGTTCTGCCTGGTGTTTCCATTTAACACTGTTGCTTTTAAGTAGCACATACCCAAGTTCAAAAGTTCTCCAAATACAGTGGTACCTTAGGTTACATACACTTCAGGTTACATATGCTTCAGGTTACAGACTCCGCTAACCCAGAAATAGTACCTCAGGTTAAGAACTTTGCTTCAGGATGAGAACAGAAATTGTCCAGTGGTGGCACAGCGGCAGCGGGAGGCCCCATTAGCTAAAGTGGTGCTTCAGGTTAAGAACAGTTTCAGGTTAAGAACAGACCTCCGGAACGAATTAAGTTCTTAACCTGAGGTACCACTGTAGTTTGTGGTGTGTGCTGAAGGACCACCCTTGAATACTGGCAATATACGTTTTGTGAAGATTAACAGGCAGGCCTGTCCCATGCTTGTTCCTACTATATCCTGCCCAATGGTCCAAATAACTATTGTGATTAATAGTAATCAATGGCCCTTGGGGGTCATAGAAGCATAGAGTTGGAAGGGACCCTGAGGATCATCTAGTCCAACCCCTGCAATGCAGGAATATGCAACTGTCCCATATCTGCCATCCATCAATTGGTCTGATCCTTAATTATTACTTTTTAATGTCCCCTCAAAGCTATTGACTATCACAACTTTGCAAAGGAGTGTTTTCCTCTATTGGTTCTGAATCTACTGCCAGTTAATTGCACTAGGTGAATCCGAGCTCTATTACTGGGGGCCTCAGTACATGTCTGGACTCCAGTCAGAATGGGATTCTCAACTAAGAAGCTCATAATTGTGGAAAGAGGGGAAATGGAGTTTTCCCCAGTGCAGCACAAAACACTGAAGTCAAAAGCCTGCTAAGGAAAACATGGATCTTTTCCTCATGGGACAGCAAGTATTTTACATGTGCGTTGTGCGATGCCACCAATCAGCTTTCTTGCTAACACTCTTGTTGAATTCTCAAAGCTTTATTTGTTGTTGCACATTTTGGCCAATAGGAATAACGTAGCATTGATTAAAATCACATTTTGCTTAAGGTAATTTATGCCGTTGACGGCAAAGCATGATCTTCCAAGTACTGCTTTTCCAAGTAGATAGGGCCTCTGCGTATGTGTGTCTTCTTCTTAAGGGAAGATGGCAGCCAGCAGTGCTCCACCAGCTGTCACTGCAGCTGTGGTAGCAGCGGACAGCCCAGCAGCACCTAGAAGATGATCAAGACACACAGTTATTGTGATGAAGATCTCAAGGTGCGGAGACTGGCTCTGCCAATCATGGGGTTCTTGTCCTGAGAGCAGCAGACATACTGACTGACTGAAGCACGGCAACAGCGCTCCCAGCTGCTACTCCTCCACCATTGGCGATGGCTGCTGCCGACATCATTTTTGCAGCCAGAGAGCCAGCTGCAATTCCAGCTCCAGTGAAGCCTGCTGCTCCCAGTGCTACTGGGGCACCAATTGTGGCCACTGCTGCAAGAACACAGAATTAGGAATATGTTACATGATAGAAGCCTTAAATCTAAATTGCCTAGACCACAGTGCTTAACCGTCTTGGCTGTGGGTCCTAGGAGACCTTGCAGGCCTTTTCCCACCTGGCCTGGGATGGTGAGGCCTTGACTGACACTCTAATTTCAAAAGCTAAGGCTCTTGGGCTGGGGTATTTAGGGCAGTGGTTTCCAATTGGGGGTTTGTGTGGTCTGCTGCACCCCCAGAGAGAACGTGCTTATCTTGCTAATTGGGGAGTGAAAGCCATCTGTGGGTCACTGAGCCTCCACGTACTATCAGCGAAAGTTGCTGGATGGCAAGAGAGTAGGGATTGGGGGAAAACCTCTGACATCATTTTATGGCTCTTGCAATTGGTACAAGGAGAGAGTGAGAATGCAAATTGCTTGCTCCATGGGACGAATTCATGGAGCCCTGCTAGGACGAAAGGGGAAGCAGCTCCTGGTTGCTTCTCATCTAAAATAGGCTTCCTCAGACTTGGCCCTCCAGATGTTTTGAGACTATAATTCCCATCATCCCTGACCACTGGTCCTGCTAGCTAGGGATCATGGGAACTGTAGGCAAAAAACATATGGAGGGCTGAGTTTGAGGAAGCCCGATCTAAAATTATTAAACTAGGAGCAACTAATTCAGACGACTTGGCGTGTAAAGCTCTCCACCTATCGTTGTCGTCATCATCAATCCATCTTTTACCCCAAGGTCCCAAAGCAGCTTACAACAATTAAAACACAATATTTAAAGGCAATAGAAAACAACTTAATGCCATATGAATAAGGTGGATTCTAAAAATATGCCCAATCAAGCAAATGCATAATTTTGCGTCCAGACCTCATTGATTTTGGAAGGGGGGTGGGCCGGGCAACCAGGTGCCTAGAAACTTGGGCTTGGGGAGAATTTGGTTCAAGTCCCTTTTTCGCTTTAAAAATTCAGAGTAGCCCTAGACCAGTCACAGTTTCTGAGACCAGTGGAGTGAGGGGGGACAAACCTTTTCACCAGCACTAGGTACCTCCGTTGCTAGCACCTGCTCACTACAACTTGCCATAACTTCAGCTGCATTTCTGACAGTCAAGGCAGTTTGTTTCTCTCCTCCATCCACCCACCCCTGCCATCCTTCCTGCTTTGGCTATCCCTGCTACCAGGGCTTTTTTTCTTGAAAAAAAGGTGGGGGAACTGACTACGATATATAGATACAGTGGTACCTCGGGTTACATACGCTTCAGGTTACATACTCTTCAGGTTACAGACTCCGCTAACCCAGAAATAGTACCTTGGGTGAAGAACTTTGCTTCAGGATGAGAACAGAAATCGTGCTCCAGTGGCGCGGCAGCAGGAGGCGGCCCCATTAGCTAAAGTGGTGCTTCAGGTTAAGAACAGTTTCAGGTTAAGAATGGACCTCTGGAACGAATTAAGTACTTAACCTGAGATATCACTGTATTTGCTTAATGCAGAAAGGGCATCCAAATTTTGTTAAATTTAGTGGTATTGGCTATCCCTTCAGTTATTCTGTTTTGATATGCCAGGTGTTCTGTCAAAGCCATTTCACAGATGTCATCAAGCCAGACTTTCATTGTGAACTCCACCATTTCCAATGACTTGCAAGCTTCATTCATGCTGCTACAAGCAAAATGATCACCCAAACTTCCCCAACTGGAAATCCAGATTACTTACCCAAGCCGGCTGCACCTCCCAAAACTGCAGATACTGAAAGAGAGACTTGTTTTAATAAGATATAATGGATCTCAAGTACATATACAGTCATACCTTTACGAACGCTGCTGGTTGCGGGTTTTCAGGTTGCAGACCGCGCCGAACCCGGAAGTACCGGAACGGGTTACTTCCGGGTTTGGGCCCTCATGCATGCGCAGAAGCACAAAATGACATCATGCGCATGCACAGAAGCTTTGGATTGCATCATGCGCGTGCGCAGACGCGGCGCTTCAGGCTATGAACACTGTGGGTTGCGAACGTGCCTCCCGCATGGATCATGTTCGCAACCAGAGGTATGACTGTAAAATGCAAAAAAGCATCAGGTGAGCTACAACTGTGATGGGCATATTTGTCAGTTTAAGTTACTTTCTGTTCCTCATGTTTTCCGGTCTTAGGTTCAGTTCACATTTCCATATCAGCTTGATTTAAAAGCAAATGCAAACAAATTCTCATGAAAATTTACCAACATTTCAATGCTGATTTCTCCTAATATATACATTTTTATGCAATATTCCTTAGTGCACACATTTTTTTTTGCAAAGCAATTTCTCTAAAACAATACATTTTTAAAAATGTTATTTTTACTAATCTACACATTTTTAACACATTAATGCCATAGTGTCAACAGATCCTAACAGTGAAGCATGCTTCCAATTTTAATCTGCGCTGAGTGGGGGTGGAGGTGAGGAGAGTTTGTGTCACTGACTGAGAGTTTGAGACAACTCCTTTGGACTATACGGTTACAGTTACCCAATCCCCAAGAAAGTAAACAGGCTCTCTTACCTGGCTCAACCATGCTGGCTTCCTAAAGACCTATATAGAGAAACTCTTGTTAGGATAATGCAGTGTACAATTGTGTGATAAACTCTGGAACTCAATCCCACAGGAGGCAGTGACGACCACCAATTTTGGGTGGCTTTAAAAGAGGACTGGACAAATTCATGGAGGACATGGCTATCAGTGGCTACAAGCCATAATGGCTGTGCTCTGCCTCCAGTTCAGAGACTGCAGTGCTTCTGAATACCAGTTGCTGGAAACCACTGGAGTTGCGATTGAGGGTTTTCCAGATGCATCTGAATGGCCATTGTGAAAACAGGATTCTAGACTAGATGGACCATTGGCTTGATCCAGCAAGATCTTATGTTCTTAACTAACAACCACTCAGACTCCCACTGCTTCCAGAACCCACTCACATATTATGCCACTGCACTGTTAAACTGATTTGCTTAAAACAATTCCCAAGGTGGGAAACTGCTGTGTTAATTCTGTTTCACAGCAGAAGCAACCAAGAGTCTCATGGTAACATAAAGACTAGCAAATTATATTCAGCATAAGGTTCCATGAGTTAAAAAAGGACTCTGGTTCATGGGTGTAGCGGGGGGAGCAGCTCCCCTCCAATCAAGTAAAACAATATACTGTAAATTCTTAACTAACTGACCAATCACGTCGGTTCTGCCCCCCAACAAAAGTCCTGACCCCCCCAACCAAATCCTGGCCCCCCCACAAAGATCCTGGCTACGCCCATGTGCTGGTTGACAGTATTATACCACTTTAAATGGTCCTCATGGCTTCCCTCAAAGAATACTGGGAACTATAGTTTGTTGAAGGTGCTGAGAGTTGTTAGGAGATCTCTGTTCCTGTTTGAGAGCAACAAGTATCAAAGTGGTTTAACAATCACTCCCTAAATAGTTACAGTGACAATTATCATCCTCTGCTGGTCTCTGTTTCGGGAAGTTTTTACTGTGTGACATTTTATTGTTTTTAAAGCAGCCCAGAGTGGTTGGGTATTTATACCCAGAAGGGCAGGGTATTATTATTATTTCCCTTTACACAATTACCAACTGCCTGGGGTTTTTTCGCATTTTGCTTCCCTCTTGACCTCTCCATACCCTCTGCCTCCCAAGCATTTGTGTGTACATCACTTGGCCAATTTAGGATAATTCTGTGCATCTGATAAAGTGGTTTAGCAATCAATCCCTCTTCCCAGGGAACTTAGAAAATGGTGTCCCCTCGAGGAATCCTGGGAATTGTAGTTTGTCAGTTTGTAGTTTGGCATGCAGATAAACAAAGTGCTGGGAAGAGGGTTCCTCACTCTGTCATCTGCCTGACAGGAAAATACCATATTTTTCGTCCTATAGGGCGCACCGGCCCATAGGACGCACCTCGTTTTTTTGGGGGGGGGGAATGAATAAAAAAAAATTATTTCCTCCCCCAGCCGCGGCTGCCACCCCAAGCCTTGCGCACACCTGCCTGAAGCACGGGGCGCCCTCCGGAGGGCTCCCCGTGCTTCAGGCTGCAGGCTGCCACCCGCAAGCTTTGTGAGCCCGCGGGAACTCCCGCCTGGCTTGCAAGGCTTGCGGATAGCTTCCTGAAGCCTGGAGAGCGAGAGGGGTCGGTGCGCTGCTGCTTCCAATTTTTAAAAGGCAAATTGCTGGAGAAGATGCAGCAGTCAATCACTCTCTCACTCTCTCCAAGCACCCACGCTAGCAAACAAACACACAGGCAACCACACACTCACAAAGCACACGCACTAGCAAACACACAGTCGCGCTGCACACACAATCAAGCAATCAGAGTGGCCAAACCTCCTAGCAAGCACTTCCCTGGCTTCTGCTTACCTCAACGAAGACGACCCTGTTGACTTGAAGAAAATGTGTGTGCAATGGCGGGGTGGCTGGCGCAGCCGCATTTAAACGGCAAGCCACGCCCCCACCGAGCTTCCCTATTGGGTGCCCAACTGGGGAGGGGCGTGGCACACCAGCCCTGGAGTTGAAGCAGGGGGCGGAGCGCCACCTGCATGATGCGGGAATCATCTCCTGCTCACAACCCCTCCCTCTGGTAGGAGGAGAGGATTTTCACCCCTGAATACTGTACTGTGCTTTTAATATAACCAAATGTAAATTTAAAATGTGCAGACTTATATGATTAAAAATTCATAGTATCAGGGAAACAGCCACCAGCCACCAGGTTATACTAAGGTGAAGTAAAGAACGTCCTCACAGCCAAAGAGTTAATCTTTAGAATTTCCTACCTAACATTTCCATATGACTTTAATCCAGAAATTTAACAAGCGGCTGCCAATTATATGAGGAGTCAGCTTGTTTCAATCTATCCTATATATGTTGCATTAAGTTAACAAATTGCTAACAATATGAGCAATTGTATTAAGTTACCTCTCACCAGATTTGCTTCTGTCGACAGGTGTCTTTTGTACAGGTACTGTAACGAGCTGGGATTACAGGTAGGACCGCTCCCTTACAGCAGGTGGTTCTAATCTCAGCTCATTACATACAGTGAAGATGCCAGGTAGCCTGACATCTGGCTGGTTGATAGGGGATCAAATACTTATTTCACTCATTCTAATGCACATCAATCTCTAACTTTTGTCTTCTGGGTTTCTGGGGTTTTTCCTGTTGTTATTCTATCTCTCACAACTACAATAAACCTACCATTAAAATTATGGACTGGTCATTTCTTCGTCAGAAGGCAAACGGGCAAATTTAGCAGGGGATCAAATACTTTCCCCCCTCACTGTATGTCTGGCACCTTCGTTATACAGTTTTTAATCGTATGCTGATGATATACCTCTTTGCCTTGGCTTTTGACACCTGAGAAGTGTGTTTTTGGGACCTGCCCTACTCTTGTGATTTGCTTAAACTGCTTTTAGCATTGCATTTTAGATTATGGTAACACACCCTGGGACCTGCTCGTGAATAAATAAATTTAATGCTAATAATATGTCAGACAGTTTTTGCAAAGCAATTTTCCCAAACACAATGCATATTTGTAAGTATGCATGTTTTTGTTTTTTGTTTTAGTTTTATTACTAATATATGCATTTTGTGGACGTTACTTGGCTGGAGAACTGCATTCCAAAATTCAGAGAAGTGCAGATTTTGAAGAATGGGTCTGTTTCACTTTGCATATGGTTTCGGAATATGTGAATAACGTAGGTTTTGCTTTTAACCTGAATTGAATTTCTCCCAAATCCCTAGCTACATATGAATATTATAATAGGTACTGTATATATGCACAGTCAGGCTAATTAAAGATAACAGAATCATAGACTGTAGAGTTGGAAGGGATCCTGAGGGTCATCTAGTCCAACTCCCTGCAATGCAAAATCTCAACCAAAGCATCCATGACAGATGTCCATCCAACTTCTGTTTAAAAACTTCCAAGGAAGGAGAGTCAACCATCTTCTGAGGAAGTCCATTCCATTGTCAAACAGCTCTTACCACCAGCTTGTCAATATCCTTCTTAAACTGTGGCATCCAGGACTGGACACAATATTCCAGGTGTGGTATGACCAAAATAGAATAGAGAGCCATCTTATTATTTCCCTTGAAATGGGCACTATACTTTTGTTAGTGCAGCCTTGAATAGCATTAGCTTTTTCCGCAGCTACATCACATTGTTGACATGCTAAGACTGTGGTCTCCTAAGACCCTTAGATCCTTTCCACATGAACTACTGACAAGCCAGGTGTCCCCCAATCTTATATTTGTGCAGCTGGTTCTTTCTGTCTAGTGTAGAACCTGACATTTGTCCCTATTGAAATTCATTCTATTAGTTTGGACCCAGTTCTTCAATCTGTGAGGATAATCTTGAATCCCGATTCTATCATCTGCAGCATTAGCTACCCCTCCCAGTTTGGTGTTGTGATAGGAATTTTATGGTTTTAGATATATGGCAACGTTCATAACCACACGTACATAGATCAGCACAGGAAAGCCAACCTGGAACCATTTTGATTCCTAAACTGAGCAAATGTTTCTCTGCATGGTAAAAATGGAAAAGCCTCCCCATTGTCTCTTCCTTCACAAATCCTGTCTTAATCTGTGTTTGAATAAGGGTGTGAGCCTTATCATTACAAAAGACTGCCAAGGCTCCCCAAGAAATCCAATCAAGTAACCTGCCAGACAGGAAATAAACAAAGCGACAGGAGAAAACAACATGCAAATGTTCTGTTTTAGACCGCCTTATCTGAGGGGTGGTCTTAGGTTACACCCCTTCTGTGATGAATGCATAATGTTTCTGGGGGTGGTCTTGATCTAGAGGATGGGAATTTCAAAAGTCTTTATAAGCCCTTGCACAGCATTTTTGTGGGTCCTCTTCCTCTCCTGCGTGTGAGGGAGCACCCTGTTGCAACAGATTAATAAAGATCAAGCTTACTAGCTGCTTTGCTTCTCAATATTCTCTGGTTGGCCTCTGTTATTTTCTCCTACCAATAGGGAACCTATGTAAGGACTCTATATGGGCTCTTGGATACCCCATAAGGGAAAAGGGCATATTTCTATTTACAACAGAGTCATGTGCGAAACTGTAGATGTGTGTGTGATAGTAATTCTGAACTTATTTTTAAGGTTCTTACCATGTTGTTAATTCTAGCATTCTCATTTTTTTAAGGGTACCACAATTTCACTGGAGGCAGAGTTGTGAATGGGTTCTTGGATGCATAGATGATGGCAATACCAGCACTTATCTATGCTGGAGGAGTGTCTGAAGTGAGCATTGCTATCCTATTCTAGTCACTCTTAGAGAGCTATTACACGAATGTACCAAGGTTTGGCCCTCTAGCTGAGGATTCACAGTAACAGTGTTTCTTACTCTTCTTTCTTCTCAGCTGCTGCAGGTCTGTAATTAATTGGCACAGCTTTATGGGCAGCTATAGGGGCACTAGTGGGAATCTTATATGAGGGCTTTGGCATGAAAGAGGCAAAAGGCAAGAGATGATGTCCTTTGCAAGAGGAGAGGCACTTGATGCTTAACGATGTATCTTTGCCATGTGATGAGAAGCCAACTTCACATGACTACAGTAATTTGTGGTTGTACCCAACTGAGTTTTATGTGGAGTAAAGCCATTGAAATGAATGGGCCTAAGTTAGTCATGCCCGTTAATTTCAGTGGATCTACACTGAGTAGGACTAGCGTTGGCAGCAACCCATGCTAACTCCATTCCATTTGGTGACACCAGAGTTATTTTCGTCCCAAAGCTTTCCTTGGAATCTTTTCAAAACTAAAATCCTCTCAGTTTCAAAGTCCTCTCGATTTCAGCAACGTCCCTTTACATTTCCTTTAGCATTGCTAAACTTAAGAAGAACCTTACTGCTGAAACACACCAATGGCCTGTCTAGTCCAGCATCCTGTTCTCACAGTGGCCAATGAGATGCCTGTGGGAAACTTGCAAGTAGGACCCAAGGGCAAGAGCACTCTTCCAGCAACTGGTGTTCACAAGCACACCGCCACCGACAGTGGAGGCAGAACATATTGATAGTCTTGTTAGGATTTTTATCTCACCAGCTGCTCAGCAAGTAGCACTATGGTTGTTTATATCATGTGAGTGTCTGAGAGCGTGAGACAGGAAGTCTCATTACTGTTGGAGTACTGATAGAGGTTATTTCACTTCTGTGTGAGATGTTGTTCTGTACTGCTGCTGAGAGAGAGCAGACATGCTGTTGGAGTCTCTGTATATAGACTGTTAAATAAAGTAGTTTATAGCTACTCATTGTCTCTTTCTTCTGCAGTGAGATGCCAGAAGACGAGCGTGCTCCTCTCGGGGGGGGGGTCGCTTATCACAGGTCTCTCTGGACTGAGGAAGATTTACAGCCAGAGAGTGACCACCAGAGAGACGCCCCGGTGTCTTGGGAAGGTCTCACCTTCCATAAATAAAAGGAAACATTATCAGTGATGGACAGGGCACTTTATTCCCCAAATATAAAAAGTTTGCTACAAAACTGGGTTGTCTTTTGAATCTTTAAACCTTCCGGCTTCGTCTGGTGAATGTTGCTGAGCCAGATGTGATGGTCTGTGGAAGATAAATTGGAAAAGGTTTCTCTAAATTGCCTCGTAACTAGCAGGTGTAAGACTTACCTAAGCAACGCAAAGTAAATCAGAACGTGTCCCAAAACACTGCAAATAACCAGGTAATTGGGGCAATCGTTGAAGCCAGAGGACCAATTAAAAGTAGACCCCTTAGTAAATTAATTGACACATATAATTTAGATTCAAAAACATTCCAATGAAACTATTTTGTTTGGAGTGAGTTTTCACCTTTGTTCGAGCCATGGCTATTGTTGGAGCATATTCCTGATGAGATCTAGTTTGCTGTAGTCTTGGATTGGGGATAGGGTGGCCATGTTCAAAATGCTCTTGTATGCATTAGCAACTACACCTGCTTCGATTCTTGCTTTCACATTTGCAATAGTTAAAGGAGCATGTGCCCTTTGAGCATGTGCAGAGTGCCTTTCTCTAGATGGCCTGCAGTATTTTGCAGAACCATGTGGCACGATGCAAAATGCCAAAATAAAAGTGAGCAAAATGCTTGCATTCTTGACCAATACTTCCCACATATCTGGGATTGGGAGAACAGGAGCTTCCAAAGGCAGAGGCACAGACATTCTCCCAGCCCCTCTTTTGGAGAAAGTGACCCTTCTGCAACTGTTCATCTTAAAATACAGTGGTACCTCGGGTTAAGTACTTAATTCGTTCCGGAGGTCCGTTCTTAACCTGAAGCTGTTCTTAACCTGAGGTACCACTTTAGCTAATGGGGCCTCCTGCTGCCGCCGTGCCGCCAGAGCACGATTTCTGTTCTCATCCTGAAGCAAAGTTCTTAACCCGAGGTAATATTTCTGGGTCTGTAACCTGAAGCATCTGTAATCTGAGGTACCACTGTATCAGCATTTACTCACCTCCACCATTTCATTGCCAACTACTTGCTGCTCATGGACGAATTTATCTGCTTTGGCTATTAGTTTCCCATTTTCCAGGGTTACTGTGCACTGTTTTAAAAAAGAAGAAAAACCATTACTGCACAAGGTTTGGGCAGCAACAGATCAGATGCATAGGTGGCCACAGCCAAATGGCTAGCAGAAGGCAGAGTTGCACCAGAATGAAGGAAATGAATACAGGCAGTTAGTGTTTTAGGCACCTCTATTATGTGCATGACTTCACATGTCCACATTGCAGTGAACTCAGAAACACCCAGAAAATGTCACGAAAAACATCACAAAAAAGGGGCAGAACAGGACAGGGCGCCTTACACAGGCACCACTGATGTGTGCAGGGGTCTGGAACGTAACGTACACTCAAATCAGTTGCTGCCTGTATATACATTCTAAACAAATGTGTACATTATGGAGTGAATAGAATAGAAGCTTCTCCATACACTGCAATGGGAAAGAAACAGGTGCCTCCTGGGAATACTGTGCCACAAAGATTGAGGGTTGCCAGCCAGGCCCAGAGTCTCTGACCACTTTGTCCCATTCTTTTATAGCACTTTGCTACCATGTTAAACAGTCATGGTTTCCCCCAAAGAATTCTGGGAACTTTAGTTTGTTAAGGGTGCTGAGCATTGTTACCAGACCCCTGTTGTCTTCCCAGAGCTTGAGTTCTCAGAGTTCCCTATGAAGAGGGCTTGGCTGTTAAACTACTCAGCGAACTGTAGCTCTCTGAGGGGAGCAGGAGCCTCTTAATGCCTCTCAGCCTCTTAACCACCTACAGCCCCCAGAATCCTTTGCGGGAAGCCATGCCTGTTTAAAGTGGTGCCATAGCACTTTAAATGTATAGTGTGACTGTGGCCTCTGTGTCTACCTTTAAGAACCCACCCATGTGGGCTCTCACATGCAGGTGTGAGTAGGGATGAGTGAACCTGTTTTTCATTTTTCCATTCTTCAGTTCTCTACATTTTCACATCAGTTTGATTTTTTTTAAACGTCCTTGTGAAAATTCACTAGCATTTTCATACAAATTTATTCTCAGATATAAACATTTTAATGCATTTTTTTTACTAATATACTCAGTTTTGAGAAGCCATTTCCCCCAATATAATGCATTTTTCCCCTTTGTTATTTTCTCCAGGATATGCACTTTAATGCACACTTCACCCTAGTAGCTGCCTTCTCGTACCCATTACTTGACTGAAAAACCTGCAATGCAAAATTTGGGAAGTGTGGATTTTGAAGGACATTCTGTCTTTTGCCTTGCGTATTGTTTTGAAATGAGATAGGTTCACCTTGAAATGAAAACTGGATCAAATTTCTCCCTTGTCTGCCTTTTTTTCTGGGAGTCTACATAGAATTCAGGACTCATGCACACTTTCGCTTTTCTTGTGCTGAGAAAGGAGACGTCTGAGTGCTTTCCTGCTTGTCCCGTACTTTCTAGGTGCAGATCCAACAGGTTTTGTCTTTGTCCCACCACTTTCCCCCTAGGAAACCTGTATTTTAGTGCTATATTGGAACAAGCAGCAATCTGAGGGAAACCTGATGGCCAATTGTTCAAATTCAGTGCTAAACCACAGGTTTCCCCAGGGGAAAGTGGCAGGGCAAACCGAAGAAGTGTGGATGACAACAGCAGCCAGGTGAGGCAGCTGCATCGTATGCCTCTGAGGATGGCAGAGTAAAAACAGGTAGGGCAGATTTGAGTCAGGAGGCACAGTCCTGTGGGATTTTCTCTTGCTCAAGCCCCAGTGAAATGAGCAGCAACTGCAGCTTAGTGTCGCAGGAGATTGTGCACCCTGTTAAATTCATGCACGTGTGAGGAGCATCGGTTTTCTACATTATGCACCAAAATATCTTGGACTGGCCCTTTTCTATACATTACAAACAAGACGGTTTTAAAGGAGTGTGGTTATAATGCCTTTCCAGCAAAGAACCTTGGGAACTGTCGTTCTGGCAAGCCATCTGGGAATCTCCACCAGCTACAGTTTCCCAGCAACTCTCACACTGGAGTCAGCTCTGCTCTAGTTTGTGTTGCAGATGTGCCTGAGTAATCGATAGGCAGGCTCAAGAGCCACCTGCTAATGCTGTTAACTCTCAAAGCCCTTAGTTACCTTCACTTTCTTGCCATCCATGGTGGTCATTTCTGTTTCTTTTCCCAGAGTAAATGAATTTGTGACGGATTTGTTGGGGGTTTTGGATGTGACGACAAAGCTGTTCCCGGTTTGCTGGATTTCAGTGATGGGCTTAATGTCTTTAGCTGCTTTGATGATATCGTCTGACAAAGCTGGGGAGGTGGAAAGAGACAGAGACAGACAGATGTGGCGTTCATAAATGGAGAACATGAAAGATCCTGACTGGATCAGATAAAAGAACTTCTTATTAGAGCATCCTGCTTTCCCCTTCCCCCAATATACCTCTGGAGACGCCTTCAAGTAGGAGCACAGTCTCCCCCCACTATTGCTCTCCTGCAACCATTGTTCACAGGCAATGGAAGTTCCATTTTGCTATCATTCCTTCTATTTCCCAGGCTTCTGGTTATGAGTGCCAATCCTTTATGTAGCCCAAACAACACCACCTTAACATGACTGGGAGGTATTGTGGGGAACTCCAAATTAAAGGACCCCCAAACTGAGCATGCTCATTGACCACAGAATGACTGTAGGAAGGGGGAGAAGCCAGAGGGGAGGTGGGGTTGGAATCCTGAACAGCAGCCCTAGAAAGGGCAACATTTGGTTGCAGGTGCCAACTGTGCATGGCTAATAGTCACTGCTAAGCCTCTCTTCCTCCATGTATGTGTCTCACTCGTTTTTAGAAACACAGGAAGCTGCCTTGTACCGAGTCAGACCCACTGATTCATCTAACTCCATACCAACTGGCAGCAGCTCTCCAAGGTTTCAGGCAGGGGACTGTCTTCCAGCCCTCCCCGGAGACCCTGGAGATTGAACCAGGATCTTCTGCATCCATATCAGATGCTCTGCTATTTTGCTATGGCCCTTCCTTTTAGATTTAACACCTTCTAAAGCAGTGACCATCACCCCATTCTATGGTGGGGAACCCTATGCATGCTTTCTGCCTGAAGGATTGCTTCCTCTTGCCTGGAAACAAGGAGCATTATATTCTCAGTAAAAGAGCAATTCTGAAGTTGGAAAGGTTTCGGGAAGATGTCTAAATTGGGGTGATGGTGAATGTATGACTGGGCGAGGAATGATGTAGAATTGGAAGGGACCACCAGGGTCATCTAGTCCCACCCTCAGCAATGCAGGAATCTTTTGCCTAGCATGGGGCTTGAACCCGTGACCCTGAGATTGAGTGTCTTAATTGCCAACTGAGCTATCCTTGACCTCTAAAACTGGAGGGAAACAATCAGAGAATTGTAGCAAAGAAGGGCTTTCTAATTGCAGCGAAAGATTGATTCTGTAGCAGAAGATGCTGCTCACCTTGATCTAGCAAAAGAGGTTTGCATGGTTCCTAGCCCTGTCCTTTGCCTCTCTGTCCAGAGGACTTTACAAATTCTATTAGTCCTCAAAGCAGAGAGAGCAGGTCTCCCGTGAGACCCCTGATTATACTCTAGCGAACTTGTCTCTTCCGGAAGAAGCAAGGAGCTGCTTACCAATAGCTTTCAGGAACTCTTCATATTTCTCTTGGCTGTAGACCTGCCACGTGCCATTGAATGCCATTTTGGAAAGCAAGAATGACAGAACGACAGGCTACTGGTGCAGGGCAAAAGAAGTTGGTGTCCCCAACTTAACTGGGTGCCATTTATAAAGATGTGAATCCTGCATCCTGTCCAGATTCAAGCTGCAAATGATTATACTAGGAACTATCAATAATTAATCCTAAATGTTGGCATTGTGGAAATAACCTTCCAGTCATTGGGTCGGTGCAAGCCTTGACTGATTCCTCACAGGAACAGGCATTGGCAAATCACACATTATTTCAAGATCCAGGGTTTATGTAACAATGAAGGCAGGAAGCCTCAATGTATTTCGGGTGGGTGAATCCAATGCAAAGGTGGTTGAATCTGTCAATTTCAGTTTCTTACTTTCCTACGCTTAAATTCATTTGCTACATTTCCACATCACTTGGTGATTTATTTATTTTTTAAAAAACAAGTCCTCATGAAAATGCTATTTTCACTAATTAGGCATTTTTTTGTGTATACTTCACCCTAGTATATCACATATCTCCTCCACCCTCACTTCAGATTTTTACCACAGAACATTAGGGATAGATGAATCTGTTGATTTTAGTTTCTCATTTTCCCAGTCTAAAGTTAAGACCTGCAGTTTGCATTTTTTAAAGTCCTTATGAAAATTTGCCAACATTTTGGTGCACATTTCTCCTAACACACACACTTTTGTATGCAGTTTTGACTAGTATGCACATTTTTGCAAGCAATTTCTCCCAATATATTTTGTGTTATTTTCATCCATGTGTGCATTTTTATGCATGCTTCTCCTAATATAAGCATTTCTGAACAAATTTATTTGGTTGGAGAACCACATGCAAAATCTGGAGAAATGTGAATTTCGAAGGATACTTGGAAGTGTCTTAGAGAGCGGCTGCCAGTCAGTGTAGACAATATTGTGCTAGATGGACCAATGGTCTGACTCAGTATAAGGCAGCTTCCTTTGTTCCTAGCATAGGCTTAAAAGCAAAAGAAAAAACAACAAACTACCTTCCAGCTTCCAGCTTGTGAGAGTTTTGATTCCTGATAGTCTAAAATCACCACAGGCAGCCAGGTGAATGTCTATTGAAAAATGTGGCCTATCAGGCAGGAGGATAGAATGCTTGATGATCGGTCCTTCAAAGCTGAGATTGCTGGTCTTCTGTTTGATAGGAAATCAAGTGGATCATGTAGGATACTAGCATGGTGGCAACCTTCTTTTGTACTTAGACATTGTGGGCAAATTCAGAAGTTCACAGTCCGTTTATGATAGTCACAGCCATACCCCAGTTACAGCCACACCCTCTTCTAAGATTATGCAATACAGTGGTACCTCGGGTTAAGAACTTAATTTGTTCTGGTGGTCTATTCTTAACCTGAAACTGTTCTTAACCTGAGGTGCCACTTTAGCTAATGGGGCCTCCTGCTGCCCCACACCGCCATCGTGCGATTTCTGTTCTCATCCTGAAGCAAAGTTCTTAACCCAAGGTACTATTTCTGGGTTAGCGGAGTCTGTAACCTGAAGTGTCTGTAACCCGAAGTACCACTGTAATAATAAGCAGGGGCTAATTGCAACAATCAATGCAGATCTCCCTGTGTTGCTTTTCAGCAAGAGCTATTATTTTCTGTGCATGTACATCGGCAAATGATTTGGAGTGCTCCAATATCTTCCTTTGCAGTGACTCAAGCTGTGTTTTCCTTGAAGTTCCGTTGTGCATAACAGAACTTACACACCATACTCTTGAAAACGGAGACACCTTGCATTTTCAGTGTTCCTAAATGCTCAGTTTTGGAGCATATGGAAAAACAACTCCTTGGTGTTCTTCCCATGTGCCTTCTCCAGGGTGACCCTAGGAGCCAATCCTCAGTGGCCAACTCACCTCCTTTCACTCCGATTGGCTCCAATCAGCACAAATGGTAAGAAGACTTCTTCTCAGTGGCTACGAAGCTCCCCTTTCATGTTGATTGGATGGCTCTAGGATACTGGAGACAGGGACCCTGCTGCAGAAATAGTAACAGGTCTTTGACCCCACCCCCCATGACTCCAGACCTCTACACCTTTTGGGCACAGGGCCAAAGAACAGAGATGAATCATCACTCCAGGACGATGGCTTGTTAACTTTGGCAGGCTTTACACTGCAGTGTAACCTTGTATGCCACGAGATTGCTTAATTGAAGTAGTATTTGTGTACTACCAGGTCTGACCTACCTAGGTCAACATTTCTACTCCTGCATACTACACAATGCACCCCCTTTTGATAGCAGAATGGAAGAGTAATACTTCCCCCTCTTTTTCTAGCTGTATGCAACTTGTCCCCCCCAAAAAAAACAAATGCTAAGAGGTGGAAACCATCTTAATACCCCTGCGCCATACTTTGAGAAACACCACACCATGAGTCCTGGTTTGGAGCAGCTTTGCACTTGCAAAGTACTGTTGAATTGATTTGGTGGCAAAAGGCTTGGTGACTCCAGGCTCTCACTAAAAACTCCTTGTTAGCAATAGCACCACGGGCTACTGGTCTGTTTCCAGGCATAAATCAGTGCTGGTTTTGACCTACAAAACCTTATATGACTTTGGTCCAGGCACTTTTGGTGAAGGCACAAGAGAGGGATTTCTCGGTGGTTCCTCCCAGATGGTGGAACTCCTTTCCATGGGAGGCTAGGCTGGTCCCCTCTCTGCTTTCCTCTCACCAGCAGACAGAGAGCTTTTTGTTCAGATAGGCCTTTGGCTGTTATGGCAGAGTCTTCTGAGGGTGGGTCACAATTAGTGATCCTGCAGCTGAGGTAGGACATAAAAGTCTTACCTACAGGGTCCTGGAGCAACTGGCAGATGTACAGGGAAGGGCTGTAGCTTTGTGGTAGAACATTGACCTTGCATAGAAAGTTCCATCTTCAATCCTGGACATCTCCATGTAGGTCTGGGAAGGACTGCTGGCTGAAACCCCAGATCAAAAGTCTGACTCAGTTTAAGGCAGCTTCATATATTTGTATGTTCCTATTTTTATAGCCTAGGTATTTATTGAGTAGAGGCCCCACCCACTAAATGCTGTATCTGGTCAGTTGATGGGCTGATGCCTTCTGTGGCCATTGGCTTCTGCTAGGCCCTGGGGTTTCAAGCTGTGGGGATATCTCCTCAAGGCTCTCTTCATCATCCAAGGAATCTGTTCTGGGGAGATGTGGACTCTGGTACACACAGTCCTACATGGGATGGACTGGGGAGTGGAGCCTCCAAGGGTTCCTGGACTAGGACCAATAGCAACTGAATCATGCAGACCATGCATAGGAACACATTTTCAGAGCTAGCTTTGTATCAGAAAAACATACGTACGTATGAGATGGAGATTAGGGCTCTCTCAGACAGGGTGGCCATGTCTTACTTTACAGAAGACAGTCATAAATGGCTCTCTGGTTCCAGCCTAGTTTAAAAAGAAATAACATAGGGAGGGAGATCAGGAGGGGCCTTGAAGAAGCTGCCCATCAACACTTAGCACCTCAACAGCAGACCTGGAGAGTAGGTACACAGGTCACTTGAGCAGTCTTTCCCACTGCAGTGAGAAGTATTGTGTTTCTATTTATTGTAATTATTTCTGAATTTGCATCTTTACATACAGTATAAGTTAGCATATGCCAATTTCTTCAAATCTGCCTCTTCTTTTGGGTTATGCAGTTCCTCTTCTCTTGCTCCCTAACGGTATCAGAATGCCTGAAGGTTTTTAGTGCATAACAGGACATATTCAGTTGTAACACTGGAAAAGTTCATTATCTCTTAAGCAATCCTGCTCAGTTCTGCCAGTTACCTCTTTTGACTTCTGCTGACCCTGGGGAGCTAAAATTTAAGCTGCTGTGTCAAAGGGACTGTGGCATTAGCTAACCAGCCCTAGCCGCCAGAGAGGGTGAGGAGGACATGACAAATGGCCACAAATGCTTTTAGGAGCATTTATAACACAAAATAGTGTGTGGCAGATTTTGGCCACGTCTACACCTTATATTTAAGGCTAATGACTTCCCCCAAAGAATCCTAGGAACTGTAGTTTATCCTCCCACAGTTACAATTCCCAAACACCGTTAACAAACTATAGTTCCCAATATTATGTGGGGGATCCACGTGCTTTAAATGTATCACGTGCATATGACCACACTATGGTCCATGGACCACTGTCAGAGAAATAGTATAGAAATGAAAGACTTAAAGAAAGTTGAAATGTCTGTGAGAGGGAGTTGAGCAAGCGAGGGTTGTGTTTGCAAGAGAGCCGTGAGAGAAGGGTGGAACAATAGGAGCTATCGCTGTAAGTGTTAAGGACAAAGGGAGGGGAAGCTAAGAAAGTTGCTATGTCTTGAGATCAAACCAGTAGAAGCTAGTAGAAAGAAGTACTGCCATATATGGAGATAACGGCCCCTTTGCTTGCACATGTACAAACGCTTGTGCCTTTTTCATATTTGGTGTGCCATCCTCACAGCTACTTGCTGGTTGAGGTTGCCGCACTGGCCTTGCAACGCTTAAATAAACACCCGACAATTGAAGTCTGGATTTCATTGGCCAAGTGGTCCAAAGTGTGTTTGTATTAAATATTCACCTATATTTGGCCCACCCTTGGTGACCAACAATTGAAGTCTGGATTTTATTGGCCATCTAGGCTGAACTCATAGGGTCTTGGGTTTTGAACCCCAATATTTCCCCAACACCAACAGCGGTCTGTGTGCTTTTTTCAAGTGGTCCGAAGTGTGTCTGCATTAAATATTCACCTATATTTGGCCCACGGGGGGGGGGGGGGAGTTGGGCAACCCCTGTTAGCTCTTTTCATAACAAAGGAAGACCTTCAAACTTCTTTAGATCTAGGTAGCACACAGGTGAGCAGCCATGAATTCAGGTTTTAGGCTTCTAGTTTATTAATGCATGCTTCATCATCAAGCATCATCATTTGCTCTTGTCTTGTCACATTTATTTGTTTTCTTTAACATGGATATTAAAAGCATAGCATGAACCACAAAACAGCTTACTACAGATTCTTGATCAATAACACCAAATAATAAATGCATCAGAAGTCCACTCAAGCCTTCTTTCTGAAAAAGTGTCACCTGGACTCTACATCCAGAATAGAGCCAGTGCCATTAATATCAGCAGGAAGGTCTCTGACTTCAGACATATCAACACTATTCAGTTAAAGCATACTTAAACCAAAGCACATGACTTCACCCAATGAATCCTGGAAGTATACCCCTCACAGAGCTACAATTCCCAGGACTCTAAACTATAGTTCCCAGGATTTTTTTTGGGGGGGGGAACCATGTGCTTTAAATGAATGTTGTGGATGTGACTCTAGTATATAGTACTGTAGACTGAGACCTCAACCATCAAACTCAACAGGTGACCTTGAGCCACACACCAACTCTGCCACTGGCCTACCTTTCAGGGTTGTTACTGTGAGAATAAAATTAGGGGACGGGAATAATGTATACTGTCCTGAGCTCCTTATAAGGTGGGATGATCATGATCATCATCATAATAATAATTCAAGTAATAATAATGCTGCTGCTGCTATAGACGTTTGATTTCAGGTTTGTTTTTCGTGAAAAACAAATTCAGCATCTTCTGTACTCTAGTTCAGGCCATGATTTGTGAGGAGAACCTGAGCTGTAGGCCTGTCACTCTTTCCAGGCACCCCCCCTTTCCCCATTCTCTAAAGTACACTTTCTTTTCTCTCTGTCTGCCAGGGCTGAGTCATGCATGCATGCTCGTCACTGGGCAACCGCAATATCATGTTATAATTTGTGAACGAGCCACTGTAGACCGAACATCACCCTTAGACCTGCCTGACATACCACCCAAGTCCCAAAACTTTCCAATAAAGCTTGATTGACAAGTCCCTTTTTAACATGGTGAACCCAGATTTTTAAAATTGTGATTTCATGATGGGTGGGGTATAAATAATAACATTATTATTATTATTATTATTATTATTATTATTATTATAATATCGGGGACGTCATATGCAATCCCACTATTTGCACCTACAAAAGTTGGGGTGGTCACATTACTTCATTTCCAATCACTACACATCCTGTGACTTCCTGCTGAAATTCCTTGACTTTTCGTGCTACAAATGTTCTGGGTGTGTCCCACTTTTGTTCTGCTGCAGCCTTTCCAGACATCAATAATGAGGTAGCATTGGGGAAGCATCACAGAACTAATGAGCAGAATAAAGCCACCACTAAAACATTATTTTTGTCATAGCACCACAAGTCTGGAGGGGTCCTTAGCTTGCAGTCCACATTTTCCAAGTGGGATTTTCATGTACAGTACTGTTCCTATGGATGCTCTGATGCAAGTCCTCGTAGCTGTGTTCTGAAATATTTTCAAAAAGTGGGCTACCAAGGGATGTGGTGGTGGTTGGCACTTTCACAAGCTGAGATCACTATGACAAAATCAACTAGGAAGAGTCAGAAATTGTATGCTACAGAATACCAGCTACTGGATGTGTGTGTTTAGGTGGAAGCACAATATGGGGAGAGCTATTGCCATCCTGCCCTGCTTTTGAGTTTCCCATGAGGCATCTGGCTGGAAAGATGCTTGACTAAAGATGGAACCTCATGTCCATTCATTGCAGCAGTTGTCCTTCAGAGGGACTCAGTAGAATGGGGAAGTCCATTGCACATGCCTCTTACTTGTGTAATTCCTGGGTGCCCACAAGAAAACCGGGCTTCATTCCCAGCCTCCTACCTTGACTGCCAAGTGCTGCCTCCACCCTCCAGCCATTTCACTGCAACTGCCCCTTGGCACCAGCTGTTCTAGGTTTATGAAGGAAGCAGTACAAACTGTGCATGCCCACTAGTTAGGATAGATAAAAAAACAGGAGGATGGATCCAGATTAAGGTTGATACCCCAAATAAATTTACTGGGTGAACATATGAGGAATTTTGCTGGCTGAATTCAAGTTTTATTTATTTCAATGCAAGTTAAGTCATGACTTCCCCAATCCATTGATTTCCATGGGACCCACATTCAATTAGCTTAGCCTGGATCCAACCCAATGACACTGTCTATCACAGATTGCCTTTACCATGTAAAAACAGATGGGTCTCCACTGGTTTTTGATTCTTCATAGGTATTTATTTGCTTCCCGTGTGTCTATCTAAGTGTGCATGCATGCTGTGTTAGGAAATACTGTCAGGATATTGATCAACACAAGAGTAGGGGCTGGGGAATTATTTCTCTCTAGTGTTTAATTTCTAAAAGGAGAGGAGTTGCGGCTTCAGGCAGTCATAAGAACACAAGAAGAGCCCTGCTGGATTAGGCCGCTAAAGGCCCTTCTAGTTGAGCATCCTTTTCTAACAGTGGTGAACCAGATGCCTATGAAAAGCTCAAAACTGAGTGCAACAGAGCTCTCACCCTTTGTGATTCCCAGCAGCTACTATTCTGAGCCATACTGCCTCTGACAGTGGAGGTAGAACATAGCCAGCATAGCTGGTAGTCTGTCCTGGAAGCACCAATCTATATATACTGGGGGCAGTTATTTGGCAGTGAGAGAAATGCTCTGCAAATGGGGAAGGAAAATAAATCTCTTCTATCGGACTATTTTATGTGAGCTCTGGAGTTGAAACAAGGCCCTGGGCTAAGGCCTAGCTCAGATCAAGGCCCGCTCATCTCTTAGCTCCTTCGGCTCTTCTCCATGCTTGTACACACTGACGGTAACCCTGCCAGTTTCAGAGCCCCACTTGTTCTTGACAAAGATGCTGAATTTCCCAGAGTCCTCGCTGCTGACATTCTCAATGGTGATGGTGATAACGGTCCCTTTCACTTCCATCTTGTACCGATCTTTGAATGTAATGACCTGCTCGTTTTTGTACCAAGTGATCTCCGGATAAGGATCTCCAGATATGATGCATGTCAAGCAGAGAGTCTGTTTAACAAACAAACAAACAAACAAACAAACAAACAAACAAACATAGCATTAGCGATAGGAATTCAGGCTTTACAAAAGAAAAGCAATACAGATAAGAAAGGTCTCTGAGTGGGAGAGTATATTAAACTTATGCCCTTATAAAATGGATGCAGCACCAATTCAGTTGTTATGTGTAAGCCTTAGTGAGCATTAGGTTCACATACTCCACTTGTGTTGCATGCAGAGGAGGTTATTTTAAGCTTCCAGACTCAGTTGGTAACAAACCATAGTTTACCATTTTCTTTGAATATGGGAAACTGTGGTTTGCTACTAATCACAATCAGGAACTTTAAATGCCCTCCCCTTGTGTGTCTTTTCCCTGCCTCATATATACGCAGAGAAGTGTAAATATGAGAAAAAGATTTAGACCATCGTCCTGTTAATAAATTAGAGTGCGGAAAGGGGGCATTATTGTATCCATGGGGTTATAAATTGTAAGGGCTGTCAAGCATTTTGGGGTATCCAGAGGAAGAAGTTGTTCCCCTACTATTAGGGCTAGAGTTAACCTGTCCATAACATTAGAATTACCTTGTTCTCCATTATGGTGGCAACATCTGGAAGGCCCCGAACAACTTTTGCTCGGCCTGGCAAAAGATCAAATATCATTATTATTTATTCAGCTATCACCTCACCTTTTCCCACCAAAAGAGGAATGTCTACTAAGCTTATATATTAATAATGTTATGACTGCTGTTTGACTGTTCCTTGGTTAGGCTACTGACTGTTTGACCAGGACAATCAGCTGATGCTTCACAGCTGAGAGCTAAGGCCAGAAGATGATCTTGTGATAGCTGCGAATCTCTCTCGGTAGCTTTCAGAATGCATTGCACATCAAAGCTCAGAGAAGGTGATACTCCTCCAGCTGTGAAGAGGAGGCAGATAGCAAAAAAGCAGCTTTCAGTTTGAACTTAAAAGAGCTTTCCACCTGGAGTTAATTGAAATGGGAGGAGCAGCCTTGATGGCAGGGGTGGAGTTGATGCTGCTGCAGAAGATTATCCCTTTGGACCTGCTGAAAGAGTGTCTGCTTGCTTCTTATATGCCCAACTTGTATATTTATGAGGATAGCTCATATTAGAAAGACAGCTTTAAGTCTCCAATACTTTTGGATCCATAGGAAACTCAACCCACTGGTACTGCCCATAGACCTCCCCTCCATGACCAAGGGAAATGGAAGTGTGTCACAGTACAATATATAACACAAAACAATGCATTTTGGTTCAGGCAACAAAGATTGCACTTTTGTATACTCACGCTCTTCCACAACAGCTGCTTCCCTAAAATGAAAAATGATATTGTGAAATCAGCATAGGCTTTTTCTTATTAAATGAGTATCTAATACTCATAAAGAGATTTTCTTCCTGAATCTCTGCTTTCCCCTATTCCAAGGAGCCAACCCATTTAAGCTGCATAATAACCCCATGATATAGGTTGGAAGGAGGGGCAGATGAATGTGCCAATTCCAGTTTCTCTTAGTTTCTTGTTTTTTCCCAGTTTTAAGCTTGGTTCTCCACATTTCCACACCAATTTGCAATTTTTAAAAGTCCAAATATATACAATTCTGAATGTAATGTTGCCTAATATGTACATTTTTGCAAAGCAAATTTTCCTTAATGTAATGCATTTTTGCATACCCCCCCCCACTATATTCCTATCCAATGCACAGTTTATTGCAATATATGCATTTTCGTACCCCTTACTTGGCTGGAGAACTGCACTGAAAATTCGGAAAAGTGCAAATTCTGAAAATGGCTATGTTTTGGTTCTCATATTGGTTTCAGAAAGTGTGAGTTAGGTAGATTGACCTTTAAATGTGACCTGAGTTGAATTTCTCTCCCTCCCAGCCACTCTAACTGGGAGAGAGTGTGCGTGACATCCAAGGCCCACCCAATTGGCTTCATGGCTTCATCAGGTATTTGAACGCAGGTCATATTCAATGCTCTAGCCACTACACCCTGTACTGGCTTATTACATAAGATTAGAGAGTTCCACCATAAATCTACAAAGCCCTCCCATCCTTAATTAAAATTAAAACACTAACAAAGACACCATCACCCCAACTGTAGGGCAAATAAGAACCCCTCACATCCCTCAACTAATATGGCTATTCTCCTAGCTGGCATTTCAATCTTGCATATTTCCCCACCCCACTTTCTGGGTGTGTTTTTTTGAAAACAAAGCTTGACATCAGTGCTTTTTGGACAAGCTTTTTTGGCAGCTGTTAGAAGAACAAATTACACCACCCTTTGTTTAATGGTAGGTCCAGTGCAGACTACTTTGTTCCAAAGGGCAGGTGCCTCTTGAAAAAAAATGTGGGTGCAAAGGATCACTAAGAGGGTGAGCATACTAACTGCTTCCTATCTCAGGATGCACATTTTGTCATGAAGTACACAGTTAGGGCATCAGCTTCACACCCAGATGACTGGAGCATGCTTAGAAAGGAAGCAAAACCTTCCACTGCATTGAGTCTTGGTTAAGTGACAAGTAGAGATTTTCTATTGAAAAGGAAAGAGTTTGGAGCAAAAACTTACTTGAGCCTTTGATGTTCAGCCAGCGCATCATCGAAAGCTGCAAAAAGAGAGAGATTTTGACTGAATGAACCATGTTTTTCTTTACTGTTGAAATATGAAAACAATACCAGGTTCTTGTACTCTGTTTGTCTCCTATGTACAGAATTGTCATTCATCTCCAAGGAAGTGCCCAAACTCTTTCTCCCTTGGGTTACAGACGCTTCAGGTTCTGTTTTTTCAGGTTACAGACCTGCTGAAACCCAGAAGTACCGGAATGGGTTACTTCCGGGTGTGGCAGTCTCTCATGTGCAGAAGCGCTAAATCGTGCTTTGCGCATGCCCAGAAGCGCTGAATTGCAACCTGCACGTGCGCATATGCGCCACTATGGGTTGCGAACGCTGTGGGTTGCGAACATGCATCCTGCACGGATCACATTCGCAACCCAAGCGTCCGCTGTATATAGCTTTAAGGCAAATACACAAGCAGCCAACGAAAAGGAAAGAAGGAAAGATTGCCAGCAGTAAAATGTTTTCTATTATCCCAAACGCCTATGCCCATAAATCTGGACGGAAAATGCTCAGTTGCCCTCTCTAACACGGGGAATTAGTTTCCATTAGTGAAAAAGAGCCTTGTTCATTGAGAGAGGTGAAGGGAAGGTACTTCTAGAAACTGGAGGAAAAAAATGTAGGGCTTCAATGACAGGGAATTCTAAATTTCCAGCAACATTTCAGGTAGGAATGAGAAGTAGGAACCAAAGTGTTATTGGAATAAGTACATGGAGGGAACCAGTTCTGTGGAACACCAACAAGTAACTGAAGCTTACAGCATAAGCCTATGAAAGCCATTTAGTTCAGTGGGACTTACTCCCAGTGCATATAGGATTGCAGGTGCAGGTTAGCAGTAGCCATTTTGAATTTGGTTGTTGTAAGAGATGTAGTGTATTAAGTAAACTTTGTTCCATAGCTCAGTCTCCTGCCACTCAATGACATCACATAGCTCCTTTACAATAGCAAAAATTACATCTCCCTCAAAATCAAATATCAGTACAAAAATCTATAAGTATCTGAAATTCAAAAAGTCAAATCTGACATCTGAAATGCTGTTGAATCTGTGGAAAATTTTCTTCCAACTCTAATCCTGCAGGAAGGAGTGTTAAACCAGGATCTCCTCTAAGATGGAGCTAAGTGAGCTAAGGCAGGAACTTAGCAAAGTCACAGAATGTTAATTTTCTAGGCCAGGGAGACTCATCTTTGTGGGGTGAGGAAGCAGGACTTTAGTCAGCAGGTCTTTCTTAGCATCAAATGGCTGGAAGTGCAACGGCAGGGATCATTCAGTTTGCAATGTAAGGGTTAATTTTGCCAGTGTTGGAGAGAGGAAAACCAAAGGCCAGGCGGAGTGTTGGGTGTTGAGATGGAGGCAAAGAGGACCCTTTGGGTACCTTCCGACTCTACAATTCTATGATTCTAAAAAAAAGCTGTTGGCTTGCTGCTTACCTTTGCCAGACAGGTCAGTCGACAGCTTGCGTGATTTTTCTCCATCAAACAACTCCAAAGTATATTTGCCTTTGTCCGACTCCTTGGGATCCAGGATGTGGAGCCAAACCTGCTCCATGGTTGTTCCTGTTTTCAGTCGGTCTCCTCCTTCCACGCGCTTGTCGCTGAATAAACAGGATGACATTGGATTACCATGATGGAAAAAACAACAACATTTAACTATGTCAGAGCAATGGCGCTGGGGCCAGACGTCTTAGTGCTGGTGCCACCTAGCCTCTTCTCTGGCAAATGTGATTGATGGATTACTGCCACAGAGAGTTAAGTTATGGAAAATATCTAAAATTGGGGTGTGTGGCCTTTTGCTACACTCAGAGGTTCCAGTGTTCCTTTGTTCCTCCCTCCCTCCCTGATTTAAAAATAAAGCAGACTAGTCCATTCCCTCAGTTTCATAGACAAAGAACTACAAACGCTGAACCAAACCCCATGCCTTTGAGTTAAGGCAGAAGAGAGCAGCAATTCCCCCTCTCATTTTACCAGAAGATTTGTCCCACATTTTCAGGTATGGAGGCAGTGACTTCAGACAAGCGGTGTAAAGGTTTCCCCCCTCCATCTTTAAAATAAAGCTCAATTGCTGAGAAGAGGTTAGACAAGTGGTGGCATGCAGGCAAAAGGCTCATGCATATATGGCAAACCATGTGGATGCGTCATTTTTGAACACTTCCCCACCCCATTAGTACACATACCTCTTATGCTAATAATTTCCAAAAATGCTAGATTTGAATGTGGAATATTAGTTTTGAGTGTAATTTCGTTTTGAGAATCTTTTGCAAGCCCCTGAGCAACGCTTGGAGCTTTAAAGTGGAGGTATAAGCATTCTTTTTTTAAAAAAACAATCATTATTAGTTCATAAGCAATACACACAGAAAAAAGAAAACATAACTCCAAAAAGAAAAAAGAAAGTACAACACCAAAACACACAAATATTACAAACAGACAACTTTCTCCACCGACTTCCGACCTCCTCAGCGTGGGTTCTTTGTTTCCTTATTAATTGCATCTATTTTTCAATAAACTTAACCTGTATTAAATGCTGTTTGTGCTCTTTTTACATTATGCTAGTCAAAGCATACTAAAGTCAGAGAGTTAGTCAAAGCATACTAAAGCTTTGATGTGGGGACAATGTTCTTTTAAATATAATCTGTAAATGTCCCATTCATTGTCAAACTTTTGGGTCAACTGATCCCTGATCTTCTCAGTCATATTCTCTAATTCCATATACTCAAATAACTTAACCTGCCACTCCTCTTTTGTTGGTATAAGCCAAGGGTCAGCAAACTTTTTCAGCAGGGGGGCGGTTCACTGTCCCTCAGACAGTGAACAGGCACCGGACTATTTTTTTTTGGGGGGGGGGAATGAACGAATTCCTATGCTCCACAAATAACCCAGAGATGCATTTTAAATAAAAGGACACATTCTACTCATGTAAAAACATGCTGATTCCTGGACCATCCGTGGGCCGGATTTAGAAGGCGATTGGGCCGGATCCAGCCCCCGGGCCTTAGTTTGCCTAACCATGGTATAAGCATTCTAAACCAATTAAGTACTAATAAATAAACACATACTTGTGGTCCCAGGTTGCTTTCATGGCATCTGTGTAGTATTTCACCTCACTGTAGATCTTGATGCCTTCTACAGTAGGCTGGACTTTCAAAGGTGATGCAGAAAGAACTAAACAGAGAATTATGGGGAGGGAGGGGTTGTGGGGATGGAAATGCAGTTGAGAAAGATGATCAAGCCTCCTATTTTTTGCTTTTCTTTTAACCCACATTTGTTTATTTTCTTTCTGCCTTTCTTCCACGATGATAGCAAAGGCAGGTATGTATACATGTCGTTCTCAGAGGTCACTGATCCAGGCACTGACCAAACCCAGACCTGCTTAGCTTCAGCAAGGCGGCAGCCTTGTACCTATTTACATCTTTCATGTAATGTAATTGATACCACAACGATTTGGGTTTAGAAGTAAACAACTTACCGCTGATCCTGGCAAGTTCCTTGAGGATGTCATCAAATGCTGTAAAACACATTTTTAAAAATCCTTTTAAGTAGATGAAAACAAACAAGCAGCAACACATAGCAAACATATCAGAATGGCAATATTTTCAAACTACGTTCTGGATAACCATGGGATTACTTGGAAAAGAATTAGGGGTTGTTCAATTAGAAGTTCACTGAGATCTCGCCCTTCCTCCAAGGAGCTCAGAAGAATGTGCATCAATCTTCTTCAGCCTGGTACCCTCCTGATGTTTGGGTCTACAGTTGCCATCATCCCCAGCCAGCACAGCTGTTGGCAAAGTGCTGGCCACACAAGTCTTTCTTCCTCTTATCCACGCAACAAATCCTGCTTAGGTGGATTAGGCCAAGAGAAAATGAGAGGTCAAAGTCACCCAGGGAGATTTATGCTGAGTGGGAATTCGAGCCCTGCCTGGTAGGGTATTACTTCCCAGCACCAATAATAATTATTATAATTTCCAGGAATGAAACAACCCATATTTGTACTTCTTGTGTGTGTGTATAATTTTCGATTTCATTTGGTTCTTGTTTTTTGTTCTTGTTATTGAAGTGCATACTCTTGTTTAAATCAATGAAAAGAGTTTTTAAGAAACACCAGAGTGTGTTGCTTGATATACTGGTACTCTGGATTTGTGTTGATAAAGGGCAGGTTATATATATTTTTTAATGAACAGACAACAATATATCTCCTGCCCAAGGAATGAAGAGAAACACACCTTCCTTAGAGAGATCAAGCTGAGTTGTATCTTCCCCTCGGTCATCAGAAACCACAGCTTTGTATATTCCCTTATCTGCTTTGGTAATCTAGCACAAAACAGACATACAGACATATATTTATCTATCAAGAAATGAAAAAAGCATTGAGCATCATTGATGTGTAGGGTGATCAGATGCAACAAAGGTCCATGTGCACCATGATTACCTGGGCAGTCTTTCATTCCCCCCACCTCATTTTAGCATGTAGTGTCTATAAATCCATTTTAATTCCACCCTATACATTACTGACCCAGTTGGCTATTGCACACTCTTTACCTTCTTAATCCGCAGGACTCCAGCACCTGTCTTTGGGTCATACTGACCATCTGAATGAGGTTTGTTATCAAAGAACCATTTGAAAGTGCTCTCCTTCTTCATGTTTGCTGCCTGTTGAAAGGAAATGGGTAGGAGTACTTGAAATCTGGTTAGGAGAAACAATTTAGAAACTCCTCCTTTCCGCTGCTATAGCATCCCCCAGGGCAGCCCTGCCAGGGAATCCCATTTCTGGCACAATTAATGTCACAAATAGTTTAGCTCTCAGCAGTGGTAGTGTGGAGGGAGAGTGCAAGGGAGCACAGCTCCAGGATATTTTACAGGGCCTGAGCAATAACAATACCTGCTGGGAGTATAAGGGAATTGACGAATTCTACTTGTTCCGGCAAGTGAAATGAGCGATAAAGAGACTTTCAGGTACAATCTATTGTCTGGGACAGAGAAGCAGAGACGAAGTCAGAGAAAGAGGGAAATACTTAAATAGAGGCTAGGTACTGCTTTGCTTTTATTGGATGGGATGACTGCTTCATGCTAGTGGTTTAAACGGTAACTTATTGCAGCTTCCTTGCAAGATTGATTGCATTTCTGTTGTTGCATTTCAGTTGGCTGATGATATTTTGTTAAAGCTCAGCGTCATATACAATATGACGCTATGCAGTCAGAAGCAAGTACCAATGAGTTCTATTAAATTGACTTCCTGTAAGTTTACTCCCAGCAGGATTACAGTCCTGCTGGTCCTAATAAATGGAGTATCGTGGTATGTACTGCTGCTCTTTGATGAGTGTATAATATAGAGCGGATCAATAACAACTGCTTGCATTGTTGGACTCTCCTTGAGTTCACGGTTACAAAGACTAATGATCTCTTGCACTTAAAAAATCTACCACTATACCACTGGTCCACCGGCCTCTGGTAAAATGGGAACAAGGCTGAGATTGTGGGGATAGTTTTCTTTTGTTAACTGAGACCAGGAGACAGAACATTTTGCATCTTTGTTATGCCAAAACAATAGGCTTCACTCCCAACCCCACTTACCTGGGAGTAAGCCCCACTGAATTCAACAGGACTAGGCATAGATAGGATTGCACTCTTAACTGCCTATTAATTGTGGATATTGTCTCTCCTCTTTTCTTTTCCATAATAATAATGCCAGTGTCTGGGATTGTGCTATTTACCTTGCAGGTCAACAGGACTTCACAGTCTTCAGTGACCTTCCACTGTAGCTGTTCAATAAAATGTGGGCCTATTAAATGGAAAGAAACAATCTCGGTCATCTGCTGTGCTCAAAGTCATTGTAGATTTGAAGAAGGAAGGGGTTGGTTTCTAGGCATAGTTAAACATAATTTTCTTTTAAAAACAGTGAAGGGAATCTTGACTAGGCAGAACTAGGCAGGTGATGAGATGGGTGGAATTTTGAGCACTATCAGTTTGGGGACAGGATTGATTTCTTCTTCTTTTGCTTGTTGAAATTAGGCATTTTCCTATTTTAAATGTCAGAAATCAAACCCCCTGGTTTTGAAAAATTCTTAGATGAGAACGAATCAGGCATCCACTGGCCCCACACTGGCTCAATGTCCCTACAGCAGAAGCCATTGGGGATTCATTGTTCCCCTTCACCATCCACACCACCGTACAAGTCTGTGTCCAGCTTTGGGACTGTCTCTAAAGTACAACACACTGTTCAAAACTCTTGCTAACTTTTCAGCTCCTCTACCTGTAACCGTGACCTACTTTGCCCCATGTCAACAAATGCCATTTGGTATCACAGCATTGTTCCCCCACCTCCCCATCCCAGGTGCATTTTATGGGTGACCCCTTTTGCCACAAACACAGCTTCTCAAGCCAGGCATATAGCCACTGACTGCAAGGATATCTTACCATGCTTTCTCTTCCATTCTCTCTTCTTGGCATCAGCCTCTGCTTTAAGTTTATCAAAATCTGGAAGAATAAATACACCATCGGATTAGCATGTGATGGCAAGCCAAGATATCTTGATTCATGATGTTGGATGTTTAACACTGTGCTAAGATGAGTAACTTCCCCAGATGTGTTGATCTACTAGGTTTTCCAGTAGATCTACTAGGTTTTCAAGACCCAAGGGCACAAATACGGAGTGAAGGTGGGAGACTGACTGCGAGACAAGAGAAAGTAATGACACTTGCCCGTGGGTGGTAGGGATGGAAGAACCTTTCCATTTCAGTTTGTCTCAATTTCTAATTTTTCCAATCTTAAGTGTGATTCACCACATTGCCATAGCTTTGTGATTGATTTTTTTAAAAAAAACCCCAACTGTTTAAGAGCTGTTCCCTAAACACTGCATCAAGTTCAGACACTTCCTGAACATTTAAAAGCAGCCTTCCCTAACCTGGTGTCCTCCAACTGTTTTGAACCACAGTTCTAATCAGTCTCACCTACCCCTGGCCTGGGCTGGCTGGGGCTGATGGGAAGTGTAGTCCAAACCAGGTTGGGGAAGGCTGCCTAAAAGTTACACTGGACCCACAGTCACAAGAGACATTTGCAGCTGCCTCCTTTTGCTTCCTGACCCTCCACATACCGTCCCCAACCAGAGCCAAAGTAAACTGGTTTTCAGCTTTTCCGTCTTTCAGCTTGGCAGTGTATGTCCCCTTGTCGTCCTCAGAGAAGTCTTGGATGATCAGTTCCACAAGGCCTTTTGCTTTGTCAAAATTGATCTTATGTGTCTAAATGTAAACAACAAGGAACAGAAACACAAGCAAAAATAAGTTGTTAGCAAAGGAGAACATGGCAAGTAAGGAACGGAACAAAGCATTTTAAAATCCCACTAAAATCACAGCAAAAGACAACCATGAGACTAAGAAGGAACCATTTATTTATATTGGCTCACTACTCCAAAGACTTCAGAATTGAGAAATGGGGTTTGTAGCATCCAGAAAGCAAGAAGGGAGCAAGCAGGAAGGGATTCTTAGGAGCAGAATTGCCCCAAGACATTTTGTCGCCTGAGAAATACAAGATGGAGCCGTCTCCATTTTTCATTTTTCATACAGAAGGTGGCTAGACTGTCAGCATCTTTCCAATGGAACAACCTCTTCCATTGCATCTGAGGGAAACTCATCAGCAGATGAGTGTGTGTGTGTGTGTGTGTGTGTGTGTGTGTTTCTGCTGAAATGTCTGCAGACACCAATTCCCCACAAGGAAATGTTTTACATGGCAAAACTGAGCAGGATTTAACAGCCTCATCAGCTAATAAGCTGGGGTGTGTGTGTGTGTTAAATTATGCTTTATTGGATGCTTGCCCCAGTTTCTTGGTGCAATGCCAATGCAGACCTGAACCTCACTCCTCTGCCCATCAGCTGACATCACCAAGTGACATCCGTTGAGTGACAGGTTTGGGGGAAATGGCATCATGGGCCAAACTGGATCCCAGATTGGCCACAGGGCAGCGGTTCCTCACCCTTGTTGTAAAGCAAATGATGGGAAACTCACTGGAGTGCTTGAAAGCTCCTTTCCATTGAAAATCAAGTGCAGCTCTGCCTCTGGGGAGAGCTTCTCAACCTCCAGCCACAGCCGCACCTCCCCTTTCTCCAGAACATCGATGTTCCATCCGGATATCAGGTCAATTACTGAAAGGAACAGAAGAAGATGTGACAGGTTATTGGAATCTGAGGGTGAAGAGTGGAGTTCACTTTGAACTAGCAACATTTGATGGATTAAGGCTTATTGCTGAACTCCTTGGGAGGCTTACAAAATGTAAAAAACAACAACCAACCCCATAATTATGTGGTCTGATTTTCCTTTAACACTATGCCAATCCATGGCAAAACCAATGCCCAAGGGTGTGAATACTCATAGTAAAACACTTTTGACTTAGCATTATGTTCATCTCCTCCAGACAAACCATGTGCAGTAAGTGAAGAACAAACCTTGGTTACAGCTTGTGGTTTGGAGCAAAACCGATTCTGGGTTTGACCACAATGCTAAACTAAACCATGGCTTGGTTCCAGATAGGGTGGCAGAGGAGGAAAGTGGCCAAAAGTAGATGCCTGTATGCATTCACCCTTAGCCCTGGTTTGGCTTGGCTTTCTGTGCAAACTGGGCCTACACAACACACCTAAAACAAGCTTGCCTGGTTGCTGAAGGCTGATATAAAACGTACAAACAGAAAATATACAAAAATATACACAAAAACCACTAGGAGTTATTTATTATTATCTATTTTAAATTTTAATTACAGTGGTACCTCTGGTTACAAACTTAATTCGTTCCGGAGGTCTGTTCTTAATCTGAAACTGTTCTTAACCTGAGGTACCACTTTAGCTAATGGGGCCTCCTGCTGCCGCCACATGATTTCTGTTCTCATCCTGAGGTAAAGTTCTTAACCTGAGGTACTACTTCTGTAGTAGTCTGTAACCTGAAGTGTTTATAACCCAAGGTGTTTGTAACCCAAGGTACCACTGTATTTTTACCCTTGTGTTGGTTAATCAACCTTGGTCACTGTTTGTAGCGGCAAAGTTACATATCATTTTTAAAAAACAGCAACTTACAGGGGTTGCGGATCTCCTGGCTGATCTTCCGCAGCTTGTCCAGTTCTGGAAAAAAAATGCAATGAACAGAACTAGGCCTTAGACTTAAGAGAAGGAGCGATGCACATCCCAACCCTTTCCCCATTGGGTGCTGGTGCTTTGGTTCAGTTGCCAAATTTCTACTGTGCTGAATAAATGGGAGGTAGAACTTTTGAGACAGCCTTGGGAAGGAGCCGATTCAGTAACTAATAGAAAACACTCAAGGGTAGCACACAGCAATGGGTGGTCTGAGAGATGGCCCTGGCCAGGCCAGGCATGAGTCCCCAAGGGATAGGCAGGCCAGGAGAGCCTCATTCAGCTCATGGGCTAGAGGTTCTGTACACCTAGTCTGGGGTGCTTGAGCGCAATGCCCCCACAATGACATTGGTTCCCTCTGACTGCATTGCCTTAGACTGGGTAACCTGGAACCCACCAAGTCATGTAAAGTTTGCCTGCCACATACAGTGGCCTGTTGGGTGTCAGGAGGTAAAGTGCCGGCCCCCTTTTGTGGGCTGCCTTTCATGGCTGCTCAGCTTAGTTTGGGTTGGTGGATCACAAGTTGTGCAAGGTTCCTCTTAGAGGATGATGTGAATGAAACCAAAGTAACCATGTGGTGGAGACTTGATTGGATTTTGCTTGAGGAGACATCTTTGTGGAGGTAGAGGATGTAAGAAGGCAGCAATTTCTATTCTGACCTATATTCCTCTAGATCAGCGCTGTTTCTCTTTTGCTGCAGCTCAGTTTCTGTCAGATACTACAGTATTTGTCTCACTGTCCGGTATATAACATATGTTACATAACTAGTTAAGTTGCTTATATACTTTATCTTCATTTCAGTGTTTACAAACCCCTCATGCCATACTGCTTGAGGACTTAAAAAGAACAACGTTGTAAATGAATACTGGTTGCATTCACTTGACTGATTCCATTCATGACCATAGAAGAGCACACACTATTTCTGCTCCCTTTCTCATTTTTGTCAGAATTCTCCAACATTCCAAGGTGCAGGAAGAAAACATTCACCAATCTGCACTGAGACCTCTTGTCCTTGTGAAAAAGGAAAGTCTTGCAGAATAGAACCTGCCCACCCCAACCTCTTTCAGGCACATTTGAGGATGGAGCACAGAGGACGCACAATTTCAAACCTAGCAACTTGGGAGGAATTTATATCTGAGCCTCCAATCAGGCAGAATTAGCTATATATATATTTTTTTAATCCTGTAAGGATGGATTATTTACCTTCCTGGGTTAAAAGATGACTGGCAGAGATGTCTTCATCAGTGTCTGTTACTTCTACTGAGTAAGTCCCCAGATCTCTTTCAGTGGCATATTTCAAAATGAGTTTAGATCTTAAAAGAAAAGAAAATGCAAACACACAAATTAAGACATATCTATGCAGCTGTAGTTGTTCTCAGGGTCCTGTACTTTGGGTGTCCTTTAATGGCACAAAAGCACACCTAATTAAAAACTGGCAACACTGCGAGCTTACTTATCATCTTTGTTTACAACCTCGACCCTGTCAGGATTTGGTGGCCCTTCATAATCCTTAGACCAGATAAACTCTGAGGTGTCAACCATTTCTGGAGCCTCAAAGGCCATATAGATGAATCCTTCTTCATCCACCCCAACTTCAATTTCTTTTGTGCCTGCAAATTAAAAGAAAAAAATAATTTAATTTTTCAACACAGTGAAATGAACCACAATGTTCATCACCTTTTCTCCTTGCCTAATGCCATTACATAAGAGGAGCCTGCTGGATTAGGTAAATGACCCATCTAGTTCAACATCCTGTACTCATACTGGCCAACCAGATGCCTAAGGGAAGCTGGCAAGATGGACAGGAGCGATGCCCAACTGCAATTCCTAGCAACTGGTATTCAGAAGCATGCTGCCTTTGACTCTGGAGGAACAGCACCGCCACCATGACTGGTAAAGGTAAAGGGACCCCTGACCATTAAGTCCAGTCGTGACCGACTCATCGTGGCGCTCATCTCACTTTATTGGCCGAGGGAGCCGGCATACAGCTTCCGGGTCATGTGGCCAGCATGACTAAGCCGCTTCTGGCGAACCAGAGTGGCACGGAAATGCCGTTTACCTTCCTGCCGGAGCGGTACCTATTTATCTACTTGTACTTTGAGGTGCTTTCGAACTGCTAGGTTGGCAGGAGCTGGGACTGAGCAATGGGAGTTCACCCCGTCACGGGGATTCGAACCGCCGACCTTCTGATCGGCAAGTCCTAGGCTCTGTGGTTTAACCTACAGCGCCACCCGCATCATGACTGGTAGCCACTGGTAAACTTGTCTTCCATGAATTTGTCCAACCCTCTTTTAAAGCCATCCAAGTTGCTGGCCATCACTGCCTCCTTTGGGAGCAAGTTCCAATAGTTTGACTATCTGTCCTGCATATTCCAACATTTAGCTTCATTGGATGCCCATGAGTTCTAGAGCTGTGTGGGAGAAAAACCTTTATCTATCCACTTTCTCCATAAACGTCTATCATGTCATCACTTACTCTGCTGTTTTCTAAACAAAAAGGTCCCAAAAACTGCAGCCTTGCTTCATAAGGGAGTCACTCCATCATTTGGTTGCTTTTCCTTTTTCCAACTCTACAATATCCTTCTTGTTTTTGAGGCGAGGTGAACAGAATGGTACACAGTATACCAAAGGCCGTCACACGATATATTTGTATAATGGCATTAAGATTTCTGATGAAAGGTCTACCTTCCCTGGCCTGATGCCCTCCTGAGGTCTTGGACTACAGTTCCCACCACCCCCAGTCTACTGACCTAATCTTTCTCCAATGCAGGAAATGTGGACTTTTGTGAAGAAATGTGGAAATAATAAAAAAGGTTGAGAGAAGAAAGGGAGAGGAAGAGGAAGAGGAGGGCAGAGGCAGAAGCTTTGTACCTGGTTTGGTTTTTACTACCACAGGATCTGATGGCAAGGATGGTGGGCCAACTCCTGCCTTATTCAGGGCCCGCACTCGAAAAATATAGCACTTTCCTGTCTCCAGATCTGACAGCTATCAAGAAAAATGTAAGAAAAAAAGCAGGTAATAGTCAGAGGTAACTTGCCAGAGGTGCAGAAACTCCAGTACTTGCTTTCATTTCCCCTCCCCGTTCCTTTTTCCTTTGGTAACAGTCAGAGATAACATGTCAGAGGAGGGCATGGGTACACACACACACATGGGCAGAGAGCATTTCCTCCTAAAATAGGAGATATTCTTCTCTTATCTCTATGCTGCTATGTGGTGGAAAAACAGTAGTTTCCCTCCACTGGCCCAGCACTGCTGTGGGGTGGAACAGCACCACTGGAAGAAGTTTTTAGAGTTTTTCTGAAATCTCTAGGACTTATTGTAATGGGGCCATCAGAACCGGCCCAGCCATTAGGCAGAGTGAGACCACTGCCTCAGGCAGAAGAAGCCCGAGGCAGCACCCCCATGGGTGCCCTGCCACCTCCGCCAGTGGCAGATAAGCGCCACCACCATTGGCATTGATTTCAGACAAGATTGCATCCAGTTTGGGTGAGATCTCACCTGAAACCGTGTGAGAACTTGCAGAGCGCACAATATCTCACACAATTTTGGGTGATATCTCACCCCAAATTGGTGCAATCTGCCAGCGGTGAATGCAGCAGGGCGTGTGGTAGAGGCCAAGTTGGTGGCGTAAGTTGTGGCAACAGCAGCAGACGTGGTGGTGGCAGGAGTGGCGGCAGTGGCAGGACAAATTTCTGATCGCCTCAAATGGGACACACCATCCCTGGGGTTTGTGCAGTAGGAAGAAGAGATATTTTTTTCCAAGGTAAGAAGAGAGCGTTACTCTCTGACTACCAATTGTGGCAAGAGGGCTGGTGGTACACTAGAACTGGCTTCATGGGCTGGATTCAGCCTGCAGGCTTCAGTGGACCTTGGCGTCAGAGGAGCAACGACAGCTGTAATGCAGATGTAAAAGCCACAGGAAATACAAGAGAAAGACCTTCATGTGTGTGCTGGATATTGGCTGCTTGTTCAGTTGTTCCCACGTGTCTGATCCCTCCTCACAGGCATCCACGTAGTAGCCAGTGACAGGGCCTGCTCCAGTATACACAGGTGGCTCCCAGTGAAGCATCAGAGATGTGTCTCTCACTTCTGTACACCTGACATCATAGGGAGGTCCTGTTTCAAGGGCAGATGAAATTTCAAAGTATGCGCAAATGAGAAGGTGGGAAAACAGGGGCAAGGAGCACACAGGCCCCTTAATTTCATAGAATCATAGAACCATAGAATTGTAAAGTTGAATCCATGGACATACATTCCCCCACACACCTGCCAGGGCAGGAGGGGGCATAGTTAGACCACCATTCCATCTGCTTGGGACTCATCAGCTGTGAGTTTGGTTGCTGAACAACCTCACAATTGTCCTAAAGCCCAGACCTTCCTGGCCAGGCATTCTTCTCCTGCTGTTTTAAGTTCCAAGGTGAGACTGGGCAAGATGCTTTTACCTGATGGTACAATTTAAGAAGAGCTTTGGGACTCTTAATTGGTGTGAAGCTGGTTTGAGGCATAACCCATCAGATAGGAGTTGTAGCAAAGTACAGGGTGTGTACGCATTTGGGATCACGTTGTGAGACCACAGATTTTAAAACCCAGCACTGGAAATGCAGACAGTGCGCAGTAAATGGGTGTGTGAAGACAGCAATCAGTCTCAAGGCCTGGCATTGACTTTTACCTGGCTCTGGCATGGCCCACTCCTCGCACTTGAATATGTCACTGGGTTCTGACACCTTCCCAACACCAACCACATTCATTGCATAACCACGGAACTCATAGAAGTGCCCTTCATCCAGGCTGGTGACCTACAGAATCGAAAGAGAGTGAAAGTCTTGCCTAAAAGGGATCGTAATTTATTTACTTATTTCTTCAGAGGCAAACTAATGGCACAAACACCCATACCGTGTAAACACGCTGAGCGATTGGCTTAACGTTGATCTCGTGCCATTCAATCTGCGACACATCATGTTGATCCAGGAAATAGCCCAGGATTGTTGTGCCTCCTTTGCGTTTGGGAGGCTTCCAAGCAATGGTCATGTTGTCTTTCCCGCAACTCAGCAAGGCAAAGGCCCGCGGGGCTGATGGACAAGCTATGCAGGAAATAAATTAAAGGACAATGAAGGTTTAGAATCTGATCGGCATGCAGCTTCCCTCTCAAGTTTTGGTGGTTTCAGGGGATAATGTGTACGCCATAACTAAGAGAAATTCGAATTGGTTTACCTTTTAAGGAGAAAGGACCTAATTCATGCTTCTCAAACCAATTCATGAACTAAAACACAACTATCCTTCAAAATTTGCAGTTCCCCTAATTTTGCAAAGCAGTTCTCCAACCAAACAATATGCACAAAGGTGGCTGAAATGTGACATATCAGGCTGAAATGTGCATAAAAATGCACATTTTAGTGAAAATAACACACACACACACACACACACACACGCATTGTATTAGGGGAAACTGCTTGCAAAAGATGTTTATATTAGTCAAAGCTGCATACAAAAGAAATTCACACTAAAATGCCAATGAATTTTCAGAGGAATTTTCTTTTCTTTTCTTTAAAAAAATGCATGTTCCTACAGAAATGCAGAGAACTGAGTTTAAAGTAGGAAAATTGAGAAAGCTAGAGGACAAAAATGGATAGATCTGCCCACCCCAAAACAATACTTACAGATAGCCTGCCTCACAATGATGGCATCTGATTCAGGGGAGCTGTCACCCACGCCAGCTTCATTGACACATTTCACACAGAAGACGTACTCTTTGCCTGTTTTGAGCCCTGGAACGGTGAACCTGATAAACAATTGAAATCGCCCCTGCATGGTCATTTCTTAGCACCTTACAAGTCACCTTCCAAACTCAGAATGTAAAAGTGCTTGCAGTGTTCAGCCTATTTATTTATTTATTAACATTTGCAGACACAAACGATGCTGAAAGCAGAATCGCACATAACCACCATGAATATAAGTACAGTGGACGCTCAGGTTGCGAACGTGATCTGTGCGGGAAGCACATTCGCAACCCGCAGCACCACGTCTGCACACACGCAGGTCACAATTCGGAGCTTCTGCACATGCGCAAGTGCCGAAACCCAGAAGTAACTCATTCCAGTACTTCTGGGTTAGGCGCAGTGTGCAACCCAAAGCATCTGTAACCCGACGTATGACTGTAATCACGATTATGAAATAAAAAGAGTTTCTGGAGCTGCTCCTAGTGAATTCAAAATGACTAGCTGATTGGAGAACTAGGCCCAAGCTAACAAAATGAAGTCAAATAGGGATAAATGTAAGGTTCTGCACTTAAGCAGGAAGAACCAGCTGCACAAATATAAGATGGGGGACACCTGGCTTACTAGTAGTACATGTGAAAGTGATCTAGGGGTCAGCAGTGTAGCTAGGGGGGCAGGGGGAGGAGTGGGGCACACTCAGTGCCACTTATCCAGGGGGGCGGCATTTACCATGGGGCCTGCAGTGTGCCTGGGCCACATGTCTCTCCTGAGAGTGATGTGGTGGCTCAAGTGTCTGCAGGCACCACATCGCCCTGCAGCTAAGGGGGAGGTGGACTCCTGCAGCCACTGCGCCGCCTTTACATGGAAGATGGCGCAAGCTTGTTTTCTCCTGCTTTGGAGGGTAGGACTTGAACCAAGGGCTTCAAGTTGCAAGAAAGGAGATTCCAACTAAACATCACGAAAAGCTTTTTGACTGCAAGAGCTGATTGACAGTGGAATGGACTTCCTCAGGAGGTTGTCGACTCTCCTTATTTGGAGGTTTTTAAGCAGAGGTAGGATGGCCATCTATCATGGATGCTTTAGCTGAGAGTTTTGCATTGCAGGCGTTGGACTAGATGACCCTTCCAACTCTACAACTCTTATGATTCTATGAATCACAGTGACTTGAATATCTCCCAATGAACACAGTGAAACTTACTTCTGAATAGACATGCACAGGATTGCCCTGTACACTAGTTACAGTTAGATCCCATTGAGATAAAAGGGACTTCCAAATAAGTCATAATTTGCCTTTCATTATTGATTTCAATGGGACCTCAGTTTAGCTAACTTACCTGTCTGTATCCAAACCAATAACGTCATAAAATAGTACAAACAAATGGAATTTCCCCCTCCCCTGTTTCAAATCTCAGAGCTGGGTGATGGGATCCAGCCCATGCCCTCAAAGAAGGTCAGAGAGAAGATGCAGGGAGAGATACCAAATTGCTTTACCAACTTACTCATTACATGTGACGGGTTTATTGTTGACCGTTTGCCATTCATCTGTCCCAACCTCCCGGCAATATATATAATAGCCAAGTGGTTCCTGGCCCTCCTTTGGCTTGCTCCACTTCAGGAAAACAGAAGTGTTTGTGTCTCTGAAGGTCAGCACCTGGGATGGAGGTGGGAGGGGAGCTGAAGAAGGAAAAAGAAGAGGGATGGACTCACCAAAGAACAGCAGCTATTGGGAGCCTATTATAGCTCCTTCCAGGTTCAAGTTGGGTGTTATTGCTATCAACCACGGGTAGGGATGGGGAAGAAATTGGGTTTGGTTCACATTTTAATGCAAGCCCACCTAATTTGCATTTCCCGAAGCAATCTGCGAACTGATATACAACTAACCTTTGAAATTCACCCTTCTCCAAATTTTGCAATGAAGTTCTCTAACCAACGTGTGTAAAGAAGTGTATATTAGAAGAAAGTGTGTGTAAAGATGCATATACAGTGGTACCTCAGGTTAAGTACTTAATTCGTTCAGGAGGTCTGTACTTAACCTGAAACTGTTCTTAACCTGAAGCACCACTTTAGCTAATGGGGCCTCCTGCTGCTGCTGCGCCGCCGGAGCACGATTTCTGTTCTCATCCTGAAGCAAAGTTCTTAACCTGAAGCACTATTTCTGGGTTAGCGGAGTCTGTAACTTGAAGCGTATGTAACCTGAAGCGTATGTAACCCGAGGTACCATTGTACTAGTGAAATTAACATGTTTTATATTCAGAGAAATTGCTTGTAAAATGTGTGCAAGCAAAACTGTATCAAGGTACATCAGGAGAAATGTGCGCTGAAACGATTCCATTAAAAAAAAAGATTACCTATTTTTTCTCCAGAAGAGATGGGCTCACTGGGCAAGGAAGGCTCGCTCACTCCATACTTGTTTACAGACCGCACTCGGAAGCAATAGGACTTCCCTTTGTTCAGATCAAAGACAGTGAATGTTGTGGAATTCACTGGGGTGTCCAGATTAGCCATCTGCCAGCTGTCGCTGCCTGCTATCGACTGAGAAGATAGGAAGGGTGATTTATCAGTGTCTAATTGCTATAAACTAGAGACAGTAGCGCTACAAGGATAAAGGATTATTATTAATGTTGTTTATCTGATTTATATACGACTCTTCCTCCCGAAGGAGCCCAGGGCAGCAGACACCATAGTGATAAAACATTTGAAACATTTTAAAAACATTAACTCAGCCAGTGACCTCGGGGTTGCCAGGAACTGTGCATTTCTGCCATCCACTGCCTGGGCAAGCAGGAAGGTTTTCAGATTTCTCCTGAAAGTCAGTAGTGAAGGAGGCAGAGAGAGGGCATTCTGCAAATGGGGAGCCACCACTGAAAAGGACCCATCAGGAGATAAAGAATTACACAAGTTTTAGAAGACATCTGAAGGCAGCCCTGTAATGCTTGATGTTATGTTTTCAGATATGCTGTAAACCACCCAAAGTGACTGGGAAAACCCAGCCAGATGGGTGGGGCATTATTATTATTCATTGCCAACAGGGCAGCCTCCAGTGGTGGGACCACTATCAAAGCCTCTCCTACTGATCGTAGGATCCAAGATGGTTGAGACTTGGGAAGGTGCTCTTGGTACTTGGGTCCCAAAATATAGTCCGGCCCCCCACAAGGTCTGAGGGACAGTGGACCAGCCCCCTGCTGAAAAAGTTTGCTGACCCCTGATATAGCTCAGCATTGTCCGCACTGACTGGCAGGGGTTTTAGGCAGGGGATATCCCCAGCCCTACCTGGGAGTGCTTGGGGATTGAACCTGTGACCTTTTGCATGGAAAGCAGCTGCTCTGTGACTGAGCTACTGTCCTTCCCCTGGCTTGGAGCACTTGGAGCTGGATCAGATCAAAAGGCCCATCTAGTCCTGTTCTCACGGTGGCCAACCAGATGCCTCTGGGAAGCTGCAGGTATCATAAAAGCTGCTACTTTTGCACTCAGCACAACAAAGTGACATATAAGTAAGGTAAAGGTAAAGGCTCCCTGGATGGTTAAGTCCAGTCAAAGGCGTCTAAGGAGATGAGAGAGTAGCTTGGAAAAATTACCCAAGTTCTTGCAATTTGGGGGGTTGAACAATTTGAATAATTTCTGAGTTAATCCATGGCACACTTGGAAGCCCTTGCCCATTTCTAATTAATTTTATTAATTAATTGAAAAGCCATTCTAGGCCATTTTTTAAAAAAATCCACGGTGGTATACAAAAGTAGCATAAAAACAACACTATAATCGAAACAGTAGAAGAACGTTATGAAAACAGGAATAGTTAAGAGAGAAATACAGAAATAACAGAGTCAAATCCTATAGGTCAGGGAAAAGCTGGGGCAAAAATATAGAGAGATCTTCACAAGATCTTTGAAGCAACTAACAGGAATGTAGGACGGCACTGACTTCAGTTCTGTCCTGTATTTGCCAGATACAACACCGTTTCCATTCTGCTGCAGTTCAGCTTCCAACAAAAATAACATCTTGCTGTCCTCTGTGGTGAAATGTTATGCAATCAATCAAACAATTAATTAATCACTTTCCATTACATTATTGCACATCATTCATTACAGCGCAAAGGAAATGCAATACACATTGAGGGTGGGTGGGTGGACAGGGGAGTCATAAATGATGTATTGTTGGGTATTGTTTGAGGCTGAAAAGCGCAAGAGCAGTGCTACTGATTGCATTCGCTGGGTTGGTTTTCGTTCCAGACATGGGCTGAATTAGGGAACACCGGCAATTTCTACTCCCATTTCCGATGGACTTCTCCAGCATCCTTAGCAACTAACAGATGGTGCTTCTTGTATGCTCTCTGTGTCCTTACCTTTTCAACAAAGTAACTCAGTGGCTCTTTGCCTCTAGGGTCTGGTTCATCCCAAGAGAGGACAACATATTCTTCCCTGATCTCACTGGCATGAACATTGGTGGGTGGCAAAGGGACTTTGATCTTGGCTGTGGGAGAAAAACAACAAGCCAACCTTTCAGCAATTTAATTTGGAATAGAAAAGGGTTTGCAAGGAAGACCAATTAAGAGCCAGATGGATAAAAGTCACCAGATGGAGCAGCCCCCAAAATAGCTGATGAGAAGTATAACTAGAAATTCATGTTTGAAGCCAAATTTATCAAATTCGCACATCTGAAACATTATGAGAACTGAAACACAGCCAGATTTCAAAAAACTTTGAACTTTGAACTTATCTGAACTTTGCAATGGAATTCTCCAACCAAATATTTGCAAAAATGCACATATTAGGGGAAAATGGTGAAAATGCATTATATGAGAAGTTGCTTGCAAAAGTGTGCACATCAGTCAAAACTGCAGATAGGAGAAATTTAAAACTAAAATGCTGGAGATTTTTTCAGGAAAACCTGCAAATTCAAAAAATGAAACAAACACCCCTGGCAATTTCTGCAGAAACTTGCGGAACTGAATTGAAGAAAAATGAGAGACTTGCAGAAATGAAATCGACAGATCCTTCCATCCCTAGCCACCACTGATCAGACCCCATGGATATAATTTTCATTCTGTTCCAACGCCCAATGTTTTTCAAAGGAGACAGCAGCAATGGTACCTCAACTCTGCCACCAGCATTGCTGCTAGACATGGGTGGGATAGGGCAGTGGTTAAAGTTCAATTGCTGCGTCCAGGGCCAGCCCAGGAGGTTTTGCCTCTTGAGGCAAAAAATGAAAATGTTCTCCTCCTTCTCAGCAGCCCCCCGTCACTATCTCCTTCTCTGTGCTCCCTCCTCAGGTGCCTGGAGGTGGCCTAGGGCAGCCCCAGTGTGTTGAATGTGGTGAGGGAGTAAAAGAAGGTGGAGGTGGTGGAGGTGGCAGGAGACAGTGAGTGGCACACTTCTTAAAGCCTGCATCTCCTGCCTGAGGCAACTGTCTCACCTCATGCATGGGCCGGCCCCAAGTGCATTCATGCAGCCCCCTCACCCCCCTCCAGCACCATCCAGTTAAGTAACAGCGATGGGGAGGGCAGCTCTGCAGTGTCACCCAACCACACGCCCCACTTCTAGGACCTAGGGCTCCTGAGGTATTTAAAATACAGAGAAATCAAGGAAAGTAAATGTTTTTGGAGAACCCCCTTGTTTAGCAGAAATGCCCATTCAGAGCCACTTCCATTTTGAGCAAAATATAGTTATTTGGGCATTTCTAGTCTGCTAAACTCCTAAGTGATTGTTAGATATATAAAGAAGTTCTCAGGCACGACATTAATTATTGGTGGGGAAAAAGACAAAGGTCACATGTGAACTTACGTTCCAGTTCATCTTTGGAAACTGTAATTGTCCTAAATCCGTCATCATAAGGGATATCTAGACAGGGAGCAGAGAAGGAAAGAGAAAGAGATGGGGACAAGTGGGGAATCGTGAAAAGAATTACAAATTGAGTTTGGGGGGCGGGGAATGGCCAGGATGCTACCTGGCTTGACTAGGGGGCTGTGGCTGGGAACTGACTTGCCCCCATATATGTGAGCGTGTGCCTCTCTTAGTGGCCTTCAATCCATAGTGGGGGTTAGTCTTGAGCACAGTGGATGAGTTGGTCCCAAAGCTCTTAAGCAACCATCCAATGATGGTATAGAACAGAGCTTTCCAAACTTTTCATGGTGGTGACAGACCTTTTAGACATGCATCATTTCGTGACACAATAATTCAGTTTTGCATCATTTTGCAACACAGTAGTTAAGCTTTATTAGCAAACCGGAGGTTAAACTAACCCCTTTCCAGCCCCGGGACGAGTGTGGTGAGCATTCGTGCGACGCACCTACACACTGCAGCTGACACACTAATGTGTCACAATACACAGTTTGGAAAGCTCTGGTATAGAAGCTAGAAGGCTGAAGCTTGTGCCCTTGCTCTTCAGCTTCCAAAACAATCATGCAGCCTTGTGTTAAGCTTGTGCTAGGCTAAATTGGTGGGTGTGGGAGCCTACATGGTGAGGAATAGGGAACAGGGTTCAGAGGATGCATGCCTGATGAGAGCATCCTCCAAGACCAATTCTGCTCCCCTGGGGTCTTCTAAACTGCAAGGGGGCAGAATTCTTCAGAGACAGTCAACATGGCACCCTCCAGATTTTGGTAGGCTCCTGCTCCCATCAGCCTCAGCCAGCATGGTCAGTGGTCAGGGATGATGGGAAGTGAAGTCCAACAACACCTGGAGGGTACCACTTTGGATACCCTTGGTTTAAGGGACCTGAAGTTGGGAGAAGTCCCCCCTTTCCTTACTGTCACCATTTTGAACTACAGTGGAGTCTTGTATGCAAAGTGTTGCAGCTGCTAGTCTTTTTGTTCTTCTTGTTTTAGGCCGGGCCAGAATAATCAGCCTAGATTTTTTCCCTGGTCACTTTTGGGGTATGGAAATAATCTTAGGGAGTTGTTTAAAATGTGTTAATTTTTGTCAGGGGGGCTTAGAAATAAGACGAGGTGGAAGAGAAGTAGAAGAGGATTTTGTCTTCTCTCTCTGTTTCATAAACAAGGGGAAAAAACTATGTTGCTGAGCTGCTTTCAAAGCAGACCAGTGATATTTCCACATGTCTTCCAGAATGGATCACTGGGAATGATGCTCTGTTGTGACATAGTGCCATTGCCCAGGGCATTCTTGGGGGGACACTGACTGCCCCCACCAGCCACTTTTGATAGGACATGTGACATTACTCTGAGTGGTCCTGCACAGATCTATCGCTCTTGAAGTCTGCTGACACAGGGTAATTGTTCTGTGTTTTGAACATTAAAATTGTTTTATTTGGGATTACTGGTGGGTTTTATGATCTTGGAGGCTGCCTTGGATGTTAAGAAAATAGCAATTGTTTTGGAGCAATTAAAAACCCAATGTACTTAGCACTCTTTTGCTGTCATTTGGGTCTATCATTGTCACTGGGTCGCTGGCCTTCGATGGGTTACTGATGCCTGCACGGTTGACGGCCTTTACTCGGAATTGGTATGTCTTCCCTTCAGTGAGACCTAAAACAGGAGATCTGCAGGCTTTCACGAGCTTATCATTGCACAATACCCATTCGTCTGTGCCTGCTTCACACCTGGAAAAAGAAGGACCTTACAGTTTGGGTGCAACATGATCTGGGAAAGAAAGAGATAACAGATCTGTGGCTTCTGAGGACAGACCTCTCAATGTAATAGCCGATGACAGGACTTCCACCATTATCACTGGGAGTAATCCAGGAAAGTATGAGACTGTTTCTATTCACGTCATGGCATTGCACGCTGAGGGGTGACCCAGGAGCTCCAGCAGTTTCAGCCTCAGCATCTAAAGATAAGAAAAAGCCATGCTCAGATGGTTTCCTGTAGGTCAGGTTGGCCCATAAGCTAGAATGGCTCCCAAGTTTATCTTCTGGCCCTTGAAAGCATGGTCAAGTTTTAGAGAAGGCATTGTACAAAATTCATCTACAGTAGGTATGTGGAACTGAATCCGACCTGTGGACTGGGTCCTTATCTCCCCCCATTCACCCACAGGGCAAGCCTGAAAGGTAGGTGGGACCATTCACTAGATCTCACAATGACAACCGGTGACTCATTTTTAACACAACGCTCTGTAAACCCTGACAATTAGTTGGTTGTCAGGATTTGCATAGCACTGTGCATGGAAGACCTGGCAATCAGCTGATCAGGAGGGCTTGCAAAGCATTATGCACAGAGAGCCAGTGTGGTGTAGTGGTTAAGAGTGGTAGACTCGTAATCTGGTGAACTGGGTTCGCTTCCCCGCTCCTCCACATGCAGCTGCTGGGTGACCTTGGGCTAGTCACACTTCTCTGAAGTCTATCAGCCTCACTCACCTCACAGAGTGTTTGTTGTGGGGGAGGAAGGGAAAGGAGAATGTTAGCCGCTTTGAGACTCCTTCGGGTAGTGATAAAGCGGGATATCAAATCTGTCAGGGAACTGCCATCAGTGCCGGAGGGAGAGAGCAAAAGCCAGAGGGATTCCAGAGAGCGTCCAGGGATCGGGAGAAGCAGCCCATCTTCTGGGGAAGAGAATCAGCGTAGCCCCAGTGGAGAAGGGGGGCAGATGGGGGAAGCGGCGAGGCGGTCTCATGACTCCTTGCCTGGGACCAGCAGGGAGAATAGGGGTCCTCCGTTGCGTACGCCCTCCTTGCGCAGAAGGCTTTCGCGCAGAGAGAGTAGGAGGAGACTAGGCGTCAAAGAGCTTCTGTGCTGGAAGAAGTTTAAGAAACGCCCACTGACGGATTCTGCCAGCGATTGAGTCAGCCACGGGTGAGTGGCTGTCCGGACAGAAAAGGTTCACTTTGGCAACCCACCCAGGTGTTTGCACCCAGCCGGGGAGATAGACACCTGCTTACACACGAGCAACCCCTAGAACCATTACAAAATCCAAACTCTTCTTTGCAAGCCCTGACAATCAGCTAATTGTTGGCACTCACTAAGCACGATGCAAGGAGCTGTGAAGGTGCCACTGTTCAGCTGATGGCTGGCACTTGCAAACCCTCTTTCAGCCCAGATGCATCTTTACCTGCCCTGCACTTGACCTCCTCAATGGCATCAGGTGTAGGGCTGGTGCATGTGGTTTTGCCAAAACAGCCTCATGGGCTAAATGGGAAGACCTGCTGGACCTAAGCCTGTAGGCAAGAGGTTCCTCACCACTGACCTGTGGTTTTGCTTTTGCTTTCTCCCTAAAGACTGTAAGGCTCTAAGCAGGACCTATGTTCTTTTTAGTTCCATACAGACCATTGACATTTTAGGGCCTTTGTAAATTACAATTATACAACAATGCCATCACCAAACAGCAGCAAACAAGTGCACCTACCCCTAACAAACACATAAGCTCTTTGCTCGTTGTACCCATCACATGTTGGTATGCGGATGCTGTAAAACCCTTCATCTTCTTTGTAAGCGCAAGAGACTGTCAGGGAAGCCTCCTGGGCCTCACACTTCATTTGCCGGCGATCAGAATCTCTCAGCAACTCACCTGAGTGCAAGAGAAAGATGGTAACTGAGGACTTACCTGGTCGGTGGCTTCCTACCAGAGCTAAAACGTAGCAAAATTTCAGAATGTGAAATTATAATTCCAGCCCTATTTGGGAATGTTAATGGAAAATTAAATGCAGAGGGTATTCTTGCATAAACACTCAATCTTGGATAATCTGCTTAAGAATTTCCTTCCCAAATTCATTTAATCTCTTCTTCCAGCATTCATTTGGGAGAAGCCAGGTGCCTTTTCCCCCTTTCCCCCAAGAGAAATTTTCATGTAAGTAGTACCAGGAACCAGGTATGTAGCATCAGGAGCCATGTGGCCCCCAAAAAGTTCCCTGTAAGGGAATGTGGCCCTCAGGCTGAAAAATTATTCCAACCGTGGTCCGAAGTGTTGGCTGTATTGGGGCCCCACTTCAGACAACAAAATGTCTTTGGCCAGGATTTTCTTAATACTTGTCAAATGGCAATAGTCATGGATGGTGGGGTGTTTTTTGGGGGGAGGGGTTACAAATACAGACCATCTCTGAACCAGCGGATGTCTTGTTGGTATTCCTGCAAGTCTGAAGTAAAAGTGCAGCAAAGCATGAAGGGCTCCTTTTCTCTGGAAAAGACAGGCCTCAGAGTGCTAGCAAAGTCAGCTTCCAGGTCCCTGAGTGACTCTAAAAAGAGAAGATGAGGTTAGGTAAGAGCATCTGGCCTTGCCAGATATAAGGAGATAGCGATTTCCATCCAGTGCATCTGGCTGTTAGCCAAAAGGTTGGTGGTCTGAGCCCACCCAGGGACAGCTGTGGGCATGATTCCTGCATTGCAGGGCGTTGGACTAGATGACCCTTGTGGTCCCTTCCAATTCTACAGTTCTATGATTCGACGATCTGTTCATCACAATCAGTGCTATTTCCATTCCGCTACAGTTCAGCTTCTGCTAAAACCTAACTTTGATCATCTCGCTATCTCCTATGGCCAAAACTAATGTGATTAGGTAAAGGTAAAGGGACTCCTGACCATTAGGTCCAGTTGTGGCCAACTCTGGGGTTGCGGTGCTCATCTCGCTTTATTGGCCGAGGGAGCCGGCGTACAGCTTCCGGGTCATGTGGCCAGCATGACTAAGCCACTTCTGGTGAACCAAAGCAGCGCACAGAAAGGCCGTTTACCTTCCCACTGGAGCGGTACCTATTTTTTACTTGCACTTTGACGTGCTTTCGAACTGCTAGGTTGGCAGGAGCAGGGACCGAGCAACGGGAGCTCACCCCGTCGCGGGGATTCAAACCGCCGACCTTCTGATCGGCAAGCCCTAGGCTCTGTGGTTTAGACCACAGCGCCACCCACATCCCAGTGTGATTAATGATGCAATTAATTAATTTAAATGCATTTCAGAGGAAGTGAAATGTAAAACACAATGCAGAAAACAACTAATTATTTACATCACGTTTGCAGATCAAAAACCCCAACCATTTCCATTCCTGACTTCTAATGAACATGTGAATTGTAACAATTTCTGCTCCGGTTTTCCATTTCTGTTAGAACTCTCTAGACGTCTGCAGCTTTCGGCTGCCACAAACAGCCAAGCTCACAAGCAGAAGACAGTGCATGGAGCTAATCTCTGCTCTTTGCATCCAGTTTAAGGAAAGTGTGGAACTGCTGTGTTTGACTCATTCGTTATTTTTATTGGGCATCTATACAACCCCCTCCTCCAATCATATCTATGCTATTTTTAAACCCACTTTAGGGCTCCTCCAGACAACTTGTTTATTGAGCATTTATCCTGATTTGCTTACAAAAACACTTACTTGGAGTTTATACAGTGTGCAGACTTTATTTAACATTCATTCTGGTATGTTTGCAGGGAGGTTATGTAGCTTCTAGCATTCATCCTGATTTGCTTGCACCTACCCTCCTTCTTCCATTCTGAACAAGTACAAAGAGGTTCTCTCCATGAGCAAATGTGTTGTGCCACAAATCCTGTGGCAGCCATTTTGTGACTGGTGCTCACAACACACTCTCAAAATTCCAAATGTGCCCACAGGCCCTGAAAGGTTGGCAACCCCTGGAGTAAAGCTTATTTGAAACAGGAACCTTTCTCTCTCTCCACAGAATAGACAGAGACCTGCTTCCCAGTCACCATTTAGACATTCTTCCAGTGGCATAGCAACCCCTGCCAGCACCTGGGGCGGACCAAAGATGTTGAGCTTTTTTGGGGGAAATCGAAGTTGTTGAGCCCCCTGAGGAACTGCAGTGGTGTCTGCAAACTCCCCTGACACACAGCAGCCAACTTAAAACACTGCAGACCCCGTGCTGCCCTACAGAGCCCCGTGACGCCCTATGGGTGCCCCCCTCCACCCCTGGCTACCTATGCAACTGCTTTCTCCCCAGTATTCCCATCTCATCATTTGGGCAACAAAATGGCCCCAAACTGTACTATGAAGTCACATGCCAGGCTAAACCAATACAGAGAAAACCACAAAAGAATAAAAGTTTTGTACTTACTTTTATATATCTCTGAGTCAAATCCAGACTCCTTTCCATAATATTCTACCAAAAAAAAAAGAGAGAGGAAGGGAATTGATGAGATAGGCATTATATATACTTATTTTTTATTTTATTTTTATAAATTTTAATTAGTGTTTTAACATATCATTTTCAACAGTAATTAAACATACCTTTATATCTTATTCAATTTTTTTGACTCCCATCAGTCCTGTCTGAAAATTTTCCAATCTAATCTCTTAATATGCATTTCTTATTTTCTTATTTTCCCTATTACATTTCAAACTCATAACCAATATCTCTATCTTTTTCTACTTTGTAACACTTCATATATTTCTCCTTACAAAACTTCTTGTAGTCCTACTAGCGTAATTTGTTGGTTACAGTTGCTCTTCAAATAATTCATATACTTCTTCCAATCTTCTGTAAATCTCTGGTCCCGCAGGTTTCGAATCCTTCCTGTCATTTTGTCCAATTCTGCATAGTCCATTAATTTCGTCTGCCATTCTTCTTTTGTCGGAATGGCATTATATATACTTATAGCTGGGATGAACAATCTGTGGCCCTTCAGAAGTCATTGGTCATCCTCAGTGAGCACAACCAATGGTAAGGGATGACTGGAGTTGGAATCCAACAACATCTGGAGGGCCATAGGTTCCCAGTTCCTGGTTTATAGAATTGTATTTCAGTTCTCAGAGTCTAAATAATAATGCCCAGGAGCTGATCAGCAGATCCTCCAAAGCAGTGTTCACATTCCCCATTTCCCCCAGGGTCATAGCTCAGTAGTTTTGCATGCAAAAGGACTGGGTTCAATCTCTGGTTTCTCTAGGTAGGGCTGGGAAAGACCAGTCTCTGTCTGAAACCTAGGAGAGCTGCTAACAGTTTGTGCAGCAACAATCTTGAGCTAGATGGGTCCATGGGCTGACTTGGAATAAGGCAGCTTTCTATGCTCGTATCAACATTGAAGAATTCCAGAAGCAGTTCTGGTGGGTTTCCTTTGGATGAGAGGGTGCTAAAGCCTTGGAGGGTTCTGAATTGTTTTGTTTATTTTGAAGTATACAGGCAGAGCATAAGTGAAGGTAGGCACTCTCGGAAGGCAGCAGGTCTGCTAACTCACATTAGATATCTAGAGCAACTTTCCCCCAACCAGGTGCCCTTCAGATACTTTGGACTGCAACTCCCATCAGCTCCAGACAGCATGGCCATTGTCCAGGGATCATGGGAGCTGTAGTCCAGAACATCTGGACAGCACCAGGAGGCTGCCCAAGAGAAAGGCCGTATGTCTCCACAATGTGCTTAGAGGTCACTTGCAGATCTCACTGTCTCGGCCTCATAGCTGTAGAGGAAAATTTCCTATATACCACCAAAGGAAAATCCCAGTGGGTTACAGGGATCCATAATCGAAACAAAATAAAAAAAAATTCCTTCCAGTAGCACCTTAGAGACCAGCTAAGTTAGTTATTGGTATGAGCTTTCGTGTGCATGCACACTTCTTCAGATACACTGAAACAGAAGTCACCAGACCCTTATATATAGTGAGAGTGTGGGGAGGGGTATTACTCAGAAGGGTGGTGGAAATGTGTGATTGGCTGATAGGTGTGGTAAACCTGTTGACGACTGTTAACGACTGCAATTGGTCTTACAGGAAAAATCAAGGGGAGAGATGGCTAAAAATAGCTTTATCATATATAATGAGATAAGAATCCAATGTCTCTATTCAGACCAGGTCTCTCCATGGTTTTAAGTTTGGTAATAAGTTGCAATTCAGCAACTTCTCTTTCCAGTCTATTTCTGAAATTCTTTTATAATAAGATAGCTACTTTGAGATCTTGTATAGAATGTCCTGGGAGATTGAAGTGTTCTCCTACTGGTTTCTCTGTCTTGTGATTCCTGATATCAGAAGGGATCTATAATGGAACAGATGGGGCCTGAACCAAAGTAAACACAGGAAACAATCTGGTAAACATCGTGGATGATTAAATTATATGTTGCTTCTGTTACAATGGGTCGTTGCTATAACAGCAGATTAAGGTACGTAATTTTGCATCACATGGAAAGTCTTCCATTTCCATTTTTACTGCAAGGAACTTCAGGCTCCTGAACGAATATTTTGTTTTATCATTATGATGATGGTTTATTAATTTATACACTGCTTACTTGCCAAGGTGGCTTCTAAGTGGAAGAATTTAGAACAAAAACTAAATAATCAATAAAACAAGGTCAAAATAAAAATTTCTATGAAACATAAACACCAGTAAAACTTTTAAAAACAAATATGCATAACTCAGTTATATTGCCTAGGTAAAGTAAGGACAGATCGTGAAGCTGAGGCTCCAATACTTTGGCCACCTCATGAGAAGAGAAGACTCCCTGGAAAAGACCCTGATGTTGGGAAAGGTTGAGGGCACGAGGAGAAGGGGACGACAGAGGAAGAGATGGTTGGACAGTGTTCTCGAAGCTACGAACATGAGTTTGACCAAACTGCAGGAGGCAGTGGAAGACAGGAGTGCCTGGCTTGCTCTGGTCCATGGGGTCACGAAGAGTCGGACACGACTAAACAACTAAACAACAACAACAACAACAAGGTAAAGTAAAGGGACCCCTGACCATTAGGTCCAGTCATGGCCGACTCTGGGGTTGCGGCGCTCATCTCACTTTATTGGCTGAGGGAGCTTTCGGGTCATGTGGCCAGCATGACTAAGCTGCTTTGGCAAACCAGAGCAGCACACGGAAACGCCGTTAACCTTCCCGCCGGAGCGGTACCTATTTATCAACTTGCACTTTGACGTGCTTTCGAACTGCTAGGTTGGCAGGAGCTGGGACTGAGCAACGGGAGCTCACCCCGTCGCAGGGATTTGAACCACCGACCTTCTGATCGGCAAGTCCTAGGGCTGCTGAAATAAACAGGTTTTCCCACAGGAGGCTAAAACAATACAGCATGGCCACCTGCCTAATGTCAATAAGCAGGAAGTCCTAAAGCACAGCTTTTACCACGCTAAAAGATTATCTCCTCACAAATGAGAAACAAACATTATGTACAAACCCCAAACATTTTGCAACGGGGAAGCTGCAAGGAAGGTTCCTGAGAGAGTCCTAAAGCATTTTACAGAGCAAAGAAAATCACTTCCCCCTTGCCCACGTCCACTTACTCCTGACGAGCACCGTGGCAAATGAATAGGCTTCGCCATAAGCGTTTTTCACTTCTACACTGTATTCAGCAGAATCATCCAAGGAGCATCTGAAAGAAAGAGAGGAAGCTAAAAGCACCTGGCCCTGAGGGGGCCCCAGGAGGCCTCAACAGCAATGAGCGCCAGACCAGGGTCCAAGGGCAGGAATAGGATGCCTTTTTCAGCCAGAGGGCCACAATCTCTTGAGGGGAACCTTCTGGGGGCCACATTCAAGTGGTGGTTGGGGCCAGAGGCAAAGGTGGGCAGAGCAATTGACGGGATTCTTAACTTTGCAGACTAGGCTGTATTCTAGCCGCACAAAAGTGAAAGGTACACCTATACATATACACACACCTTCATCCTTCAACCAGGAAATAAGAGCCATCATTGTACTTCAAGGACCCGTTCCAGCTAGGCAAAGGCACTTGTGTAGGGTGAAGAGGAGGGCCAGGGAGGGGGAGGGGCTTGGGATGGGGCGTGGCCTAGGGAGAATCTCAAGGGATAGACAAAGAGGCTGGGAGGGTCACAGTCTCTTGAAAGTGTTGGGGTGCCACACGGCTTTCAGTCCGGAAGCCCCAATTCCTAATATACAAGTGCGTGCTTATTTTTAATACATGTGGTTGGACTATTAAGACATTCTGCAGAGATCTCAGAGGAGAAATGGCACCTGATGTTTCAGTAAAGATAAATCACAATCTGGCTTTTCCTTGCTTTCATGCAGGTCCGTTACCTGCTGATGTCCAAAGTCAGCATTCCAAACTCATTCGTCATCTTATATTTCCCCGCTGGAGCCAGACGAGGGTCAATCCGAACTCCATTTTTATACCTAGTCAGGTGCAAATAAACAAACACAGAGACATGAAAATAAGCAGCAAGGCCAGATTTCAGGTAGGGATGCATGAATCTGTAAATTTTGGTTATCTAAGTTTCTCGTTTTGCCAATCTTAAATTCAGTGCTCCATGTTTCCCTGACATTTTGTGGTTTTTTAAGAAATGGAAAGAAGTCCTCATGATAATTTGTCAGCATTTTAGTGCCAATTTCCCCTAAGAAGCATATTTCTGTATGCAGTTTTTTTAAAATAAACATTTTGTTTTGCAAGCCATCTCTCCTAATATAATGCATTTTGTGTCATTTTCACTAATAAATGCATTTGTGTGCACGCTTTAACCAAGCAGATACATCTTCATACACTTTACTTGGCTGGAGAACTTCATTTCAAGTTTCAGAGAAGTATGAATGCCAAAAGAATGACGGGGTTTCCCTTTGCATATTTCTGCAAAAAGAGTGGTTTTAGCAGGGTCACCTTTAAATGCAGACTGAATAACATTCCGCACCCGCAGCCCTAATTGCAGGGGACTCTTGAAACTGAATTCTTCCATCTCTGCCCACTCACCAAGTCACCTCTGGCAGAGGAGAAGCCAGAACTGTACATTCCAGTTTGACGCTCATTCTTTCCCAGACGGCGTGAGCCCGGAGAGGGATCCAGAACATGGGCGGCCGGCAAGAAAGCAGCTCCATGACCTCCTTTTCCAACTGTGCCTTTGCTTCAGCCTAGGACAAGGACCACAAACAGCTTTAAAACCTTTTATCTTAGTGTTCTATAAATACACTTGCAGGAACTGGGCAGGCAACTCTTAACACCCTTCTGTTTTCTGCTACAGAATAATCAGGCAGGCCCTTTCTGGAAGCTGCCTTATATGGAGTCAGACTATTAGACCATCTAGCTCAGTATCGTGTACACTGACTGGCAGCAGCTCTCAAAGGCTTCAGACAGAGCGTCAAGCCTGTGAAGGTATCTCATGGAACAGCTCTCCCAGGAAGCTTAAGTTTGTCAGCCTTTCATGGGAGGGATTCAGGAGCATACTGTAAATTTTAAGTTTGTGCAGGTAAGATGCCGCCTCGGTGCACTAAATCCAAATATATACCTTTGTAGCTAGGAAAGGTATATCCACTGAAAAGTGTGGGATATAAACAAATGATTTACAGGACGATGTCTGACATGCAGCTTACCTGTCACAGTATTTCTATTTAAATCATAGAAATTTGCATCTATACATATAAATCCGTATATGCAGATACGTGTCCTCCTGGGCTGGATCCAACTAACTTCTACTCAGAGTTGACCTATTGAAATTAATGGTCATTGCTAACTTGGGTCCATTAATTTCAGCAGATCTATTCCAAGTAAATGTTAGTGGAGAGCAGCCCCATCCTTTCTGGAGATATATAAGTGGCCACTGTATGGAAGTCGCATGTCCACAATTTTGGAAATCTAACACGTTCCTTTATCTTATAATGTACTGTTTCACAGAGCTACAATGGTTGGAATGGTTTAACAGTAAATCCACCTTCTCTGGGGCTCTGTGTGGGGTAATGGTGGTCCCCTAACAACTCTCAGCACCCTTAAACTACAGTTCCCAATATTCTTTGGGGGAAGCCATGACTGTTTAAAGTGAGATGAAGCTGCTTTAAATGTATAGTGCATATCGGGCTGAAGGGGCTTCAGGACTCAGAACTAACCAGGAGGTGTCAATGAACACTGAGATTCCTTCCTGGCTTGGTTATTTTACCTGCTGGTTGTTAACCCACTTGCTATAACAACAGAGTATCTACATACAACAGTCAGGCTCTCTTTTCGCAAACCACGCAGCACTGACCCTTTCTTGTCCCTCTAACATACATAACTTTAATCTGTTGCTCGGGCAGAAATCACTGCCAGAAAGCAATGGAAAAGTATCCACACATGCGCAGAGCCAGACATTCCTCCTCCGCAAAGCTGCAGCCTTGAGGCTGATCTTCATAGTGCAATTTGCAAGCTTCCAGACTGGCCCCAAGCTGGTGGATGGATGTGAGTTGAAATGCTACGCAAAAGTATCACTGAAAGTTTGTATCCGCCCAATGAACTTTGCCTCTGTGGGTGCTGCTGGCTCTTGACTCTCAAACAACCCACTTTAAGCTGCTCCTCCCCTTACCTTCCTCCGCAGAGCCTTTTTGTCAGCTCTCACACGCAAGGCCCGGCAGTTCCGAATGACCGTTTTCTCCAGTTTCTCCATTTCGTTCCCAAAACGAACTCTCTTCTGTCCTCTTTTCTCTAGCTCCAAAACAGTAGTCTTCTGCCTCATTTTCGTTTCCCTGGGGACAGAAAGCATAAAATATATATCACCCAGCTTTCCATGTCCTCTCGCAGGGTTCAGGTTGTGGGATGTAATCCACTGAGAGCAGTCAAGTACAACATTCCTTGTTTTCCTAGAGTGGACATGCAAAGGAATGTTTGGTCCAGCCAGGCGAAACTTCCTGTTCCTCCTGGCCTGGAGCATCCTTCCTTGCATGTGACTAGTGGGTGGGTATGACCTTTCCAGACCTGGTAAAAGAACAAGGCATGCTGCCACTCTCTCCTCTTTCATCTTCCTTTCGTCCTGCGAACTTCCTGGAATGAACTGCTGGCTGCCAGCCAAGCAGTCCCTCAGGTTATCTCCCTTATGGGGTACACCTCTTTTATACGTTTGTAACTTTAAGCCTAAAGCCTGCCTTCAGGGATCACACTGTGCTCTGCCTGATCGTGAGTAAACTTTCTTTTTACTGCTTATGAATAAAACTGTGGTGTCTTTATTGTTTTAGGAGAGATTCAAGGGGTCTTACCAGGAAAATATTAGAACACATTTCAATCTGGACAAGCCAGATTGAATCACATATTGTCTTAAGAAACTCACACGAGTTTTCAACTAGTTTTCTGCTGTGTAGAAGGGAATGCACTCTGCTATAATAAAGGAACTTGCTGTCAGGAGCTCGTCCGACACTCGAGTAGAACCCTGGCAGAGACACATGCCCGACTGGCATGTTCTCTCCCTCCTGGTTGATTGTCCGGGAGCTTCAAAAGCTTTCTTCTGCCCGAACATCACAGCGACCGATGCCAACAGACAATGGCACACTAAGGGATCTGCAGTCTTCGCAGCTTGCGTAACAGACCTCAGCAACTCAGCATTTTGGCTAATCTACTTTATTTTCATATAAACACACACGGAGCACTGTAACATGGCTCCCCCTCTCTCTAGCATCAGACAGTAAAGAGAAAGAACAAAGGACAATAATCCCACTTCACGGAACACAGTAACACAAACATCCTGTCCCTGTCACTTCCCATTCTGTGGAGTCAAAACATACACCATCAGGTGATAGACAACAATGCCATGACTGCAATCATGGAGCAGGAATTCTAACACTTGCTAGTGCAAGTTAGGAAGGATATTAATATATCCTCTTGGGGCCCCCTGAACATTCCCACACAGGTTTTGCCCGAACTAGCAATCTTTATCCTTTTTCATTCTCTCTGCCTCTACAGTCAGAGGCAGTAATGCTTCTGAATACCAGTTGCTGGAAGCCACAGGAGCGGAGATGGCTCTTGCGCTCATGTTCTGCTTGCCAGTTTCCCACAAGCATTTGGTTAGCCCCTGTGAGAACAGGAGGCTGAACTAAATGGGCCATTGGAATGATCCATTAGGCTCTTCTTATGTTCTTAACCTATGAGCAGGGCTCTAGATGGTGGGCAGCCAATATGGTACCCTCCAGATACGTTTGGGCTCTCAACGCACATTAGTCAGCATGGCCAATAACCAGGGATTTTTGGAGCTGAACCACATCTGGAGGGCATCGCATGACTATCTTCTTATGCTCGCAGGTATGGCTCCAGAAAATTAATGCGTCCAAAGGTTTGCTGGTGATATCAGTTCACATTCATGCAGCAGACAGATTTTATGCAAATGTACACAGTTCAATCACTAAGATAACTGACCCTAACTGAACTCATTATGCTTTAGAATTTTGGAAAAGTTTGCTCTAGTAAGCTACTGGACCTACCATGATTTTTCCGATGTCAATGCAAGTGCAGATGCTATGGACAAATCCAGACGTGTGAAGCCCTCTTCTTCTTCACTGTTGCCCCCAAGGTTGAGAAAGCAGATAGAAATGAAAGATTTCATGAATACCAAAGAAGTACTACAAGGTGCAGTGAGGGAGATATATAACAGGACAAGTTCAAAAACAAAAATGTTTCACATGGACTAGAGGTGCCAAAAACCCCCAGCCTGTTTCTAAATACAACAGCACTATACTCAGTTAGGGATGGGTTAATCTGTCAATTTCAGTTTCTCCCTGTTTCCCATTTGTCCAATCTTAAATTCAGATTCCTGGCATTACAAATGGCAACTCCGCTCATATGGTATGCTGAATATCCAAACCGCAGTGACATTCTCACAGGAATGCTAGCAATCCCTAATGAATTTGGTGAATCTTCCAAAGCTTCGCTCTTAGTTTTCGTGAACTCACAAAATTTATCACAAAAGGTTTACATTATCTGAAATTCTGGTATTCACTGTTAGTGCGCGCGCACACACACACACACTATATATATATATATATATATATATATATATATATATATAACACTTTGGAGCACTGGGTTTTGTCATCTCATTCATTCCTTGGCTAACCTGGTCCTGAACTTTGCCTTCCTTGTTCTAGAACTCATTTGTAGATTTCTGTGCCTCTCCTCCTTTTGCTCGTCTTCCCTGCGGTGGGAAAAGCTTCGTATTTCCATGATGGACACTTATGGGGGGAGGGAATTCCTGTCAGAAACAATAACATCAAATGTTCATGAAAATAACAGACAAAAATGCAAAATTGCATAGAGACATTTGTATGTATGGAAAAAATTCAGACTAAAATGCTGGTGTATTTTTATGAGAACATTAGAAAAGAAAATGGAAAATGATGTGGAAAATGTGAAGAACTTGCTTGGAAAGAAATGAGAAACCGAGAGAACTGAAAATTGATGAATTTACCCATCCCTGTTGAAGAAGACACACACTAATTCATCCATCCATCCATCCATCCATCTATCCATCCATTCATTCAGTTAGTTAATTAGTTATTTGCTTTCTCTTGCCCAGGATAACCCAAAGCAACTTACAACCAAACAGACAATAAGCCCCACCTAGATATGTTAAAACCAAGATAAATTATTCAGGTGAATTATCTCAGAAATTACTCAAAATACTTGTTAGACAACACAGTCTCCAAATCTGTAAAATGAAACTCCCATTTAACTCACTGGATTTAAATAGGTTTTTTGTCTTTGGCATGTTGGTTTTATTGTGTGTCTCAAGTTCTGTTTGGAAGATGCATTTTCTGTTTTAATTAGAACATCTGAGGCTAATACTTTTAATAAACTGTTTATGCTTGAATGCAAGTAACGGGTTTTAAAATAGCCCATGTGTTAAACTGTTGCAGTGAACACAAAACACTCAGACTTAACTGTGCATGTGTTCCCATCACTCTTGCATCAACAGAGCTCAGGCAAGAGGAAGCATAAGAACTGCAGCAAGTGGAAAGACAATTGTCTTAAATTCAGGATGAAAATAACACTTAGCAGCTGTGAAATTCATATAAATAAATTAGTATTCTTTAGTATTACATTATAGACTTTATTTAGATTTTATTAAGACATTATTTAGACTTTACATTATTAAAAATGAGGTCATTGCTTCTTTAGTCCAGAATCCCAGGTGTGTAACCTGATATCTGTAACACCTAGCACTGGGGTCACCAATCCAGTGCCCTTGAAGGATTACACTGGAGCTGCTGGGCAAGTTCCCCAGACTCTGAGCTTTCATTTTAAAAAAGACATCAGTCTCTAGCCCTCCTAGAAAGAAAGTTATGGGGTAAAATGTGCAGGTACCTTCAAAATGACTTCTGCGAAAAGAGAGTGCAATGTGGACACATGGTATATTTTTCCTGCTACTGAGGAAATAACACACACACACACCTGTTATTAAATAGCAATAGCAAAAGTGTATGCATTAACAGTTAAACCACTCTGAGAATTATAGCTTTGTGAGGAGACCAGGGGTCTCCTCATAAGTCTCGTTATGCTTAATCCCAGAGTCACCTGTGAGAATAGGATACTAGACTAGATAGGCCATTGGACTGATCCACTTAGGTGCTCTTTGCGTTCTTATGCAAATAAACTATAGTAACCAGAATTCTTTGGGGGAAATCACAAAGGTTTAAAGTGATATGATGTGGCTTTAAATATATAGTACTTGGAGTCCCTGATTTTTAGGGGCCACGTGGCACATTTGGCAATCTAAGGAACTATTGTCGGCTCCACAAAATTCATTTTCACTAAAGAAAGATTGCTGCTGCCCACGAAACAGGCAATCACCTAGACACCCACCAAAACAAAACACAGACCAAAGAAGCAGGCAACAGACACCCCGCCCCGTATCAGGCACTTCCCTAAACAGCCACCAGTAAAGAGTCAACACCCCTTTCAATTTTAAAAACTGGAAGGGGAGAGGCTGTTGCCAGGCACCAAGTGGGAGGGCATTCAATGGTGCCATTTCTGGGACTCCAGCAATCCAGCAATATACTCATGAGCAAGTCCTCTCGACATACTCTGAAATAAATGCCTTCGTCTTGAAGGATTTGCTGTACTCTGGTATACATTGCTAGATGATTTAACAAGAAGTTCAGGAGATGAGAACATGCAGTATGCTCCACTGATTTGTAATGAGGGTCACCCCGTAAATAAATAAATAAATACAGGAGAGGTTAATTCTGTGTGGAGAGGGATGACAAGGGTCTGACAATTTTTGTTTCTCCCCCCTCCCCCCAGTCTTAAGTTCAGTCCTTCACGTTTCATCAACAGTGTGCAATCTTTCTTTTAGAAGTCACCATGAAAAGCCACCAGCATTTTAGTGCAAATTTCTCCTAATACTAAAACTTGCCCAATATATACATTTTTGCAAAGCATTCCCCCACTAACGGAACCTTTTATGCATCCTATTTTCACCAATATATGCATTTCTGTCAGGGCCTGCCCAGCCATTAGGACGGGTGAGGCCACCACCTCAAGCCATGGAAGCCCCCAAGGCGGCAGGGGCAGGACAGGGTGGTACTTCCCAATTGGCCACAAGCAGTGCAATGGGATGGGCTGCTCCTGATTTCTATGCACACCTTACCCAAGTACTTACATTTTTGTACACATTACTTGGCTGGAGAACTGCACTGGAAAATTTGGAGAAGGGATGGCTGTGTTTCATTTTCCCTATTATTTCAGAAAGGGCATATTCATTAAGTTTTCTTTTAAATGCCTCCTTTGTCCGTATTGACACACAATGCTAAGCACACAATGGCTTAGCGCATACTACGCAACTGTCCCGTTTTAAGCAGGACATCCTGGATTAACAGAAGCCTTCCTGACTCCTGATCCCAATTCTGGATGTGTAGATTTTGGTTCTGCACTGTGGCGCGAGTCAGCTGGCTCACACCAGAGCACAGCACACACAAAAAAAACAGAGCTGAAAGATGCTCTCTTACCTTTGCCTCCATTCAATTTTTTTTCAAGCCCCCTACACCTTCTTTAGCACCACCACTCTCCTTTTGCGTCGCCATTGGCAGAAGCTAGTGCTCAGTCAGAACAAACACTTCAGAACAAACAAACTACAGCAGGGGGTGTTGCTGGCCTTGGCCGTGGCCACTTGAAACACTGCTGTTGCCGTTGAGTTAGAGGCATTAAAGATGGAACAATGGGGTGGGTGGAGTGCAGCAACTCTGAAGGTGCTTATGTGCTGTGGACCATTGTTCATATATTGTACTGTCATACTGAGAAATAAATGAGAACACTGGGTCCTGGCTGAGGTTTTGGAGCAATGAGAGATGGGCGGGTGATTGGGGGTGGGAAGAAGCAGCATGAAGATCAGGCAGGTGGAGGCCAGAAAGAGTGCAAAAATCAGGCGGGAGAAGGAGCATGGAGTTTGGGCAGATGGGGAGGAGCAGGAAGATCGGGTGGGAGGGAAGGTGTCCCATTTTGCCCTCCTGAAATGTCGGAGGGTATGAGTGCAAGCGAACAGATGTGCAGACCCTGAAGTGGAGATTGTAGCTGCTTCGCTCCTCCTCCAGTCATTCCCTTTCAATAAATACTTTGGCTATACACTCAAGTTGGGGGTTTGCTCTCCTTGGAGGCAAGTGAGGTGGTGAAGTTAGGAAATTTAATGGGTTTTGAGATGGGAGTGCCAATGGAAACACTCTTTGTCCATGACACTGGTTGGAGCCTCTGGGAAGCCACGGAGGTGGTTCAGCCATTTTGGGCAGCTATGGTTTAGTATCTTGCAAGTGAGTAGTCTTGGGGTGCGATCCATCAGCGCAAGCATTTCTCCTCCCCACATACTGTTTTGGTGGTTCTCACCATCCAGAGCAGATTTCGGGTAGGGGAAGCTGAGCAGGAGGACAGCCCCATTCTTCTAGCAGGAGTCCTTGTCCTAGCTTTTGTTAGTGCACCACGTTGGCTGAATCTGGTGCTTAATCTTACGCATTCGTCCACATTGCTCCTTCCCTCTCTTGCCAGTCAAGACTAGGAAGTTCTGGTTCCTGGTTGCAGGAAACCATAGTTTACCCTTTCATCTGATCAGCAAATTAGAGTTGGCACATGCTCTGCAAACTGGGGTTGTAAAACTAGGATTGGTGATGTTGCACCCCGCTGCTTCACAGGGTGGTTTTAATATAGGATGTGTGAAGTATGACAGAAATGATAAATAGCAATAATCAAAGAGATCTGAGCTAAATAAAAGAGCAGAGCATTCTTTTTAGTTCAAGAACAGGGAGGAACCGCATTTCCCTTCCATGCTAAATTAAAATTATATTAAATTTAAAACCGAGCAAAAGAATTCCTGTGAAACAAAATGTAAGAATAGCAGCAACAATGAAAACCAGCTAGTCTTCCATACGACAAGAATCACAAGCAATCTTTAAAGCAAGATACAAGTTTGGGGCAGGCGGCAGGAATCACGTACCTTCCCTGAAGTTGGGGGATCTTCTAAATCTTGACTTTGCTATCCCAGTGTAGAGAAAAATCAGAGAGCAGGTTGGCAAGGGAGCTAGTCTTGAAGAAGAGAGATAAAGGACAAAAGGAAGGATGCCTTCCCCCTGCTTGATGGCATTAAGAATGACTGTCCCGGGAAGAATGTGTCCAAGGGTAAACTGCCCACCCTTGCAGCCTTAAATATAGCATTATCTCATGTCATTTCAATGACAATGGAGAGAACTATCTAGGATTTATGATCCCCAAACAGCTCTCTGCACGGGTAAAGCAAGATCATTTTTCTAGGTCAGAAGTATTCATGGCCATTGTCAAAGCAGAACAAGGAAGAAAAGCTGCAGGCTGATTTTCCAGGCCCAGACTCTACGGATTTCTTCTGTTTGGGCTCTCAGAAAGATTTATTTGCACAAATTTTAGCAATGAACAAATCTGTGGATTTATGCTCTGTGTGTGAGAGAGGCGGGTTGAGAGGGAATGGGGAGACAGAGAGCAGGGCTCCTCCAGATTACCTGTTTATTGAACATTCATCCTGATCGCTTGCACAACGTTTATACGCAAAGCAGGGTTTTATTGACTATTGGACACAATATGCCTCTGAGTATCAGGTGCTGGAAACTGCAGGAGGGGAGAACGTTCTTGTGCTTGAATCTTGCCTGCAGGCTTCCCACAGGCACCTGACTGGCCACTGTGAGCAGGGCCAGGCTGGGACATTTTGCTGCCTCCTTCTCCTCCTTGGTTGCAGTTGAGAACTGTGGACACACCCATGATGGGGGCATGGTGGAGTGGGGTGCACTTGTGGCAGAAAGGGTGGCCATGGTGTTCGCGGGGCATGCCTGTGGCAGAGGAGGCAGTGGGGGGCACCAGCCACAGTGGCAGGGTGCGCCCGTGGAAGCTGGGGCAAGGATGTGGCACTGGCAGCGAGTGGCACACTCCTTAGGCCCAGATCTGCTGCCTGAAGTGACCGCTTCACATCGCCTCATGGGCTGGCTCGCCCTGACTCTGAGAACAGGGCATTTATCTTTAAATGTTTGAAAATGTTTTCATTGATGATTTCAATGCTTTACTACAATCAGGTGGCATATACATTTTGTTAAACAAATAAATAGATTGCGCTGGACCTCGTTGTATCTGGGGGGAGTCAGGAGTTTCCTGTTGTCCTTCTTTAAATATCCGAATGACTGGACCTGCCCCGGAAGGTTGTGGACTCATTACAGTGGTACCTCGGGTTAAGTACTTAATTCGTTCTGGAGGTCCGTACTTAACCTGAAACTTTCTTAACCTGAAGCACCACTTTAGCTAACGGGGCCTCCTGCTGCTGCCGCGCCGCCGGGGCATAATTTCTGTTCTCATCCTGAAGCAAAGTTCTCATCCTGAAGCAAAGTTCTTAACCTGAAGCACTATTTCTGGGTTAGCGGAGTCTGTAACCTGAAGCGTATGTAACCCAAGGTACCACTGTAGAGGTTTTTTAAGAGGAGTCTGGATTGCCAACCATGAGGTTGGACTGGTTGCTCTTTCAGGATCTTTTTCAACTCTATGATTTTATGATTCTAAGAGAAGGGCTGATGGGAGTTGTAGTCCATAACATATGGAGGGCCAAAGACTCCTTATCACTAAGCCTTGCATGACATGGTGTCAGCTGTAGAGACTCAAGGCCCGCAAATTTATAAGAAAACAAAGAAAAAAGGACAGCCACGCCTGAACCAGAAGCCTTCACCTTTCATAATTCTGGAGAGTGGCCTGGGTTGAAACAAACAAACAAACAAACAAACAAACAAACAAACAAACAAACAAACAAACAAAGGTTTGCTGGAGTCCCTGATAATACCTAATTCAAAGGTGGGTCCACCAGTGAACTCTCCATTTTGTATCACTCCTTCAAATGGAAGGCCTCCCCGCCTTTGGTCCAGTGGTGTCCCCATTGATGGTTCTGTGTGTGAGGTTTCCTTTTTAAAAAGTGAGCAGGAACAGGCTCCGCCATGGCATTTAATCACTGGCTGAGTGGCATCACCTGGCATGCTGCTGACATGGGATCCCCGGGCTATTGCTCAGAAAAGCATCCCACATCAAGAGCTTGGAACGCGGCCCCTGGCAGGGCAGCCTGCACCCTTTAAAGCCCCGTCCTTGCATGGAAACCAACAGGTGGCCGGCTGGGCTGTCAGCAACATCTGCAGCTGCTTGCCCAGGGTCAGGGAAGGAGGAAATGGACTGATGATGATCCCACTAAACATTTCCCCAAGCTTCAGACGGCGGCACATGCCCCTTCCTTTAGGGTCACAACCACTCAGCCTCTCTCTTGACGACGGATGTGTGGATTTCAGTTTCTCCCACTTTCTCATTTTTCCAGTCAGTTCTCTACATTCCCACATGTTTGTGATTTTTTTTAAAGCGTCCTCGTGAAAATTCATCAACATTTTTGTGCAAATTTATTCAAATAAGCACATTTTTGTGTGTAGTTTTGACCGGGGCTTACATTTGTGCAAGCAATTTTCCCCAATGTAATGTGTTTTGGTATGTTACTTTCCACTAATATATGCGTTTATATGCCCGTTGGGGTTGAGCCATACCCATACAGTGGTACCTCGGGTTACATACGCTTCAGGTTACATACGCTTCAGGTTACAGACTCTGCTAACCCAGAAATAGTACCTCGGGTTAAGAACTTTGCTTCAGGATGAGAACAGAAATCGTGCTCCTGTGGCGCAGCAGCAGCAGGAGGCCCCATTAGCTAAAGTGGTGCTTCAGGTTAAGAACAGTTTCAGGTTAAGAACGGACCTCTGGAACAAATTAAGTACTTAACCCAAGGTACTACTGTATATCTAAAGTGCACTTAGCACACTTTTAAAGCACATGGCGACTTGAATGAAAGAAGGAAAGAAGGAAAGAAAGAAGGAAGGAAGGAAGGAAGGAAGGAAGGAAGGAAGAAAAGGAACTGTAGTTTTGTTAAGGGTTTTGTGAATTGTAGTTCTGTGACTGGTAATCAGTTGCAAAGATTATTTGTGGCGAAGCCATGTGCATTAAATGTGCTTGAAATATAAGTTGTGGCTGTGACCTGCTATTTACTAGATATTTATGTAGCAAATATTATTTATTTTCACACACTGTTTAGGTCATAAGTTGCAAACAGAGGCCTTCTCTGCAGGGTCCTGTTCCCCACCCTCCCTAGCTGAAACTAGGCTTGGAAGAAGTGTTCTACTTTGGTTAAGGCTTGTTTCAAGTATAATTGCAGCTTGTGTTCCTCCAGTTTGCAAATGCACCCATGGGCCCCAAACATTTAGCAACCCCTGCTTTAAGGCATGTTAGTGACGTGATGTTCTTTCACTTGGGAGTGGCCCCATATGAGGTGCAATATCTGACTCATACTTAATGGGGCATCTTTTATAACCTCTAGGTGGTTCATATCTTTGTATCTCGTAGATGTTAAAGCATGCTCCAGCAAGCTGAGAAGGCCTTCCCGCCTACTGAAGAGACTTTTTGAACCACTTCCAGAATGTTCATTTTCATAGTTCTCCCTAACTCACAGGAAAACTGTACATAAATATTGATTTATTCAATGTTTATTGTGAAATTTGGACCCCTCCTTTCAACCAAAGAGTGCCCAAAGCAGCTACCAAACAGTAAGAGAAGGGAAAAGCAAAACAGTAATGAAAAAGGAACAAAAACGGCAGATGAAACATGCGGCTAAAATCAATAAGGACAGCAGCCAGATGAACGAATTACAACATACCAGCCACAGACAAATCAACTTATCAGGGCAAAGTTCTGTCTGAATAAAAACCCATTTACCTGCTGCCAGGTCACCATATGGACTTCCTAGCAAAGAGTTCCAGTTCTCTTGAACAGGGATGGACTTGGCCATTTTGGTTTCTCATTTGTCCAATTTTAGTTCAGTTCTCTACATTTTTCACATGAGAGTGTGTTGTTGTGGTTGTTTTGTTTTTTTTTAGTCCTCCTGAAACTTCACCTACATTTTAGTGCAAATTCCTGCTAAGATAATGCATTTTTCTATGTCATTTCTATGTGTTTATATGCATATTTTACCCTAGTTTATGCATTTTCTTACAAATTACTTGGCTAGAGAACCACACTGCAAACAAAGGGGAGCGCAAGCGGTGAAGAGCTTATTAGGTGCTGCAGGAGGTGTCACAATTATAACATCCCATGGAAGGTGAGAGGGGGGCCCGGATTTTGGTGTCTCACAGGGCTTCAGTGAAATTTTACAGTCTGCCACTACTGCAAAATTTCAAAGGATGTTGGCATTTTTCTTCCTATACAGTGGTACCTCGGGTTACAAACACTTCGGATTACAGACTCCACTAACCCAGAAGTAGTACCTCAGGTTAAGAACTTTGCCCCAGGATGAGAACAGAAATCGTGTGGTGGTGGTGTAGCGGCAGTAGGAGGCCCCCTTAGCTAAAGTGGTACCTCAGGTTAAGAACGGTTTCAGGTTAAGAACGGACCTGCGGAACAAATTAAGTTTGTAACCGGAGGTAACAAACAAACTGAGATTAAGATTAAGATTTAAATGTGAATGGTAGCAATTCTCTCTCCCTGCTGCTACTTTTGAGTTTCTGCCAAATATGCTTTAGATGTTGGCAGGATAAGAGTGCTTCAAAGGTTGCATGCCACCCCACCCCACCCCAATCTCTGCTGAGCAGTAACAAGATTCCAGGGGGTTCCAGGTGCTCACCTAAAGTGAGCAAAAGGGTTGTGCTTTTGTTGGGAAAATCAAAGGATGGTGAAACAGAAAGGCAGTTTTACCACTTTATTCTATAAAGTGAACGTAATCAGTTCCGGCAGACCGTTCGACTTCTGAAATATTCAAAAACCGAAATCTGAAAGCGGAAGCCTCAATACAATAGGGAAACTCAAAACGGAAGCCACGTGGCACGTTCAGTTTCCGAAAAATCATTCGAAAACCGAAGCAGTTACTTCCGAGTTTTCGGCATTTGGAGGCTGAAACATTCGTCAATGGAGACCGAGGTTCCATTGTGCCAGCACCAGATTTAGAGCTGTGTGGCCAGTTCCCCTGCAGAGGGCACCAAGCCGAGGGGGCGCAAAATAATAGTAGTAATAATAATAATATTTTTTTAACCTATATTTATATGGATACCTCCTGAGAAGATCCATTAAAAAGCAACTGTACTGAAAGGAATTATTGTGAAAATAATAAATATTGGGAGGTGGGAATTTTGTCCTTGCTCAGGGCACCATACCACCAAAGTCAGCCGCTGCCTACACCCTACTCGGCTTGAGGTGGAAGTGAGGATGGAAGAACTCTCTTGCATTGCTTCGTCTGTTTGCTAGTTAAAACAAAAGTGGAGTGGTGTGCTTTTTTTTTTGGCATGTTTTATTCTCCATTGGAAACAATGAGAGGTAAAAGGGAAGGGAAGATTTAGGCGAGCTCTGAAGCGCACGTTCAAATCCTCTCCCTGTTTCTGAAATGGGGGCATTTGGAGCCCTAGGGAAGTTGCAGCTCTGATGTCAGATGCTTCATGATGCTCCCAAAATGACAAAGAGGATTTTCCTCTCTGACATCAGAACAATGTCAAAAAAGTAGACCCATTCCATCCTATGACAATGTTGATGTATTTTATTTACTTTTTATTTCATAAAAATTTATACACTGCTTGATTGTAAAAATAAAATTCTCAAAGTGGTTTACAAAAGACAGAACAGAAAAATCAAGAAATATTTACAACCCCATTTTAAAACATACAAAAGTTAAAATACTAAAACAGCTTAAAATTACCTTGTGCTACATCTATTGTTAGCAATACTCAGAGTAGATCCATTAAAATTAATGGACATGGCTAATTTAGGTTGAGCGATTTAAATGGGTCTGCCCTGAGTAGAACTTAGTAGGCTGTAATTCTTCCTTCCTTTAAGAGCTCTTTTAATGTTTTTATACTTGGCTCCAGAAAATTAATCATCTGAGTGTATACACCCTTCCATGGAATTATGGAATCATTGCCTCAGGCAATTTATTAATAAAGCTTTCCTTACATTCCGTTGTGTTTGGACCTGGTTGTTTGGTTCAGTGCATTTTGCAGGATCAAGTTAGCTGTGAAGTTTGGAACACAGACGACTTCTCAAAGGGTATAGGCTATTTTGAACTATAAATACAATTCTTAGCTCTCTGTAGACTGAAAATAAGTCAGACTAATAATAAAAATATTTATTAGTAAAGTACAAAGATAGTACATACTTCTCCCCCCCCCCCAAGTAATACAGAACTGGGGAAGAGTCATCAATGTCTCTGCTGCTTCTGTTCCTGTCCCTTTAACTCAGGAGCTGCCAACCATTAGGAGCCAGTGAGCAAATGTGGAATTTTGAGGAAACAGACACCAGTCAGAAAATGGCTGCCGTGGGTATGTGACACGCCACAAAATGGCTTACATCTAAAAGAGCAGAAAAAGAGATGGGTCCACAAAATGGTGGAGGCATTCACCCCATCAACAGTCCTGTCATCCATGAGGAAAAGGTACCTACATCAGCCACTGCCATGCTTGCTCACAGAGAGAAGCTCTTTGCAGCAATCTTCTGTTCAGAATGGGAGGGCAAGAAGGTGTCCAGCCCTGGCATCCAATGAAATGTGAGCATATATAAGGGCGGTGTGCAATGTAGGAGAGGCCAAGTCAGTGCAAACAGGAACAGAACAAGAATAACAAGCAGTCTCTTGCAAGCACTGTGGATTTGTTTGGTGGAAATTTACTGAGACCTTTCGTGAGCCTCATAAGAGGAACTCACGGGCACCCTGGTGCCCACGGGCGCCACACTGGTGGTTCCTGCTCAACAGCAGCAGCTTCTTTTGCTGACATGAGCAGGTGGTCGTTCTTGTCGCCAGGCCATGTAAAGGGTCGCCTCCCGACTTGCAGGCAAAACTGTAATTAACACAAAGGCAGGCCAATCGGTGTGTTTCCTCCCACACCCTATCAGCCGGCAACTCAAGTTTGGGGTATCTGCCACAAGATAGGACCAGCACTGTCAGGATTCCTTGTGCAAGCTAACCAGCAATGTGTGAGGGACAGAATCACCTGGGAATAATCATGCCAGCAGTACCCACCCAGTTGGCAGGGTACCTATCAACCACATTTAGTTTTCCTTTAATGGGCTGAAGTGTGATTCACAAAGAGGATTCATGAACAGCTGGGAAAAGACATTTCCTTTCAACTCTATTTTGGAGGGAGACATTTCCACCTCCCTTGTGTTATCGCCTCCCCTCGCTCCATTCCTCAGTTGCTGGATGCGTTAACCATTATTCCTCAGACGCCTGATCCCACTGCACCTTCAGCTCCAAGTCTCTGAACAGGCTTGTGAAGAGCCCATTGCTGTGGGCAGAGTCTAAGGTATCTGGGTTTGTACCAAGGAACCCAGGCTTGTTTTCCAACCCCTTGCTCTCTTGAGTTATGCAGTCCAATACAGGGAGTCCCAAAGGCTGATGCTGGGGATTCGTCCAGGCTGTCAAATCCCAGGCCACCCACTGCCCAGGGTTCTGATCTTGAATGAGGCTGCTGCAGGTGCGATGTGAAAACAAGGATGGTGGCACGCTTGACAGAAGATTGCCATCTGAGATGGCATTTTGGTCGAATTCCACCGCAGATGGTTGCAATTCTGCAGGCTGCTCTCTGTAGCTCCCTGTCTTGTTGCCTCTTGTGGCAGGTACGCTCTCTTCCAGAAGGGGTGGAAGCAGCTGTGGCATATCTTGCATGTCTTCCTGAAGCAGCAGACATTGAGTTCGCTCTGCATCTCCCAACACAGGCACCGGCATCTGTTGGGGCTTGTTTCCCCACAATTCTCTTTTGATCTGTTCTGGCGGCTGTGCTTTATAATGCCCGCTGCTCAAGGAGCCCTCAGCTAAAGAATCGAGCTTCCTCACTTGATTTGCTGAAGAATTCGCTTTGGTACAGCTGGTGCCTTCAAAACACACTCCATACGTTAAAGGCGAAGGACCTTGTGTGCATGGTGGGTTGTTCTTGGCCATTTGTGGTGTATAACCTACATGCTGAGCAATGGTCTGGAACAGTGGTGCGTTGGCCTGTTTCTGGTAAGCTGTTTCGGTCAGGCTGAATACTCCCTGATGTTGGGTGATCTGTGCCTGGTGCTTCTCTATAGTAAGTTGGACAGGCTTGCATGATTCATAGGGGTTCAGAATATGTTCCACTCTCGGCACGAGAGGTTGGGAGCGTAAAATATCCTTGAAATCCTATCAGGGAAGAAGGATTAAATTTAGTTGCCAGAGATAAGGATCAGCATAAACGTAGGCAGCTAGAGAGATAATGAAGCAGAGTGGTGGAAGGACCGAGTGGTGAAGCAGGAAGTCCCCACCATTAAGCAATCAAGTTCACTCTCTGCCGTGGGGCCAGCATGGAACACAGGAAGTTGCCTTATACCAAGTCAGGCTATTGGTTCATCTAGGTCAGTATTGACTACAGCAAGGGTAAGGGGAACCTCTATCAGCCTGAGGGCCACATTCTCTTCTGGGCAAGCTTCCAAGGGCCACATGCCAATGGTGGGCAGGGTCAGAGGCAAAAGTGGGTGGAGCAATGAATGCAAATTTCACTTTTGTATACTAATTTCTACAGACACTCACATACTCCTCTTTAACTTCCATCCAGGCAGGCACAAGACATTACCAGAGTTCAAGGTCACATCCCAGCCGGGCAAAAACATTCAAGGAGTATGTGAAGCAGGTCAAGTGAGGGCTGTGGCCTGGTCAGAGGGGGTGTGGCCTGTGAAGAGTTTTGAGGGCCAGACAGAGAGGACTTGAGGGCCACAGTTGGCACCTGGGCCTGAGGTCAAATGTGACAGGCTACAGTGATGGGCAGCAGCTTACCAGGATTTCAGGCAGGGGTCCTTCCCACTGCTACCTGGAGAAGCCAGGGATTGAACCTGGCATCTTCTGCACGCAAAGCAGAGGCTCTACCACTAAATTATGTTCCTTCCTCTAAGAGGAAAAGGTTTTTCACTTCAGGGTGAGAATCAGCTTTGCCCTCAGGGAACCTTCCATGAATTTAGGGTTCTTATCCCCTTTCATAATGGGCTTTGTAGAAAGCACTGCTTCTATTTTATCCAAAGCCCACTTCAAAATGATCCCATCTCTCCTCCTGAGTTCTCTGTGTAAGCCAAAGAGCTTGAGGGGTTGAGAGAAATTAATGGCGACCACAAAAATCACAGGTGGCTACTAAGCCAAGCCAAAATATGGGAACTCCTGGTTAGTAAACACCAAGAACTGCCATGTTTTGTTTACAAGAGTAACCATTCCACCAAGTCTCTCCACTTGCAAAGAAATTCCTAAAAGAGAAATCAAACTATTAGGAACCCAGGCAGTGCAGCAATTTCTCCAGCATTCCTGGGTGGGGGCTACAGCCTTCTCCTTGCCCTTCAAGGCGCTACTCTTTTATGTATGAACAATACCCAGCAATTAAAAGTCCAGGCTCATTAATAAAAAATCCAACAACCTTCCATAAAGCGGGGGGGGGGGGAGGTACAGTACATACCAAAGACGTGGGTTGCTGTGCGGTGTGCTGTTTAATATACTTGTAAATGAAGTAATATATTGTTCCAAAGATCAACAATGCCGCAAACAGAGCTACCGCGAACAAATATGCAAACCAGGTGGTATCTGGAGAGAGAAAACAAACCGTTAAAGATAGCAAGACCAGGAGAGTTGAGAGGGCAGGAACAGATGGCATGCATCGTCTAGTCATTCTGGCTCAAGAGTTCATAGGACTGGTCTGAGCTTTTATAAAGCCGAAGTACAGGGAAGCGATGAATGTCCATAGGGACAAAGGAAGCTGCCTTAGTCAGAACATTGGTCCATCTATCTTAGTATTGTCTACACTGGCTGGTAGCGCCTCTCCAGAGCTTCGGACAGGGGTCTTTCACAGCCTTACTAGGAGATGCTGGGGGTGAAACACGAGACCTTCTGCATTCAAAGAAGGTGCTCTACCATTGAGCTATGTGGCCCTTTACTTTTTGAACTAGCAAAATGCCCTTATTGTGGAGAGCAGAAAGAAAGTCTATGAATGGCAAAGATGCCCAGAGGGCCTCTGTACACACTCAAAGAACCTGGAGCACCAGGGGCAGTTTACTGTGGTGTCCACAAGTGTAACACTTTCCCACAGAAATGAAGCATAACTCTTTATTTATATGAGGGCAGGTAACAGGTCTCAACATTTGTGAGATGGAATCTGCTTCCTGCTCCTGGTGTCCCCCGTTTCTTGTGGTGGAACAGGGTTTGTCTCCTGCAGGATTTCAGCCCGGTGTAATTTAGTCACCCTGCTGTGAAGGGTGTCTCTTGTTTAATGCCTCTTGGTTAGCACTTGCGACATCACCAACCCATTCCAAATCCCTCAAGCAGTGTTTCATTGTTTGCAAAATATTTGTGGTTTTCTTGTTGTTAAGATAAGGGCTTAACTCACATTCATGGAAAGGTATATGTACCTGTGTAAAATAAATAAATACACTGAGATGGGGGGGGAGGACAAAGAGCTCCATAGATTCATTTGTGGCAGGCAAGACTGGGGATTGGTACATTCATTTGTGATGCAAGTTGTGCCACAAGGTTCACAATGGGAAAATTGCCTGTGGTGACTGCTTCATCTCTAAGGTTTTCAGTATTTAAGATCTGGCAGCATTTCATAACAATGTCTCACCTGATAATGTTTTTGCCCGAAAAACATAAGGCTTGCTGATTTTGTCTGAATATCTTATGTGTATTGTTCCATTGTATTCGGTGTTGGGATACAAGTCAGAGATTTCAAATTCATTGTTGTTGTTAACTTTGACCCACTAGAGAGAAAGAGAGAGAGAGAGATTTATATTTTAAGTAGGGAAAGTGGTACTTTGTGTTATCTACTTTCAAAGCTCCACTAAGGGCCAAACTGTATGTTATGCTTAATGTGTAGTATATAGTTGTGTCTTCTGTTTTCAATCCCCTGATTTCCACTCCTGGTGGCAGCTGGGGATAAACCTGCCCTCTCCAGACCATCAGGGATCCTTGCACCTCTGATTCACTCAGGAAAAACAGAGGATGTAGCTGCATGCTGTGAAGTGAGCATAACATGAAACTTAGTCCTGACACTTCATAAAACAAGGGTGTTTCCGCATGAATATGTATAACAACACAGAGAGAGCTAAAGACTGAAGCTGAAACTTTTGGTTACCCTCAGTTCCTCATTTCTCCAATCTGAAGTTCAGTTCTCCATGTTTCCACATAAGTTTGAAATTCTTTAAAAAACGCCCTTTGAAAATTCACAAATGTTTCAGTGCAAATTACTCCTAATCCACACATCTTTGTATGCGTTTTGCCTAATCCACACATTTTGGCAAAGCAATTTCCCCTAACATAATGCACATTTGTATGTTATTTTCACCAATATATGTATTTTTATGCACACTTCAGTATGTGCATTTTTTGACAAATCACATGGCGGGAGAACTGCATTGCAACATTCGGAGAAGTGCGAATATTGAAGGGTGGCTGTGTTTTGGTTTGCATATTATTTTGGAAAATGTGAATGAGGTAGGTTTGTCTTTAAATGAGAACTGAATTGAATTTATTTCCCATCCTTAATCTGTATGGAATAACACTCCACTGACCCTCAAGAAGTATGCAGTTAGAAGGTAGCCCATCTAGGAGAAGGAAACTCTGAGCCGAAACTTCTGCTGCCTTGCAGGATATCTTTGGGAGAAGAAAAGGCCAAGGAGGGAACCCTACACAAATCCAGAGTGGAGTCCCTGAGACAGTCGGATGGCGCCTTGTACACCTCCTTCCAGCAACTCCTGCAGACAAGCTAGCGCCAAACATATTGTTCTGCTTTTCTTTGGACCACACTTTGTCATCTGGGCACAATGCTCAGGCTTGTGCCCCAAGGGAGGTCACTTTGGTGTTGCTAACGCAGCAGTTTGACTTCACCCCCAGAAGTGCATTCCATTGTCTCTTGAGACAGACAACAACAGTCAAAGAAATAAGAATTGAGTACTTTCCCCCAAAGTTACCATTTTCTCTCATACACCTGTTTTCCCCCCTTACCTCCTGCTTTGTCTTTTGGCAATGTATCGTTAATTCGTATTCAAAGGTCGTTCCAATTTGACTGAAAATGTCTACGACGGTCAGGATCTGGTTATCCTTGTCTCTCAGAGGGGTAGCAGGAGGTTGTACATAGAACTTTATTGAATTAACACTGGGTGTGTATTTCACATCAGGACTCCCAATAATGGCTTGGAGAGAGAGAGAGAGCAAGAGTGAGAAAACAAAAGGGTTTTGTTTAAGACTGAAGAGTTTAGTGATAGTAGTTTTGAGAACTGGGTAACCGAGGCATTTAAAAAGAATTGGCTCAGTTTCTTCAATACTGACTTCTCATTGTTAGCACCCTTGGCCCTCACATGATGTCTACACCATGTATTTAAAACATTCAGACGTATAAACTTAATTTTATTTGTATGCCACCTTTCCACAGTTCAAACCATGATCAAGGCGGCTTGCAACATGAAAAAATACATAATTACAGCACAACAAAAGCAGCCATAAAGAAAACATCAAAAAATACACAACCAAATTGAAAAAAATACACATAAATCATAGTAAGATCTAAAATAAATCAATAACAGCAACAACACCCCCTAAACAATTCCCCAACCAACCCAAGAGTACCATTTAAACACTCACGGCTTCTCCCCCAGGAATCCTGGGAACTGCAGTTTGTTAAAGGTGTTGGGAACTGGCCCAGTGCCATTAACAAACTACAGTTCTCAGATTCTTTGGGGAAAGTGATGAGTGTCAGAGCAGTGTGAAGAGGACCAAAACACAGGAGTGCAGAACCTTTGGCCCTCCAGTTGTTGCTGAAGTACAACTCCCATCAGCCCCAGCAAGCACGGCCAATGGCCACAGGGGATGAGAACTGTAGTTCAGCAACAACCGCACAACCTGCAATAGCTGCACCTGCTGAATGAGGCAGCTTTCTTAAAGAAACATGAGGCCTGTCTTTGGGAAACATGTTTACCTTACTCCTGCAGCTTTCAACTACTGTATGGAAGGGAGAATTTCAACAAATGCATCTTACCCCATCATAGTGCCATAGTGGCGAGACATCCTACAAACTGTTGACGTTTATTTTCTTGTTTACTTTTTAACAATGTTTCCCACTTTTCCACTAAAGTAGAACTCAAGGCAACTCAAGGAGAGGGTTTGTGGTTTGGAGAGAAGTTTGAGGGACAGGTGCTTTGGTAGACATTTGACGACTGGGCCAGAAGTTCCCCAACCCGGTTTACAATATTAGCCACTTACTGTTTTCCCGGGGATAGAATCTTGAGGACTCAGCCCATTCGGAGACGCAACAGTTAGGGACCGTGGCTCTCACTCTGGCGTAGTAGCACTCGGTGAAGTTTTCCGTTTCAAGCGTGAGATTGCAGGAGCGGCGTGTGATGTTTTGGCACTCGCTTTTGTTCTGCCATGCATCCCCGTACCTATGAACAAAGGTAGCTGAGTCAGGCCAAAAGCCCATTTAGCTCCGTATTATCCAGAGAGCGCCAGTGTGGTGTAGTGGTTAAGAGTGGTAGACTCGTAATCTGGTGAACGGGGTTCGATTCCCCGCTCCTCCACATGCAGCTGCTGGGTGACCTTGGGCTAGTCACACTTCTCTGAAGTCTCTATGCCCCACTCACCTCACAGAGTGTTTGTTGTGGGGGAGGAAGGGAAAGAAGATTGTTAGCCGCTTTGAGACTCCTTAGGGTAGTGATAAAGCGGGATATCAAATCCAAACTCTTCTATTATCCAAGCTGACTGGCAATAGCTCTCCAAGATTTCAGGCTAGTGTTTTTCCCAGCCTCACCTGAAGATGCCACCGGGGATTGAACCTGGGACCTTCTGCATGCAAAGCAGATGCTCTAGCTCTGAGTTACAGCCCTTCCCCCACAACCACTGCTCCCCATCTGCTTTAGGCAATGTGTGGGTGGAGAACAGCAGGCAGTGGCATAGACAGCACACGTCACTGTTAAACCACAGGGAAGGCAATTCAGGTCTGAGATAGACATCAGTGAAAAAGAGACACGTGCCTGGATATGCCACGGAGCAGTGTGTTGCAAGCTGCGACGCTACCAGCCGCTTGGCTGACTGTGCTATTGTTGCCGGGATTCCAGCTTAAGACAAATAAGATGTGAGGGTTTTAGAGCAGTTGGGCCTATTTGGAAGTGAGTTCTCTGCATTCAGCCCTGCATTCACTCCAGGGTTGAGTTCAGGAACCTGTTTGGTTTGGCAAGCAGCAGAACTGAGCACTGCACAGCACCGATTGGCCAGCGCCTTTAACATCACCAAGGCAGCTCCCACCTCCAATCTCTAGGACAATTTTGCTTTTAAAAAGCTTCCTTTTTAAACAATGCTAAGGTGGCATATGACAGATACTTTAGGGGTCAAACAGGCTGCCACCTGGGACACAGTGGATGGAGTTAGTGCAGATCATATCACACAATGTGCGCCACTAAGGTCAGAAGGCAGGTTTCACCCTCAGCCCAATGGTGTCCTTAAGAAGACTCTATTACTTTTTCCTGCATAAGTGGAAAATACTACTACTAATAATAATAATAATAACTTTTATTTATACCCTGCCCTCCCCGGCCAGAGTCGGGCTCAGGGCGGCTAACACCAGTAAAATTGCAGTAAAAACGTAATGGGGGGGGGCCCAATTTAAAATACAGGTTAAAATGCAATGTAAAATGCAGCCTCATTTTAAAAGTAGCCCATAAATCAAAACCATAAAGGGAGGGAAACATAAGGGTCAGACTGAGTCCAAACCAAAGGCCAGGCAGAACAGCTCTGTCTTGCAGGTCCTGCGGAAAGATGTCAAGTCCCACAGGGCCCTAGTCTCTTGTAACAGAGTGTTCCACCAAGTCGGGGCCAGTACTGAAAAGGCCCTGGCCCTAGTTGAGACCAATCTAACCACCTTATGACCTGGGACCTCCAAAATGTTGTCATTTGTGGACCTTAAGGTCCTTTGCAGGGAATACCAGGAGAGGCGGTCCCATAGGTACATGGGTCCTAGGCTGCAGAGGGCTTCAAAGGTCAAAACCAGCACCTTGTACTCCACTGGGAGCCAGTGCAGTTGGTAAAGCACTGGATGAAAAGAGCAGAGGGTGTCATGTTACACTGAATCAGACCTTGGGTCCATCTAGTTCAGTATCGCCTACACTCACTGGCATCAGCTGTCCTGAAATTCAGACCGAGGTCTCTCTAGGCGCAGTCTGGAGATGTCAGGGATTGTACCTGTTTCTGCATGCATTGAGCCACTGCCTTACTTTCAGATGGCTGGTTGCCATCCATTGCTGCCCTGGGCTCCTTTGGGAGGAAGCGTTGGCCATAAACTGAATAAATAATGACAATAATATGAGGAAGAAGAGCATACTTCCCCACCACTCTGGTAGCTGGTGGCCTTTGTCAGTAGGAATCTCATGGATGGGGTGCAATGCAAGAATACAAAAAAGGACACATGGCACCTCTGTGCAGGCCCTCCTTCCAGACAGCCTCCACCCATCATAATAGCCCATCATTTTGTTTGTTTCATCATCGTTGGCGCAGGAGGAGTGGCTCCTCTCATATTCCTCCCTTGAATGAGGCATGCCAAATATGTAGAACGGGGAAGGCTCTCTCTCTTGGGGTGCCAGCTTGTCACCATTTTAGTTATTCGGCTATCAAGTTTCCTTTCTGCCCTTTGCTGCAGAGTCCCAGGCTGGGTTGCAGCAGCACAAAAAACAAAAAAACCCAATGACATTAAAACCGGTTAAAAGTATTTACATCAAAGAAAATGCCAGAAAAGTACAGTGGTACCTCGGGTTACATACGCTTCAGGTTACATACGCTTCAGGTTATACACTCCGCTAACCTAGAAATAGTGCTTCAGGTTAAGAACTTTGCTTCAGGATAAGAACAGAAATTGGGTTCTGGTGGCGCGGTGGCAGCAGGAGGCCCCATTAGCTAAAGTGGTGCTTCAGGTTAAGAACAGTTTGAGGTTAAGTACGGACCTCCGGAACAAATTAAGTACTTAACCCGAGGTACCACTGTATATGGAAAAATAGAAAGGGAAATTGAGTAGGTCCTAAAATATATATGTCAGAGGGCCAGGGTAGAGTGGTTTGTCTTCAGTGCACAGTGAAAACAATGCAGTGATGGCACCAAGTGCATTTATTTACCGTCGCAGCAGGCACAAGGCCTGGGCAAAGGGGTGGGTGCTTCACTAAGGCAGAGGCAGCCAACAGAGTCTTTGGATTACAACTCCCATTATCCTTGGCTATTGGGCATGCTGGCTGCAACATCTGGAGGGCACCATGCTGGCTACGCTGACACTAAGTTGCCATGTAGTATACCTTGCCCGCCATATTTGACCTGATGGTAGGGATGGAGGGATGGAACTCAGTTTCTAATTTTCCCAGTCTTTGATTCAGTTCTCTACATTGCTGCAGCGATTTACAATTTTTCGCCATGAAAAGTTGTCAGGATTTTAGTGCAAATTTCTCCCAACAAACATGTTTGTGTGCGGTTTTGATTAACGGACTCATTTCTGTGAGCAATTCTCCCCAATATAACACACATTTATATGTTATTTTCATAAATATATGTGTTTTTATGCACTCTTTCCCCTAACATAATGCATTTTTGCAAACATTGTTGCAAGATTGGGAGAAATACGGATTTCAGTGGATGGCTGGATGGGTTTTGGTTCTCATACTGTTTTTTGAAAGTGCAAATTGGGCAGTTTCACTTTAAAATGAGAACTGAATCGAATTCCTCCTCCTCCCAACTTTCTAAAAGCCCCTGCGAGCAAAACAAAGCTCCAGTTAAGAGGAGACCAGGTGTCCCTATAGGCCGGAGATGCACTGACTGTAACCTCCTCCCAACTTTCCAAAAGGCTTTGTCAGCAAACAAGGTTTCAGGTGAGGAGTTTTTTAAAAAAGCCACCACCCTACAGTGCAATCCTAATCATGTCTGCTTACAATTAAGTCCTGCTGGGTTCAGTGTTTACTTCTGTGTTATTAGGATTTGGACTGCAGCTTTAGCAAAGCAGGATTAGAGGAATAACCCAACTCCTCCTCCTCCTCCTCCTCCTCCTCCAGACTTTCGGCCAGCAATCTCATGGGTTGACAGAACAGAAAGATGACAAGACTTACTGCAACTGTCTGCTACCAAGTTTGCGAAAGGCTTTGTGGGTAAATACGCTTGTAGGGCAAGTTTTTAAAGAGATGATGTCACTTACTGTGAAAGCCATAAATATGTTTTCATCGTCGCCAATCTCTTCATCAGTCATCCATTCATTATGTCTTGGTGGGTGTTCCCTGAAAGTGTGCGTGTGTATGTGTGTATGTAGCTCTCAAGCTATCTGGTGCCCTTCAAATCAAATCCAGGTATCTCTTTGTCTCCTTGTTTTGCATCTCGAAAGCAGGCAGTGGTGTAATTTATCTGCATATTTTTTCCCCTCCGCTCTTTAGCTTAATTGCTACAATGAATATTCAATTTAGATATTAAGGTTTAATGAGAATTTCATAACCCATCTATGGATTGCAACCAAAGGGTTATGTTTACTGGAAAGATCAAAGGAGGAAAGTGTCTGGGTGCCAAGTTCTCCAGCTTGTGCAACAGAGGAAAATCTAAAGTACGATGCAGTTCAGGGAGACATCAGCTATCTCAGCAATGTGATGGAAGCAAATTGGGTGAAAGCTGTCATCAAGAGGATTTGTTTACACGACACCCCTACCCAGTCATCTGAGTTAGATATGTCTTTGCTCATTTTACAGTTATTGGAAAACATTCAGATTGGGTCTACTTGTGCAACAGCATGAAGTGGACTGTATCATGGGCATGCATGATGAAAAGAGAGCTCTTTTTTTATCTGTTCTGCCAGAATAGGAATAATTCTTGCATATTTTATGCATTATTATAATATGTGTTTTATGCACACATATGTAAACCCCAAGTTTCCTAAAGTTACCAGCACATAAACAGATACATACAACAATGTGTATAAAAGGGTACTTTGCATTAATACTTATACAATTATGTTGCAGAAATGTAGTACAGTGGTACCTTGGTCTGCATACGTTTTGGTTTACAAACACATCAAACCTGGAAGTGCGTGTCCCGGTTTGCAACCTTGTTATTATTATTATTACAACCTGTTGTTTTTGTATTACGAACAAAAAATTTTTTGATGCCTCATTGGCAAAAGCGCACCTTGGGTTACAACCTTGTTTTGGTTTACAAACAGACCTGCAGAATGGATTATGGTTGTAAAGCAAGGTACCACTGTTCGGTATATATATATTGCAGAAATATAGTGTAGAATTAGTTGGGTTTTAACAAACCAACAAAACGGAGAATGCCCAAGTGCTGTATGCAAGAGCACTTGACTGGGGCTGAATCTACACACAGGGGAGGAAACGCTATAAATAAGCCATGAATTCAGTCATTATAACAAAAGAAAAAACTCTATGTAAAATCGCATAGACAAAGTTTTTTGCTCTACAGCAGCATTTATAACACATTTAAAACACTGTTGGTTCTCTAATGTAGCTGAGTCCTTTGTCAGGACCACCAAACACCATGCATAAATCCATGGAAAACAGATTGGTGAATGTGTGTACTTCTGTGTTTCCTTACTCTCACTCATGCTGAGCAAGGGGAAGCAAGCAAGTCTTGCAAGCAGCACCAGTTCCTCCCACAGCTACAGTGGCACTGCAGCTCCTCAAGGCTGCCTATCATTTGCCAGTTGCATTCCAAATGGCAAAACTATTTCTGCACCCTGCCATGTCGGTGTGACCTGAATTCCTTGCACTGGGAGTATTCACATTGTGATACTGGCACAAGGCAACCAGTGTGGTGCAGTGGTTGGAGCGCTGGAGACAGGGGTCCACACCCATACTCAGTTCAGTGGCAGAGTTTTGTGCTCCAGCACTGTGGGGCGGAGAGCAGGTGGGGGCGGGCTGGTGCGCATCCTGGGCGCACACTACCTACAGGGGCATGGTGCTCTGCGTGGGTGGGTGAGGCAGCTGCGATGGCACCCTGCTGGGATTGCGCTGCCAGGGGCAGTGCGCTCCCCCCCCACACTCCTCTTCCTCCGCCAGTGACTCAGTTATCAAGCTCTCTGTGTGAACTTGGGCCAGTTACAGCCTTTCAGCCTAACATGCCTATTTTGCAGATAAAATGGATAGGAGGATCACATTGAGCTCCTTATAAATGTAATAACTGGGACTGTCAGCGCCCATTAGTGAGAACCTAAAGCTATACAACAGCCTCAAAATATGGCCGTATCCAGAGCCGCCTCAACCATTAGGCAGAATAAGTTTATCATATCAGATGGTAGATACTGGGAGTGTTCCATATGGTAGATATTGGGGGTGTTCCCTTCTAAGCCCCGCCCAACTGTTCCCTTCTCTTACAGGACAGAGCTGTGTTTCTCCATATGTACTTGCTGCCATCAAATGTGGCATAGGACACTGTCCTATAGACAGTACTGAAAAGTCCAGTTGGCTTCTGTTTCTAGAATGGGGAGGACACATAATCTTGCCTGTTGCCTCGGGCAGCAAAATGTCTTGGGCTGGACCTGGGGGTCTGTTTCTTCCCTGGACCTGACACAATGCTATTCCCACAGCAAAGTATATTTCTCCCTATCTGAGATATCTGTGGGTTCAAAGAATAACAGTCACACCAAGTAAGGAGAAGGAATAGTCCTCTTACTTCTTATACTGCACATCGTACACCGTGCCTGGAAGTGGCTCCCCCCAGCTCTTCCAAGTGAAGATATTTTCAAAGTTTGTGGACGAAAAGATTGGTTGTTGAATGAGTGGTGATCTCTCTGCTAGCGAATTCCCTACAATGAAGAGAGAGAAAAAGATTATTAGAGGTTAACCGTAGAACGTGCAGTCTCTGTACTTAGGCTGTGTATATCTTACCAACTTAAAAGGCAGCTAGGGTCATTCTTTTTCTCAATTCAGACTGAAGCTGGTTGCACGTGGTGGTGGTAGGGACAACGACACATTGAAACAAGGGGTGGAAGGATCAATCCATTTTGGCTCTCTCAATTTCTCATTTCTCAAAATTTAAATACAGTTCTCTACATTTTTTCAACAACTGGTGGATATATATATATATTTTTGTCAAAAATCCGCATGAAAATTCTCCAGTATATTTGTGAGTAATTCTGCAAATAGATATATTTTTGCATGCAGTTTTGACTAACAATATATTCCTCACAATATAATGCACCTAGTATATTATTTTAACTAATATATTGATTTTTTTTGCAAAGTTTCCCTTAATATATCTTTATAAACCATCTGTGATTGGAAAACTGTATTGCAAAATTCTGATATTTGCGAATTTCCACGAACTACCCTGTTTTAGTTCTCATATTGTTTTAGGAAAATGCAAATTTCATAGAATCAGTTATCAATGTGAACTGAATCAAATTTATCCCCCATCTCTATTTTCCCCCATACAGTATTTCATAAGAAATGACAGGATAGATATGGCTAATGATAACATTTATCATCCACCTTAATGTTTGTGGCTAATGTCATGTGTGCACCACTTTCCAAACCAGCAGTGGGAGCACAGAATGAATGCAGAGTGTGAACCCGATCGAAATTTCCCTCAGTTTGAGAACCCCTGTTTTAGAGAATTTTACTTGCTGCTTTTTGTTGCATTGTTGCTGTATATTGCTCTGGGATTCTGTAGGTGGGAAGGGTGGTGCAGAAATGCAATAAAACTCAGGCCTGTGGGGACTCCATACCTCTTTACCTGGTGCTCTCAGGCCTTGCTTTGCCCCTTCTTTGAGGGTTTTTGCCTCACTGGAAAGTTTCCTTGGAGTAGGTGGAGTATAGGGAGAGATATGTGTGTAGAAACTAGCTTGCTGTACAAAGGTAGCATTTACACTCATTGCTTTGCTCACTTTTGCCTCTAGCCCCGCCCACCATTTGCATGTAGCCCTTCAAAAGGCTGCCTTGGGCTGAAATGGGCTCTCCGGCCCCACAAACAAACAAACAACGGTTTCAGGTGGGGAGCCAGCTATTGCCTTAAACCTGTCAAGCATTCTCAGCTGAGCGGTGTTTTGGCAACAGTGATCAGGAAATACAGACCCACATTGTTTAAAAGGTTTACAATTGTTTTTTAGAATTGTAGAAGTAAAAAATATGCAGCTGGGATTTCCCCTACCTCATTAGCCTCGCCTCATGGCAGCGATGCAAACTGCCGTGTTGGGTGTTGGCTGTAGGCTGTAGGAGTCAATTCCTAGGGGTCTGGGGCCCCCAAAGTTGATGGGCATTGCCATTCTAATGGTGTGCGCGTACTGTGTCTTGTGATCGATTATGTGGGGCAGGACTTACCCCAAATAATTTATTCAAATTGGCATCCCTGGTGTTGGCTCCAGGTTTTGCAGTTCCCATGGGCAAGAGGACCTCTTCAAAGCCCACTCTCTCAACAAGTCCAGCTTCTATTACCGGATTCTCGGTTGTGTGTGTGCTTTAAAAGTGTGTTGTGTACACCGTCAGAGTCTCACAAGCAGCAAATTGCAATAAGGATGAGAATTAGAGTCTAGCCCACATCCCTCCCTATTCAAAGGAAAAACAACTCTTCGCAACTCCCAGCTTGGACACTCCTGCTTTGACTGTGTAGTGAAAAGACCTAAGAAATACTTTGATTTCATTTCAGCTTTCTGTTTTGCTTCCCGTCCGCCACCCCAGATAGGTTGGAGACCACCTGTCTGTTGAGAGGAAGACTTCCCTCTTTGGGACTGAAATCTTAGGCTTAGTACATACCGTACCTTCAAACCCGTATAAAGTTAAGATTAGTAAGATTATTTTATTTTAAAAATTTCCATAATACAATAAAATTAGGAATAGAAAAGAAGAGAAAAGCACAATAGAAATAAAGAAAATGAAAGGAGTGTGAGAGAGAAATAAGATAGGCAGCTCCAGTCAGAGGCAGATAGAGGGGAGTGCGACTTGCTTGGTCGCAGAGCCTGGGGGACGCAGCAGGAGATGCTGCAACTAGGCTGCATAATGGAAGGCAAGAGGTGGGGGGGTGCTGAATTTTGGCGTCACACAAGGCACTGCTGAATTTTGAGACCCCAGGTCTGCCACTGACCCCAGTTGCCATAGATGAACGCTGTTCAACCTGCTTGACAGTTGAAACAAGTGAAGCTATGACGATGCCACTCCAGGGCGTAAGCTCAAAACAAAGGTAATGGGAGCAAGAACCGACCATGGAGATCACGTTTGCCTGCTTGGTAAACTCTCGCTACAGCTTAAAGAGATTCAGAGATCATGAAGAGAGGCTTTAATAAAGAGGAGTCAAAGGTTGGTTACTTACCCACTAGGGAGCACAGGGCCCAGAAGACGAGAAGTTCCTTCATTAATAGCACGGCACAAAGAGTCGTGGTATGGAGCTAGCTGTCCTCAACACTGGCTGAATAAATTTGGGAAGGCTCCAGGCTGGTGATCCTGGACTACCCTGTCTGCCTAGGCTGAAGAGATAATACGGTAACGCTGTCCCCACTGCAGCACATGGAATCGAGCAAGCTTAATCGGAGACGACTTCTCTGCTTAATTGGAGACTTCTTCTCTGCTTAAGTGCCAGAGGCATCAGAGCATCCAGCAGTCTGAAGCCAAGCCAAGCATATTTCCTGATAAGGGACTTCCTGCTGACATTCCTCACGAGAAGTCAGGAACTGGTTTTTCTGGTCTAGTCGCCTTTTTCTTCTTCATTTACTATTACCTCAACGAGCAGAAACAGGGCTCCGCACCTCAGCCTGTGGCTACGGAACTTCTGCAATTCTTGTCGCGCAAGCTGCTGTCACACTGGTGAAAATAAAAAAAAACCCTTTTGAAAAGCCTGCACAAGGGAAGACAGTGTCAGGATGTCCTTTTGAAACAGCCTTTTACTTTGGTTTGACATCTTAGTGTATTTTTGGTCTTTGTGGAAGCCGCCCAGAGTGGCTGGGGAAACCCAGCCAGATGGGCGGGGTACAAATAATAAATTATTATTATTATTATTATTATTATTATTATTATTATTATTAAGAGCACATGACTTCCCAGAGAACTGTAGTTTGCTCCTAGCAGAGCTACAATTCCCAAGGATATTTGAGAGGAAGTCATGCACTTTATATGTGCATTGGATATTATTTAAAAGGTGGGGCGTGTCTCTAGACTTTGTTCCCTCCAGATATTGTTGGGCTACAATGGGGTGGAGAAGTGAATGCAGGCAGCAGGCTGAATCTTGGTCTCTCCAATGACCATGGGCCATATTGGCAGGTGGGTGGGGCCACCCCCTGTCAATTAACTGATGCCACCGTATCAGGTGAAGCATTTTCCTTTGCCTTTATGGTTTGAATTCAAACTGTGCAGGCAAAGGAAGAGAGCTTTGTTTATCAGCAGTGCCTGCAAACCCTTCTTTGGGCAGGGAGCAGTGGCTGTACCTGCCTTGCACCTGATGATATCAGGTGTAGGGCAGGTGGGCATGGCTTTGGGAAAACAGCCTCATATTAGGTCTGTGGGTCAGAGGTTCCTCACCATTGGGATACAACCCCCAGCATCCCTGATCATGGATGCTGAGGCTGGTTGAGGCTGGTGGGAGTCTAGCAACATCTGTAGGGCCACGGGTTCCCCATCCCAGTTCTGGAGGGTGCCTTGTCTTCCGCATGGCAAAGAGGAGCAAATGGAAAAGGGCTCAGTTTTGTTTGGATGCCAAAAAGGTTGTTAAGTGGTTTGCAGGGAGAGGGGAGGTTGCTCAGAGGGACAGAACTGACATTGTGGGATTTTAGATGGGCTTGCAGTGATGGATGTGCGAGTGAGAATGTTTTATGGCAAATGGGATTTCAAGGAAGGGCCATAGCCCAGTGGTAGAGCAACTGCTTTGCACAGTGAAGGTCCCAGATTCAGCTGGCCCTAGCCTTCTCCACTATTTCTGTTTATAGTAATTGTTTTTGATTTGCATCTATGCATATAAATTAGCATGTACAGGTTTCGTGCAAATCTGTTTTCCTCTTTTGCCTTTGTTTCATTGGTGCATTTTCTTGTTTTTGGTGATGCATAGGTAGTCAACTTATGCCCCCAAACAGACCCTGCACCAGGGGTAGAGAACCTTCGGTCTGCAGGTCTTATCTGGCCCACCAAACTTCCAGATCCGGCCATTTTATCCACACCACGCCCACTTGCCCTACAACTGATGTCATATCTGACTTCTGGTGTGATGCAGGTAAAGACCTGGTTCAGCCAAAAGGGGATTGCAGGGATCAGCTGATTGGTGGTGCCAGCAAAGACCTGAGTAAAGCTCTCCAGAAGACCCCACTAAGAGCTGATTGTCAGGTCATGTGGAGTGCTTTCCAACAGGCTTCACAAGACTGGAGAGTCAGCTGACAAAACCCCTTCCAAAAGCCCTTGCACAGAGCTCTGCAAGACCCGAGAATCAGCTAGCACTGGGGTTGATGGGAATTGTAGTTCCAAACATATAGAGGTTACTAGGTTGTTGAAGGCAACCTACTCACAGACATTACAGTGGTGAGTAACCTGCTTGTCTACGTGTGATATATAGAGTTTATCACTCATTTGTACTTCCTAGAGCAAAGAGCTGCCACATCCACCTCCTTGACAAATGAAGCTACCCAACAGGTCTGTTAGTTAATATATACAGCTGCTCATCATCAACGGCTTCTTTTTGGTCATAAGAAGGCAGCCACTGTGTCAACAGCTGCCTGTCTCTGTTAAAAGATGTACCTGCCCTTCAAATCACTTGGAAGAATTTTTCCAGCACTAAGAAAATTTCAGAGGGCACAGTCAGTTCACAGACCCTTTCCGCTTTCGGATTCTACACCGTGAGAATGTGGTGGAAATTCATTTTACCACTTTTGCTTTGTCTGAACACTATCATTATGCGTCATGTGGGCTCATTTCCCCTTTCTCGCACTTTGCCCTGGCAAACAGCTAACTTTTTTCTAAGGTCCAGAGAATAAGGAACTATGGCAGCCACAGAACTGGATAGCAATTCTCCTTTTCTGTCTGGAGGACCCTAATATTGATTTCAGATGGGAATATGGAGAAAGTGGTGTAGCCAAATGTCACAAAATGGCTGCCTGGCCAGTGGGGAGGGAGAGGACATGGCCCAGCACTGAAGAGCTAAAGCGAGAAATGTCTTTGTTTTCTCCATCCCTGGCCTAGACAGACTTGTAGAAAAGCAGTCATCAAGTTTTTGTTGCACACGTAAGAGCATAACAAGACCCTTACGTACTTCTGGATCAATGGCCCTACTCGTCCACCACCCTGTTCACACGGTGGCCTAGCACAGACATTTTTGCAAAGCAATGTTCCCTGATCTAATACATATTTGCATGTTAATGAATATATGCATTTTATACACTAATTACCTATTACAACTTGTGCAACCGGAAAATATAGGGAAGCTCCAATACGCAAATCAGATTCCTTTTCTCACAGGGATGCATCTTAAGTTCTCTTGCAATGCTGATTCAATACCAGTCTCCACTGTTAGGTTGCGGCAGATTACATTTGTCTGAAACAGTGGTTCCCAAAGTGGACGTTACTGCCCCCTGGGGGATGGTGGGATTACCAAGGGGGCACTAAGAGGCAAGAGGGTGGCAGGGGGTGCTGGAGGGGGAACCAGGCTCTGAAAAGCATGCACCAGAGGGTCAGGTTGATCAGTTTTGTTGAATCAGTTGAACTAAATGGTTTTAACTGGGTTTTGAATAAATGTGCAATTAATTGTTACTGTTCTGGATCTTATTGTGTTCTTTATCTTCCTTTATCTTTATCTTCAAGTAGATAAATAGGTACCGCTTTATAGCGGGAAGGTAAACGGCATTTCCATGTGCTGTGCTGGTGCTGGCTCGCCAGAGCAGCTTCGTCACGCTGGCCACGTGTCCCGGAAGTGTCTCTGGACAGCGCTGGCCCCCGGCCTCTTAAGTGAGATGGGCGCACAACCCTAGAGTCGGACACGACTGGCCCGTACGGGCAGGGGTACCTTTACCTTTATCTTCCTTAGGGGGTTGTGCAAACTGCTATTCTGAATGTTCTTTAGAGGGGCACAGAGGATGAGTTTATGGAACCAGAGGCGAGGGTGTAGCCTGAAAAAGTTTGGGAACCACTGTCCTAAAAGTTCTACCTCAGGGGTGAGGAAGGTTTGGCTCTCCAGAGGCTGTTGTTGGACTCCAGACCCCATCAGCCCCAGCCGCTGTGGCCAGTGGTTGTCAGTATTTTCATCCCTCCCATTGCAAGGATCACCAGATCATGTTTTTCCCCGTTCTGTCTGAGAGAAAGGAGGGGGCAGAAGCTACTGTTCCAGAATTCCGTCCCTAGTACTGTGTGCTTTTTCTTTGATCTGTCTAGAGACAAGATGGCAGTACGAGAGAGCTGTTTCTCTTGTACATGTTTCTTACATTCTTTTATTTGTTTAATTAGAAGAAATAAATCAGGTATGCAATGAAACCTCCACAGCTTTGCTTCCGTTACTCTGCTGCATTTGAGGTGTTCACATGAGCAAATGTGAGTCCGCTGCACCAGGACCTATTCCTTGGGAATGCTGTGTTGCTGTTCCTACGTTCCTGTGATCGGAAGGTCAGAGAAGGTGCTCCCGACACCCAGCCCATGCAGGCGCTGAAGACGTGGGCTGAACATGGATGTACGGAAAGTGGTCAGGGACAAAGGGAGTTGTAGCCCAGCAGCCTCTGGTAAGCCACAGGCTCCTCACCCCTTCTCCATATATGTAACAGATAGACCTTTCCTCAGTCACATGCAGGGCAGACCCAGCCTGTTAGGCCCACTTGTCGTCCTGTGTGAATTGGGGGTGGGCCCTAGTACACTCTTCTTTGGGTGCAGTGGGAAGCCATTGCTTGTAGCGATGGGGAAAGCTGTGCATTTGGAAAAGCATTATGGATCTTCTCATCGAGGAAACCTTGAAAAGCTCCCAGTGACCCCCAGGCCACATTCACACCATACATTTAAAGCACCATCATACCACTTTAACAGCCATGGCTTCCCTCAAAGAATCCTGGGAACTGTAGTTTGGTAAGGGTGCCGAGAGTGGAGTTAGCCTGGGATTTCCCTGCCCTGCTCCTGGGTCCTGTTCAGTAAAAAATATTGCCTGCTGGCACTCCTGGCAGCTTTATCACCACCACTGTCAGGCCTATGAAAAATATATTGGCACCAGCAGCAGAAAAGGTGAGCCGGGGCGAGTTTCATTCTGTATGAAGACTGTCACATACACACCCTGAGCCTCTCCTCCATTTCAAGCTGAAAGTTCTTAACAAAATGTTTGGCTCAGCCCTATTTCAAAGTGAACTTGGTTGTTCTCGTCACTCCTGTGTTCCACAGAAACATGTTCGAGCATCTCCCCTTTTCACCGATTGAAAAACACACACAAAGTTTTAAATAAAATATTTTTCCCCTGTAAAAGTTTATTTGTAGCCTATTTATGGCTATAAAAACATACATTATTTAGCAATGCAAATAACAATACAATTCAACATTATACACATAAAGTGACACACTTCCCATTTTATTGATAGGGTTGCCAGTTATTATTATTTATTGAATATGGCCCTATACCTGGAAGTCTCAGCTTCCAACCTGGTGATTCCTCAACCGTATTTTTCATTCTAAGGAGAAATACCACCTGTCAATATGCAGGGAAAGGAACCACTTCTCCTGCCAAAAGAAATCAAGCGAGAAGAGCGTGCAAGGTTACACTTCAAATGTGTGCGTGTGTCAGACTCTGTCACAGTAAAACTTCCTTTAGAAAATACTGTTTGAATTACCCAAAGTGTTACCAAGGGTGGGTGTGCATGGTGGTTTCAAGCGCACTTGGCTTGGCAATAAAAAGGAAGGTGGGAAGCAGCTTTGGGCGAGGTAGATTTGTTTTCTCTGGAGGAATCATAGAATCATTGCAAAGAACTAGCCAATGTCCTTGAACATAATATTCATGTCTCGAAATGTGGGAGGCACAACACAGTAATGGAAGCATCTCCGGTTAACAGATCTTAATCTGGGGCTCAAGGAGAGCGGTGACGCTCGTTTTTCCTAGCCCTTATCTGAGCATGTGAACCCCAACACTGTATAAACATGTCAAAACAACTGCACATCAGAAGCAAAAAGGCTGTAACAACAAGGCGCGAGGAAGGGAAGGAACAGGGAAGGGAGCAGAAGGCTGTATTGCTTTTATTATAATACTGTGAAAACCCAAATAAAACTTTCTATCTATCCAAAGAGGGATTAACACCAGGAAGACTCCAGATGCCCATTTGAGGGCTGCTATCTTGACCTCCATTTGCCAACCTCCTCTCTCCCTCCACCTCCTTTTAAAGAGCTGGGGCTGGAGAGAGAAAGACACAAGGGAAAAGAACTTTCCCTCCAGGTACCTGCCACACATTATCCTCATCCCAATAGCTAACCTGCTTCAGGTCATGTGGAAGAGGACAGGAGACGAGGTTGTCAGAAAGAACCATGGCTGGATTTGTTGGTTTGGACCGTTGTACCTTCAGAGCAAAGCTTCGTGGCAAAGCTATCTGCCAGCCTCAACGCAAGGTTCACAAGATTCAGCAGCCTGTAGGGCTGGCTGTCACCACCAGAGGGCGACAGTGCATGGTAAACTCTGCGCAAGAGTCTTTGCCAACCTGTTGCCTTGCAAATGTTTTGGTTCACAACTGTCAGTGGCCCCGCCAACACAACCCTGGCTGGGGCTGATGGGAATTGTAGCCTAAATGGGAACTGTCCAAAATATCTGGGGCACCAGATTGATAAATATATGAGGTATGTACACACATCTAACAATATATTAACAATATAAATTAACAAATGCATTTAGAACACTTACAACAGCTTGGGACTTCAGAAGGCCTCTTTTGCTCAGCAGAGAGGATTTTTTTTTTGTCCCAACAACGGAATTTAGACGTAGATCTGTTTATTGAATTGACAGTTCCACCCTGTGCCCATGACATACAGTGGTGCCCCGCAAGACGAATGCCTCGCAAGACGGAAAACCCGCTAGACGAAAGGGTTTTCCGTTTTTGAGTTGCTTCGCAGGACGAATTTCCCTATGGGCTTGCTTCGCAAGACGAAAATGTCTTGCGAGTCTTGAGATTTTTTTTTCACTTTCCCCCCCTTTATCTAAGCCGCTAAGCCTTTAATAGCCTTTTAGCAGCTAAGCCGATAAACCGATAAGCCTTTAATAGCCGCTAAACCGCTAACAGCGCTAATCCGTTAAGCCGCTGATAGGGTTGCTTCGCAAGACAAAAAAACCGCTAGACGAAGACACTCGCAGAACGGATTAATTTCGTCTTGCGAGGCACCACTGTACTTCCAAGTGAGCATATATAGGATTGCACCGTAAATTAACACATTTATTCTCCTGGCTTTCTTTGTGACTGCTGAGCTGGCCCCTGGAATCAATGTAGAAGCTTTTGCTACAGCATGGGGCTAAAACTCTTAAGCAGGAGGCACCTTTCTCTTCCCACACCTTGTTCATTATGGGATGGGGGTGAGGATTAAAGAAAACAACATGAGCTTGGACTGAATTGGATTCTGTATAATGGTTAACTTCCCTATTGTAGAATTCAGATCTTTCAGTGCAAAGTTCACCACCCTGGTACTGGTGAAACGGCTGTGATCCTAAGATTCTATGACTAGGGAAATCCATTTCAGGGCATCCAAATCAGGTTCTTGCAATATAATGCGTGTGCCTTGGCCGATACCCATGGAATTTGGGTTCTGGAGTACAGCCTGATTCCAAGTCTCTGTTTTCTCCAAGCAGCCCAGGTTCTAAGGCTCCCATGCAAGGCACGTCCAGAAGAGGTATTTCATCCACGAGACTTCCACAACCACTGGAGTCCTTTTCAGAACCTCTTTCGTCTACAAACTGCTCCTCAAAATGGAACCCACAGGAGTCCTGGTTGCCTAGCATCCCAAAGAGAGGTATCTTCAAGTCCTCCAGGCTGGCACAGTTTTCTTCCGGATGACCTCTCACAGGTGCGAATTGCTTCCCAGTGGAAAGGTTAATGCCAGAACCTTCTATCAATACTGACGAGAAGTCTATATCTTCATCCCATCCTTTTCCTCCAGCAGTTGGAAAGCCAACTGGAAACCCAAGGGATTCCTCCACAGAGGAACTCTCAGAACTTGAGGTCCCCTCATTCTCTTGGAACCCAGAAGAAGACTCCCCTGTCACCCACTCTGTTGAAGCAGGGACCCCAAGCACAGTTAAATCTGGCAAACCTGACTGAGAACTTCCATAGCCGGAAGATGGCAGAGGTGCTTCCAGGCACATGTTGGCCATTTGGCAGTTCAAGCTTTTCTTCTGGAATCGAAGCACTTCCGTGTAGGGTATGGGGCTTCCGCTATCGTCATCGTCATCTTCCTCATCTTCCTCACTTTCTTCTGACGGCACAGAAGGACTCAGTGCTGAGTGTTTCTGGGAGCCAGTCCTGTTCCTCCTTCCTGATTCCACAAGTGCTGCTGTACACGTGATGGGATCCAACTTGATTGCTTCCCTTTCACCAATCAACAGCAACTTTGTTGGGCCTTTGGAAAAATCCTAATTAGGGAGACAGAATGTGGTTGACCATTTTAGAGGCATATGGCTAGATATTTTTAATTCTGGCTATAACATTTACCTAAAGGTACCCCTGCCCGTACGGGCCAGTCGTGACCGACTCTAGGGTTGTGCGCTCATCTCGCTCAAGAGGCCGGGAGCCGGCGCCGTCCGAAGACACTTCCGGGTCACATGGCCAGCGTGACGAAGCTGCAACTGGCGAGCCAGCACACGGAAATGCCGTTTACCTTCCCGCTATAAAGCGGTACCTATTTATCTACTTGCACCTAGGGGTGCTTTTGAACTGCTAGGTGGGCAGGAGCTGGGACCGAACGACGGGAGCTCACCCCGCCGCGGGGATTCGAACCACCGACCTTACGATCAGCAAGTCCTAGGCACTGAGGTTTTACCCACAGCGCCACCCGCATCCCAGTACTTATACCTTCCTTGACTGCAAAAACAAAAAACCCCTTTAAGCAGTTAACAGGAAGTATTTAAATTATCAGTAAAAACAGTTAAACAGAATTAAAAACCTTTTTAAAAATAATTAAAATGAACAGCAAAATAGATTAAAATATGTCAACATTTCATCTTGAAGTCACCATGACATATGACTTTAAACTAGGACTGATTATGCGACTGGTCAATAGCTAAGGAGATTTTCGGGATGGGGGAGAAATTAGCTTGCAAACCTACCTGGTTTGCACTTCCTAAATATATTTTAAATTCACACGTCTCTGCATTTTGAAATGCCATTCTCCGACCAAAAAAAGTAATGTGTTAGGGGGGAGTGTGAGTAAAATTGCAAATATTAGCGAAAGTAACATACAAAACTTCTTTATACAATATGGAAAATTGCTGTCAAAAATGTGTGTGTTAGGCAGCGTTGCATTGAAAAAGACATACGATAGTAGAAATGCACACTAAAATGCAGAAGAATTTTCATAACGCCTTTTCCCCCATAACACCTCATATATATATATGAGGGGTGTGTGTGTGTGTGTGTGTGTGTATGTATGTATATATATAGATAGATAGATAGATAGTATATATATATATATATATATATATATATATATATATATATATAGTATATATATAGATATTAATGATATCTTGATTTACAAAAGTATGTGCAATATCCGCTTTTTCAAGTTGCGTTTTCTACAGATCAGTTTCATTTGTTGTGAGACATTAGTGTTGCATTAGGAAGAAAAGGGGGAAAGAGGTGGAGGGGGGAGAGGTGAGTGGGGTGGGGTGGGGTGGGTGGGGTGGCAATGCTTCTGTTCTACTTAGTGTATGTGTGGGGTCATAACGCCTTTTTTAAAAAAAATGCAAAATGATGTAGAAATGTGGTGAGCTGAACTTAAGGTTGGAAAAACGAGAAATGGAGAGAAAGTAAAATTGACAGATTCACCCATCCCTAAGAAATGGTGCGATCAAGTGCAAAGCAGAAATGAGTGCTTGCAAATATTTAAAATGTAGCAAAATTGCCAGCTCTACTATCCTTGCATTCCTTCCTGTCTACCAGGAGCTGTAGGTAGTAGCAACACTGTGTCACATAGAGCAAAAGTGTGTCTGGCTTAGTACAGTGGTACCTTGGTTCTCAAACTTAATCCATTCCAAAAGTCAGTTCCAAAACCAAAGCATTCCAAAACCAAGGCTCGCTTTCCCATAGAAAGTAATGCAAAATGGATCAATCTGTTCCAGACTTTTAAAAACAACCCCTAAAACAGCAATTCAACATGAATTTTACTATCTAACGAGAACATTGATCCATAAAATGAAAGCAATAAACAACGTACTGCAGCCACACAATCAATCAATCAGTATCTGAACTGGGTTCCACACAGTCGCAAAAACAAACAAAAAAGCCGCAAAAACAAACAAAAAAGCCGCAAAAACAAAAGCGCAAAATAAATAGGAAAAACAGACATACCTCAGCATAACACTCAAAACGGAAGTGTGGCACTCAAATCGGAAGTGCAACTCTCAAAACGGAGCACGTTAGGCTTCCGGAAAAAGTTTGCAAACCAGAACACTTAATTCTGGGTTTGCAGCGTTTGGGTTCCAAGTTGTTCGAGTACCAAGGTGTTTGAGAACCAAGGTACCACTGTATAAAGCAGCACTATCTGTTCCATACAAAAGGTGTTTCAGTCTTTGGTTCAGTCAGGTTCACGTCTCTGGCAAGAGGAAAGAACCTTGCCATTTGACAAAAACCACAGAACAGGGAAGTAATCTACCTTCCTCCTCCTCCTCCTCCCATTCTTCAACATCTACACAAAACCCCCGACTGAGGTCATCCAGGATTTTGGAGCAAGATGTGAGCAAAATGTGGGTGGCACACAGCTTTGCTTCTTTTGACATCTGCAAGTGTGGCAGCAGATGTGCAAGATTGGTATGTTGTCTTGGTAAATGTCTGGATGAGATCCAATCAACTTAATCCTGACAAGGCCAAGGCACTGTTGGGGGGGGGACTAGATCAAATGGATGGTATGCAGCCTGCTTTGAGTGGAGTTATGTAGCTTGGGGGTACTAATGGATCCATTACGGTTGCTTGAGGCTCAATTGGCCTTGGTGACATGGAGCACCTTTTATCAGCTTCAACTGGTGGCCCAGTTGCACCCCTATCTGGACAGGGGCAGCCTAGCTTCTGTCGTCTTCAATCTGGTAATATCTAGGTTGGGTTATTTTAATGTGTTATTTGTAGGGCTGCCTCCACAGTCAGGGACGCGGGTGGCGCTGTGGGTTAAACCACAGAGCCTAGGACTTGCCGATCAGAAGGTCGACGGTTCAAATCCCCGCCACGGGGTGAGCTCCCGTTGCTCGGTCCCTGCTCCTGCCAACCTAGCAGTTCGAAAGCACGTCAAAGTGCAAGTAGATAAATAGTTACCGCTCCGGCTGGAAGGTAAATGGCATTTCTGTGCACTGCTCTAGCTTGCCAGAAGCGGCTTAGTCATGCTGGCCACATGACCCGGAAGCTGTACGCCGGCTCCCTCGGCCAATAAAGCGAGATGAGCGCCGCAACCCCAGAATCGGTCACGACTGGACCTAATGGTCAGGGGTCCCTTTACCTTTACCTCCACAGTTAGGAAACTGCAGCTGGTACAGAATTCAGAGTCCAGATAGTGAACCAATTCTGGTATGTCTGCAGTCACTACCAGTTAAGTCTCCAAGCTCAATTCAAAGTGCTAGATTTGACCTATAAAGCCTTATGTCACTCAAGACCCCAATATCTCAAGGACTGCCCTCTCCCCACATGAACCAATCCAGAACCTGACAGTCATCATCAATGGTCAGTCCAGAGGGTGGCAGTACAAGAATGGGCCTTTTCCATGTTGGTTCCCCACTTCTGGAATGCCCTCCCCACGCTTGGCACCACCTTCATCCATTTTTAAATGCCAGGCAAAAACTTCCCTTTTCCCTGTGGCTTTTGGCTCTTAATTTGAAGGGCTTCAGGTATTTGTGCCCTTTTAGTGGAATACTTGTTTTTTATTTGTATAGCTGTGTTTTTAGATTTTTATCAGCAGTTTGTTATACTTGAGTTTAGTGTTTTGTTTTTTGTAAGTTGCTTTGGATCACTTTTGTGGGGAAAGTGATAAATAAATAAATAAATAAATAAATAACCCATACCAAAGCTTGAGGCATCTTGATTGGATTATTCATCTTTTTGTAGCAGCAGAAGACAATAAAGGCACCAGCAGGGAGCATGAGTAGCAATGGAACAGCAACAAAGACCCAGTTTTCTGCTGCAGAAGAAAGCAAACAAACGAAGCAGTTAATACTGTATTTGGGGTAAGTTCTTCCCCTTTCTCCACTTCAGTCTGTTTTATTGTTCCGTTCTTCCTGGTCTCTTAATTAAAAGTGGTGTTTTTTGTTTTTTGTTTATCACAGACAGAATGAAATTTTCACTGAACCAGGGAACCAGGCAGAGGGCCTTCTCGGTAGTGGCGCCTGCCCTGCAGAACGCCCTCCCAGCAGATGTCAAGGCAATAAACAACTATTTTACTTTTAAAAGACAACTGAAGGCGGCCCTGTTTAGGGAAGTTTTTAATGTCTGATGCTGTATTGTTTTTAATATTCAGTTGGAAGCCACCCAGAGTGGCTGGGGAAACCCAGCCAGATGGGTGGGGTATAAATAATAAATTATTATTATTAATAAAACAAAGCTTCCTTGGCACACAATGTCTCTGGATATATTCCAGGAATGTGGGGCTACCCAATATGAGGCCACAGGGATCTGTTCCCATCTACATAAAGAGGCAAAGCTATCTATTTTAGCAGTGTGATCACAATGCAGCTTCAAACATCCATTTGAACCCATCTAAACTGCATGTGCACAAGCCTGCCCTGCACATGCTGGATCAGGGCAAGTAGACAAAATGGACAGTAAAGTCTTTGCACAGGCACCCCCGTTTCCTCCTTCCCTGTACCTTTTTCATGCAAGAGAGTGCAAACTGGTTTCGAGTAGTTGCTCCGTTTTCCACTCATGACGGCACGGGCACGGAAGCAGTATCTGCCACTGCTCCAGTGTGTTGTGTCGAAGCCCAGAACATTCTTCTTCATCTCAGTGTAGTTCCTCTGGCAGATAAGAAAAGCAAAGGGGGTTGAAATCGACAGGGTCAGGGACCGTGCTGAGGAGGGCTCCACTGAGGAGGAATGGTGGGAGCCTTTTCCTCCCCCTGCTCCTGATCAGGATCCTGAATCTTCTCAGGAGCAGGATGACAGCATAGATTTGAAACAGTAGTTTGCAGAGGGGCATAGTTCAGAATGCAGAAGCTGGGAAATACAGTGGTACCTCGGGTTAAGTACTTAATTCGTTCCGGAGGTCTGTTCTTAACCTGAAGCACCACTTTAGCTAATGGGGCCTCCCACTGCTGCTGCGCCACCGGAACCCAATTTGTGTTCTTATCCTGAAGCAAAGTTCTTAAACTGAAGCACTATTTCTGGGTTAGCGGAGTGTGTAACCTGAAGTGTATGTAACCTGAGGTACCACTGTACTGGATGGGGAACAGCTAGGAGGAGGAGAACTGGGAGGGAGAGAGTTAACAGACTCACTGTCGCTTGCTCAGTCCAAGGTCAAGAAGAGCAGATAAGAAAGCAGATAAGAAAGTGGTTGCAAGCTCAGGTTGCAAGACGCGGTGGTGATGTGGGTGACTAGAGAGGAAGTGGGTAGAAGCCATAATTGGGAGCACCTTCATTCCGATGAATGTATTCTTTGTTCTCTCACTGTGATCATTAAAGTTTCTAACTGGTAAGAGACTCCTTTCTCTTTGTTCTGCTTATCTTTTGCCAAAAGAGGGAAGGTGTCATGGTCCGGGTTACAGGCAGTCGGAGTCCCGGCTTGGTACGCTGGGTGGAGGTCGGGAAGCAGGAATCAGCAGTCCAGGGGTCCATGAATCAGGAAACCAAGAGTCAGGAAGCCAAGAGTTTCAGGGTAAGGAAACCAGGAGTCAGGAGGCCGAAGCACAGCTAGATGGGTAGCGTGTTGCTGTGGCAAAGAGCCAGAGGGAAATGCTGGTCTTCTAGACCCCTCCCGGCCCTTGCCACCAGGTGCTACGAGTCTTCTGTCAAGCCTAACCTGTGCGGCTGCACCTTGCCCTTCCAGGCCAAACTCAGTCCTGCGAGGCCCTACCAGTCACAGGGCCCGGCTCCTGCACACACTCCTAACAGAAGGAAGCCGATTCCCTGAACAAACTAGGGTTGGAGAGGGGGGATGCTCAATTTTTATTTTACATTTTAGAAACTTGCATTTCATTGGGAAACGGGGGACAAATTCACACTTTTTTATACATATAAAACACAAACTGGAACACAGCGAGTGTTTGAAAATTTGTGCTTTCCAAATTTCACCATGCACTTCTCCAGCCAAATAATGTGTACAAAAATGCATACATTATTGAAGTTGAAAATAACAGACAAAAATGCATTATAGGAGGGGAAATGGGGTTGCAAAAATGTGTAAAATAGTCAAAGCGGCATGCAAAATGTGGTTAACAGGAGAAACATGCACTAAAATGCTGACAAATTCTCACAAGAATTTAAAAACAATGGAGGGGATAAATTGCTTCAGAAATGCAGAGAACTGAACTTAAGGTTGGAAAAAATGAGAAACTGAGTGGACTTGCCCCTTCCTTGTCCACCAAGAGGCATTAGCATGGTTCTAGAACGATTTCAAGCCAGGCAAAAAACAGCTGGGGTGCAAGGCAGGGCTAGTGAGGGGGTGTGGCCTGGGGAGAGTACCAAGGGCCAGACAGAGAGGCTTGGAGGGCCACATTCAGCCCCGAGGCCTGAGGATCCCCGCCCCTGGTTTAAAGTATACACCAGCTGCACTTTGAAGAGGTCCACTGCACCACACACAAGAGGCTTTTCAATGGAAGGAAGGGTGGGATACAAGTTTAATAAGCACTCCCTAAGCAAGCCCTGAAATGAGGAAGGATTGTTAAATGTAAATGACAATGACTTTCAAGAAGGATGTCTGCAGATGATTTTGAAGTTGCATATCCACCGCCTACTTACTGGTTTCCCTGCTCCATCGATGCCATACTCCAAGTCATAGGTCAGGTCTTGAAATGTGGCCTCTACACAGGATGGGTGGGAGAAAGCAACGCTCACATCAAGAGCATTTTCAGTCTTTTTCAGTTGCAGAATTGGGGGAGCAAGTTCCACTGGAAACGATTGGACAGATGTTAGGGCAATATTGAGAGAGACAGAGAGGAGTAAATACTCCCACCCCCAAATGCTTGGTTGTTGCCAGTGTCTTCTACATCTCACTGATGGAATAATACACATCATTCTGCTTTATCTGTCGTTCTGCAATGCTTTCTGAATGATACCACGTTACTACTGTCCGGTACAGCACTCTTGAGCTATAGAGCAACAAAACTGGGACATCTGTGGTATAAAAAGTTACAGGATTTCAGCAGGAAGCTGCAGGGCATGTGCTGACTGGAAACGAAGGCAATATGGTTGCTCTGAAACTTTTGCAGGTACAAGTAGTATTTGGAAGAGAGAATGCATATAGACACCTCAATGCCACCCTGAGCACAAATCATCATGAGTGCACAATTTTAATAATATGTCTGGAAGTGTCCTGAAATTCCTGCTCATTTATGGGCCTGTCAGGTGAGCTACCTGGGCCTTTCTAAACCACAGCATTTGCTCAATCTCAACTTCCCCAACCTGGTGCCCTCCAGTTATTTTGGACACAGTTCCGTGTCTTTCTGCTTCACTGCCAATGAGTGCTAGGTTGGGGAAGGTTAATCCCATCAGGTATGTTATGTACTGAGTTTAACAGGATCCAAAAGGCAGCAGTCTGATTGGTCCTAGAACAATAGGATTCAGAATGCAGCAGTCTGATTGGTCCTAGAACAATGCAGCAGTATGATTGGTCCGCAGGAGCCACCCAATCCAGCTCCAGGTGGAAGTGAATCCACAACCTGATTGGCCCACGGGAGAATCCCGGAATTAGCAAATCACGTGTGGCCCATTGTGTAAATAATGTATATAAAGCAGATATTTTGGGGGAACTTTCATTCCTCACTACGAGCTGAATAAAGAGCATGAAATCCACACTCGACTCTGAGTATATTTCAAGGTATTAGTGTTTTATCCCTATCTGCCAGGCTGTCTGGAGAGAAAGGAACTCTGGCCTTATAAGAAGTTCCCCTCCTCTCTTTCACTTATTAGGTCTTCTGGGACAGAATTGTGAGCAGAACCTTCCATTTCACAAAATAACAATTGGCAGCATTAGTACAACCGCCCTCTGCACCTTGATCTCAGGGTCCTACCAGCCATACCTTGAACAGTGTAGTCAATATTATTCAGTTCCACCCATTTGGAAGAGGCCATCCCAGAGTTATTCTTCATCTGAGCTTTCACATGGACTGAGTATCTGTTGTCCAGTTCTGGAGACATGCAAGTTATGTTGCAGACTGTTTCAGAGATGTCCCTACAGGGTAAAAAGTCGTCCCATTGAAGTCCGTAAGGCTCCCTGCAGGAAGAAGCCACAGCGGTGGCGGGTTAGTATTCAGATTCACATGAGGATGTGACGATTTCAATTCTGAAGAACAGTCAGCAGCCAATTGTCGCCAGGGGTGGAGATTAGATGGGGCTTTGCCAATACTCAGTCCCTAAAGGATCGTCTTTGTTTTTAAATGACAAGCTCAACAAAATATCTGAGAAAGTGTACCATTCTTTATAGACATATGATTTAGAAGAGCTGTCACAAAACAAAATAACCTTGCCTGCATAGCAATTTTTTTACAGAATATAAATATGGTGTATATGCAATATAAACATACATATACATACACATATAGGCCACATTCACACTATATATTTAAAGGACTATGTTGTCATTTTAAACAGCCATGGCTGCCCCCAAAGAATTCTGGGAAGTGCAGTTTGTGAAGGTGCTGAGAGTTGTTAGGAGACCTCTGTTTCCCCTCACAGAATTACAGTTCCCAGAGTTCCCTGTGAAGAGGGATTGATTGTACCGAGAACTGTCGCTCTGTGAGGGGAATAGGGGCCCCCTAACCACTCTCAACACTCTTAACAAACTACAGCCCCCATAATTCATTGAGGGAAGCCATGACTGTTTAAAGTGGTACAACAGTGCTTTAAATGTATGGTGTGAATATGGCCATACTTGTTTCCTGTTTTGTTTAATGTGTGCATGTAACTATGCCCTTCACCCCAGAAATATATTGTCAAAGGATAAAAATGGATTGCCCAACCCAATAGCACTGTAAATTTCCAAACCAGTCTGAGCCTGACCTATGGACTAGGCCGTTCTGACAAGCGACTGGTGTTACACAACGTATTCAAGTCAAAGGCCACTTCAGGCCAAAGCTATTTTTGCAGGTGGGCTTCCATTGCAAAACACCAAATACAAGTCATGCAATTAATGAGTATTTGGCGTTCTTGGACAAAACACACACACACACACACACACACACACACACACACACACTTACTTACTGCAGTAAGGAAAGTGATGGGGAAATGCTCTGGAAAGTGTGGGGTGACAATTACTTCATGTGACATTGGATAAGCTCCCTGCAATGAACACTCAATAAATGGTGGGCATGACAGCACCTCCCTGTAAACTTTGTGCAAACAAATCAGGTGTGAATGCTCAATAAACAGGTCATCTGGGAGACTGTCCTCCCCCCATTTTCTCTGAGAGGTGTGTGAACCTAGCTCATCCTGCACAAACTAGAAGATGATTTTTTTAATTGGGAGACATAAACACACCCACTGCCTCCAATTTCTTATGTGCTAGTAATATCCCTGAAAAATCAAGTGGAAATTATAGTCCAGCCTTTCCAAATCTGATGTCACTCAGATGTTTTGAACTACAACTCCCAGCAGCCACAGCTGCCAGCAAGTTGGTGGGAATTGTAGTCCAAAACATCTGGAGGGCTACCAAACTGGGGGAAGGTTGTTCTAGCCATTGCTCTTTTCTTTGATGCTCACATCCATTGAACAGTGTAGGTTACTCCAGGAAGGTCAGCAGCAGCTGGCAGCCATGTCAAGAACAGATGGAAATCCTTCGACACGAGCGTCAGATTTTGAGGAGGTGATAGTAGGAATTCTTGGCCTGTTGGAAAGGAAGACTTCCTTAAGTGTCCTGGGGTTCATTTCGTCTTCACAAGGCTAGCCCAAGACTTTTCCTTGCTCAGGCAGAAGATCCAAAGCACAACCACCCTACTATTAATTCAGATAAGGCAAAGCCCACAGGGAACATCTGTGAGGAAACCTCATAATCTGGATGAGAATCCCACCCTTTGGGCCTCATTTATTCATTACCTGAGTTGGTAGTATTCTTATTAATATGAATTAGTTGCATTCTTGCACTCAAGTGCCTCAAAGCAAATCACACGGTTAAAAAAAAGAACATAACAAAAACATTAAAATCAATTTAAAAACAGCAATAAACAAAAATTAAAACACTCCCCCAATAACCTATTTAAAAGAATCTTTCCTACCACCTCACCTAAATGCATTTCAAGCGTGGACAAAGGCTGGAACTGTGGAGAATCTTTAGTACATATGATATGGGCCTGCCTAATGGTTACCCCTCTCTGGTCCGAGGTCCTCACACTTGTTAATCTAATTCTAGAGAAATATTTGACATAAGTGGATGTTGAACTGTATCTCAGTGTGACAGGACCTCACTGAGGGGCAGTGAAACTGGATTCTGTGGGTGCTGACGCTGCAGTACAGTGGTACCTCTGGTTACGAACTTAATTCATTCCGGAGGTCCGTTCTTAACATGAAACTGTTCTTATCCTGAGGTGCGCTTTCGCTAATGGGGCCTCCCACTGCCACTGTGCCACTGGCGCGCGACTTCCGCTCGCATCCCAGGGCAAAGTTCGCTACCAGGAGCATCTACTTCTGGGTTAGTGGAGCTCGTTACCCGAAGCGTTCGTAAGGGGGACTTTATGTAACCCGAGGTTCCACTGTATTGGGAAGAACGCCTCTTACCCCCAATTGTACAGCCATCAAACGTTCTGTTAACATTGGCAGCATACAAGCGGGCAGGTTTTCACAGGCAGCGGCAGGACAAGAAGTTCTCTGACATTTGGCCTGCATATAAAGGCTTATTTGCCTGAACTGGAGTTGAGCAACGGGCTTCTTCATCTAAGGTGGTTTGTTGAATTTGGGGGCTAGAGCAATAACCCTTGGCTTTCCCTTGTGTGTCTCTGCGAATGCGTGTGGATCAATGGATGGTACACACAAGTGCCTGTCTTTTGATACTGATGCAGTGACTCTCCTCTGTTCCATAAATGTGTCATTTTGGTACTGAATAAAAACTATAAACAATAATGATTTTTAAAGTGCTGCAGGGGAGAGAAAGGATGGTCACAACAAAGACAACCGACCTGTGCAAACCTGTGTCTTCTCAGCACAGTGAAGCCTGTTTCTGGGTGAGGCAATAAATCTATACTTGGGCTAAACTGCCTCAGACTGCAGGGTGGCAGAGCAGAGGCAAGTGTCATGTGACTGAATGCTCCTCCATTAAAAAAAAAAAACAGTTGGGGGAAGGTTGTAGCTCAGTGGTAGATCATCTACTTTGCAATCAGAAGGTCTCTGGTTCACCTCCTGGCATCTTCAGGTAGAGTTGGGAGACAGACTCCCTGTCTGAAACTCTGGAGAGCGGCTGCCTGTCAGTGTGGGCAATATGGAGCTAGGATTCAGGATAAGGCAACTTCCCCCATTCTCTGAGCACTTTCACACAAATATGCCCTTCCGCACAATTTGTCCTCAGAACAACTCTGTGAGGGAGAGGGATTGGCCCAAGGGCTGCTAACCACTATCTATTTCAAGACTTTCCGTAATGATGCCCAGGGAATGTGTCATGGTTACATATGCATACATAGCGATGGCTTCTTAGAGAATGATCCCAAGCTATGAACTCCTGCAATACAACAATTTTGCCTTTTTAAAGGGGAAATGTGATTGCAGTTGCAATTATCAAAAACGGGAGCACTATAGACACCCATTAAAAGGTAAAGGGACCCCTGACCATTAGGTCCAGTCGTGGCCGACTCTGGGGTTGCAGCGCTCATCCCGCTTTATTGACCGAGGGAGCTGGCGTACAGCTTCCGGGTCATGTGGCCAGCATGGTGAAACCAGAGCAGCTCACGGAAACACCGTTTACCTTCCCGCCGGAGAGGTACCTATTTATCTACTTGCACTTTAACATGCTTTCGAATTGCTAGGTGCACAGGAGCGGGGACCAAACAACGGGAGCTCACCCCATCGTGGGGATTCGAACCACGACCTTCTGATTGGCAAGCCCTAGGCTCTTTGGTTTAACCCACAGCGCCACCCGCGTCCCATAGACTCCCATTATACAACTGCAAATAAAACGCTTTTAAGGGGACGACAGAGGACGAGATGGTTGGACAGTGTTGTCGAAGCTACCAGCATGAGTTTGACCAAACTGCAGGCGGCAGTGGAAGACAGGAGTGCCTGGCGTGTTCTGGTCCATGGGGTCACGAAGAGTCCGACACGACTAAACAACTAAACAACAACAAAGTGTGCTTTAAGTGCACTAGATGGTGATGGTGAACCTTACGGAAAATTCAAAGTATGTTTTTAAAAAAGCATTTTCAGAACGGTTTTTATATGTGTGTAGATTCCACCTACTACGTCAATATCCATCTTTGGTCAGGTGTTTGTCTACCCCACAAAAACTGCTGCTGAGCAATTTGGATAAGGAAGTGGGGAAGAATACAAACTTATTCGCAAAACAATATTTTACTAAACTTCCCTATAGGGCAAATATATGTAATTGGAAAGCGCCCAAACCACCCAGCAGGAAATGATAGTCTAGTATATATAAAAAAGGGAAGTGAAGATTATGCAAAAATGATCAGATCAAAAGAGAGACGGTGAACCAATCTTGCACAGCTGCCTGGCATTATCCCATTTCATATGTTGAAACACCCAGTTGATAACTTTAGGGCCATATCTGGAATTCTGTGGCTGAAATTCTTTTGGGAAAGTATCTGCGGGGTATCTGTGATTTGGACAGGAGCACTGCAAAGAGGTGAGAGTCCACTTCCGCACCCAAATGCTGAAAACTCACTTAAAAAAAACGAGTGCCTATTTACCTGTTAGGGAAAGTCCATAGGTGCCTGTAAGTTTCCCTTAACGGGGTGTGTAGCAGCCAGAGTTAGTATGTCCCATTTCAGTGCACCACCGCCACCAAAGCATCCCCTCCCTGGGTTACGTAGTGACACAAAGCAGCAACGGTGACAGCAGGTACTGACAAGATCTTGCGATCACCAATGCTGTGGCATTTGTTAAAGGGGCTGAGAGTTGTTGGGTGACTCCTATTTTCTTCAGAGAGCTACAATTCCTACAGTTCCCCAGGAAGAAGGATTGGTTGTTAACCATCCTGGAATAGGCCAACATGGTGAATAGGAGCAGCCAACGTGTTGCCCTCTATTTATTGCTTGGAATACAACTCCCATCATCCCAGGTCATAGGCCATGCTGGCAGGGGTTGATGGGAGTTGGAGTCTGACAACATCTTGAGGTCACCACATTTGAATAGGCTAGGGGTACCAGATGTCCCCATTTCCCGGGGACAGACCCCTGATTTGCAAATCTGTTCCAGGACACATTCCATCGCTGGATTTCATTAAACGTCCCAGGGAAATGTGACATCCTGGTCTCCTGGAGTAATATGCAGCTGGAGGGGTGGGAAGACAGTTTTTGCGCAGGCAGAGGCAGAGGTGGGGGGGGGAATCAAAGGGTGCGAAAGAAGGGCTTTGTACCTTGCCCAGCAGAGAAATTGTGTGCCTTGCATCCCTCTTGGGCAACGGTGCGCTACCTGCCCGTGACTCCTGAGCCTCTCCCGATCTCCTACCCCCTTTTTTTTGTGAGGTTATGGGTGGGCGGCCATTGCCCAGGAGGGGTGCAAGGTGCGCAGTTTCTCTGCTGGGCGAGGTGCAAAGCTCTTTTGCACCCTGTGAGACTCTCAAAATGAAGGGGGAAGGGGGCAAGTGATCGCGGGAGGCTCGGGAGTCACGGGCGAGCGGTGTGCAGTTGCCCAGGAGGGGTGCGAGGGGGGCAGTTTCTCCGCTGGGCAAGGCACGGAGGGGTGAGATGACTTCAATCCCCTCGGCCAACTGGAGCGGCGGTGGAGTTGATGCAGAGCCGGGCAGCTGAGCGTGAGAGAGAGCATGAATGAAATCGTGTCCCCGATGGCCAGGAACTGCAGAAGTCAAATTGGAGCAGGGAAGCATTATGTTCTTTTAAGTTGAGGCTGCTTGAGTTGAGGTACCTCCATTGCAGGGGGTTGGCCTAGATGCCCCTCAGAGGTCCTTTCCAAATCTGTGATCATCCCACGGTCGTACAGTGGTACCTCGGGTTAAGTACTTAATTCGTTCCAGAGGTCCGTACTTAACCTGAAACTGTTCTTAACCTGAGGTACCACTTTTGTTAATGGGGCCTCCTGCTGCCGCCGCGCCGCCGGAGCGCGATTTCTGTTCTCATACTGAAGCAAAGTTCTTAACCTGAGGTACTGTTTCTGGGTTAGCGGAGTCTGTAGCCTGAAGCGTATGTAACCTGAAGCATATGTAACCCGAGGTACCACTGTATTCTCAAACTCTGCTTCCAACTCCACCCCCCAGGTTTCTCTCCTCTTCCGGACTTCTCAAGACAGCAAAACAGCTGATGTATAGATGTAATTAGGGATAATAAAGCTAATAATAATAATAATAATAATAATAATAATAATAATAATGTGTCCCCGGATTCATTGAAAAAAATCTGGTAACCATAGAATAGGCCCCTGCAGAGGGTTCCTTCCACCGTGCAGAAGCTCAAAGCATTCAACGCTGCATATGGCAGCCCTCACAGCCCTGCTGCCCTTCCAATGCTTCCGACTGAAACTCCCATCGGCCCCAGCCAGCGTGTGAGAAAAAGGAAATCTTTTTACATCCCATTTTTAGCCAGACATTCATTCCCACATCTCCTTTCGCCCTGCTGCCTTTTTCCATCTGAGTGTACTCCTTCCACACTGATAGACCGACAAGCTTGTTCCTTGCCATAAATCGTCACTCCCTGTCAAATCCGGCCAGCAGCAGAGAGACTTTGAGAAAGTGAACCCAACAGCAGGCTCTCCTTTTTAGACTTTGCACCCTTTGGAGGATAACCCAGCAAACGTATGAGTAGAAACGAAAGAGCCAGAGGGAATTTGGGCTTACCGACTGTCCCTGAAGCCTGTCCGAAGGAAGCCAGGACCACAAGACAACAGACCCCCAGAAGAGACATCCTGGAAAGGAGCGCAGCAGCTCATGTTTGGGCCAGGAACTTCTGTTTCTTACTTTCACTTTGAGGTTTCCTGGCAGGAAACAGCACCTGTGGCACACGTGCCAAAGCACAGCAGCCCCCTAGAGGACAGGAAGCACATTTACTTGCTGAATCTCCTGGATGTACATAAAAAGGCACCTTTGGCTGTTGTACTTAAGAGCCTGCTGCACTAGCCATTCCTGAAGTGTCTCTCTATCCCAACCCCTGCAGGCTTATTCGCTTGCTGCTGTTGGTATTGTTGTTCATGACATTTATATCCTGCCCTTCCTCCAAAGGATCCCAGGGCAGCAAACACAACAAGACTAAAACTGCAACTCAGACTTCTAAAAACAGTTTGGAACTCCTAAAAGCAACCAGGATCCCCAAGGATGTGCAGTACGCAGTGTTGGATTTACGTATAAGCTAAACAAACTATAGCTTAGGGCCCCACTCTCTTGGGAGGCCCCTAAAAATTTAAAGGAAAAAACACTGGATGTACATTTCCAAAATATAAGATAAAAACCTAATAAAATAAAACCTACACACAGCAACAGTGTTTTGTGTTGTGTAGGCTCCTGTGATGTAAGTAATGGGCCCCGCCTGCTAGCCTGCTCCCTAAAATATCACTGGTTTGCCCATTTCTAGATAAAATACTTATTTTGTTATGTGCAAATGGATTTAGATACATATTAGGTCCATAAATTACCATATAGCATATATTCAACACAAAAAACCAGTGACAATTTGTTGTTGACATAGGTCAGCTGGACATATAAAGAGCCCCATTACCTTCAGCAGCTTAGGGCCTCACCAAACCTAAATCCGGCCCTGGTTGTATGGGGAGCTGACTTCTGGCACCAGACCAACTCTGCGTTACAAAGATGTCTGCAAACGTGATATGAACCCTGCCTTGCGGGAATCTCTTGCAGACGACTGCAGTGCCTGGAGACAGGCAGTCGAGTTGTGTATCCATAGCAGTGGCCAGAGGAGAAATGACCACTGGGGAGGAGCACAGAGAGAAGAAACGCCAGGTTGCATCTGCAGCAGCGCAAACAGATGCCTTCATCTGCCCCAGCTGCAGCAAAGCATGTATCTCCCACGTTGGTCTGTACAGCCACAGCAGGCGCTGTAACTGTCCAACAGCTTGACACAAAGGTGCACTCCTCCATTGACTCCCAAGACATACGGATGTCAACACCTCTAAAAATTAGTAATTCAAGGTGGCCAGAGATAGATCTTTCTGCCATCAAATGCCCGGGTAATTTTTTTTCACAATCCCATCAACGTCTTCAATAAACTGTATCTCAACAATTGCTCTCTTTAGTGCTCCTCCCCCTTGTGGTGGAATGTGTGCATTTCCCCAAACATTCCCTTTGGCCACTAGCCAGAGACAGCTGCAAAGGTCACCATCCACGTAAAACACTCTTATACCACTTTAGCAGTTATGGGGCCTAGAGGTGGGGGAGAAATTCTATGCAGTTCTCATTTTAAAGGAGGATCCATCCAATCTGTAGTTTTCCAAAACAATATGTGAACCAAAACACAGCCATCCTTCCAAAGTCACACTTATCCAAATTTTGTGATGCTGTTCTCTACCCAATGTTTACAAAAATGCATATATTAGGGGGCAGAGTATATAGAGTATTTTTTTTAATGAAAATGTGTTATTTAACAAAATTTATATGCTGCTTGACTGTAACACATCCTCTAAGCAGTTTTCAATAAATATTTAAACCCATGTGTGTTAAATTGTGATTTAAATGTATGCTGCAGATGTGACCAGAGATAAATTCCCCCCACAAACGCACACACAATTTGTTTCAACTTGGATATGAACATATTACTTATTTACAAAAGTATTTGTCTACTGCTCTGCCATTTTTTTAAAAAAACAAACAACAAAGCAGTTTGCAGCAATAAAAACTTAAAACCACAAAAATGAAATGAAAACCACAAAATGAAAAAAAAGGAGTGAGTTAAAAACCTATAGCAATGTGTTGCCCGCCCCCTTCTCAAATACTAGAAACCTCCCCAGGGTTATGTGTTCAAGCTGGGAGTGGCAGCCTTGAATCCCTGCCAGGTTTCATCCACCGTTGCTTGAACATCTGGAATGAAGGTGCCACCAGAGTCCCCTTTGCGCAAACAGTAGCAAGTGAAAATGAAATGAGGCCGGTTGGTTTGTCGACTTTGCACATTCCTTTATCAAACCAGACTGCAACACCCCAGGCGCTAGGAGGGCAGAGCCCAAATGACGTGGGGATCTGGGAGCTGCCTGCTTTGCTGAACAAGCAGAGGAATCGGGGGCCGGGCCAAAGCAATGGACTTTTAACCTTTCCTACTGTTGAATGTGTACAAGTATATTTTAATTGCACTTTATGGAAAACAGACCAGATCAGGGTAGCCAACGCAGTTGACACCGACCACCACAGGGTTCATGGGACTAGGCAGGGGGTGAATAAAAACCTAGGGGTTGAAAGGGGGTTGAGAAGGGCCTAAGGATGGAAAAGAAGATTGCATGGTATCGTGTGAAAAATTTAATTAGGTACTCTGAGACTTAGAAATAAGGGACAGGGGCATGTTCAGAGTGCACCTCCCTTGCCAGTGAGGAGCTTCTGTGTGGTGTTATTATTTTCACTTGATTTACATCCTTACTTTTTACATGTGATTATTCCTAGTAATAGGGATTGATGATGAATAAATGTTGATTATATATTGCTCTTTCTTGACTATTTTATTTACATTCCTGAGAATTCAGGTTGGGATCAATGACGACGTTGTAAGCCAGGGGCGGCCCGTCTTGTTTTTGCCACCTGAGGTGAAATGGGAATGAAATGCGAATATGCCGCCCCATGCCTCTGCTGTGCTGTGCCCTCCTACTTCCTCTGCTTCCGGAATTGCCTCCCCCCTCACCAAAATCAATGAGAGCCAGGGAATTCCCCAAGATGTTCTCACTTGCCAGAACACAGCCCTTTTGCTGGCGAGAGGGTGGCAGAAAAGATGGCGCAAGCAGGAGACCACCTCTTGCAATTCTGCTACCTGAGGCAGATGCTTCACCCTGCCTCATGGGTGGGCCAGCTCTGTTTTAAGCTGAGAAATCGGGAAAGCCCAGAACTAGATGTGAATGAGATGCTTGCAGCCTTGTTCCTTTGTAATGTCACTGAGCTAAAACCTAGAAATTTGGTGCTGGAGTCCCTGAACATTTAGAGAAGGCTTTACCTTGCTGCTGTGTTTCAGACTTCATGCGTGTTATGTACTGAGTTGAATAGGATCCAAAATGCAGCAGTCTGATTGGTCCTAGAACAATGCAGCAGTATGATTGGTCCTCAGGAGCCACCCAATCCAGCCCCAGGTGGAAGTGAATCCACAACCTGATTGGCCTACAGGAGAATCCAGGAATTAGCCAATCACGCGCAGCCCATTGTGTAAATAATGTATATAAAGCAGATATTGTGGGGGAACTTCGATTCCTCCTCACCACTATGAGCTGAATAAAGAGCATGAAATCCACTCTCGACTCCGAGTATATTTCAATGCGCCTGTTCCACAGAAACACCAGCTGGCTTCAACCCGGTACGGCTCCCCTTTATCACATACAAAGCCCAACAAGACAATGACAAAAATCCACCAACAGCCTACGAATCAATATGGCTAACCTGATCCAAAATACCCACCCACCCCACTCACACATGAAAACGAAGACCACCACAGCCAAGCACAAATGAGGCCAACCCCAACCTCTCTCACCACCAAAGAAACACAAGTGAACAGCAGAGAACCTGCGCAAGCAACACTGACACAAAACCCCACATATATTAAGTAAAATAGAAACATCACCACCTGACCTCACCCCCACTCATCTTCCCCCCTTTTCTTCCTAATGTCTCAACAAATGAAACCGATTTGTAAAAAAAAAAAAAAAGTTACATGGGGGAAAAAATATGAGAGAGACATTGCACATACCTTTGTAAATCAAGAAAATCTTTAATAAAAATACAGTGGTACTTCTGGTTACGTACTTAATGCGTTCCGGAGGTCCATACTTAACCTGAAACTATTCTTAACCTGAAGCACCACTTTAGCTAATGGGGCCTCCTGCTGCCGCCGTGCCGCCACTGGGCGATTTCTGTTCTCATTCTGAAGCAAAGTTCTTAACCTGAAGCACTATTTCTGGGTTAGCAGAGTCTGTAACCTGAAGCGTATGTAACC